GGATGAGGATCGAGGATCAGGATCCGGATAGACGCTGTTTGTGCTCACGGTGCAGTTTATATATCTACATCGGCCTGTCTATATATACAACCAGGCTGAGCCCTCGCAGCGCGATCATCTTGCCGCTGCTTCGCCATCGTCCGCCGGACGGGCTTGCTCTTGCATGAGGGCTGAAACATTTCCGCCAGCAGGAAGACTTCTTCTCTATTTACTACTCACTGTCTGGCCTGCAGAAGAACGCATTCTGGGGTCGCTTGTCTTACGTCGTTGGCTACATACATACATACATACGTAGAGACGGCCCTGGACTCGATGCAAAAAGATACGACGACGCGGGCGTTGTTTGCTATGAATAGAAATGTACCATGCATGGGGGAGCAAGGGACAGAGAGCATCCCGTTCTACGCATGCATGGACGGGTTCCTCGTCGTTTTTCTTTTCTTTTCTTCTTCGCTTTGCGTTGCTTGGTCGGGTACCTGGAAGCGGGCGGCATGGCTGATCGACCGCTCGCCTGGGGGGGAGTTTAGACATCAAACGCATTATTATTATTATTATTATTATTATCATGTAGACATCAGTGCATTATCATCATTCGTCTAGTCAATAATAACAGAAGTAGCTGTGTATATGCAAAGAGTACAACTCTTAGAAGTCATAGAGGCGGTGTTGATATCCCCAATGCTAAGGGGGATCCCCCCTTTTCTATGCAGTTGACTACATGACGGCGAGACGTCGGGTCCAGGTCGAAAAGATATCCTTACCGAAGCTGACGGACAAGCAAACCAGCTAGCGACTTACTGCTACTCTGGACTTCCCTGGCCAGAAGCAGGTGCTGGTGCTGGTGCCCCGATCACCCATCCGATACCGCTGACCAGTCCTTCAGTTACCAGATTGCTCACAACGTCCCTCTTCCGCGTCCGAGGAGTCTCGACTCCCTGTCCTTCCTCGCCAGAGCTGTTGTTCGTCATGTTTCTACTGCTGGTGTTCGCCGGGCTGGCAGATGTCAGCGGGAATGCGTTCTTGCGCAGCGCCGATGCAGCACCACGAGCAACGTCAAACAGGCCCATCGGCGCCTCTTCGTATCCGCTTAGCTTGGCTGGTCTCTGCAGCTGGGGCTGTCGTGTGGAACGTGCTCGTCGTTCACGCTCAAGTTCGGTGTCAAGAGCGTCCAGCTCGCTGCTCGACGGGCCGAAGCCACCGGGAACGGCTACTCCCACGCCCATACCCATGCCCATGCGGCCCTGCTGATCGCCCTGGTAGTCCCAGCTCTCTGCCTCCTGTATCTCTTGCTCCTGGAGAGTCGACATCTCTTCGTCACACCGTCGCCAGACAGCCAGGATCTCAGGAAGGTATTCGGAAGACGGGGCCAGGACAAGGGCTAAGGAGAGCAGCTCCATGCGCTGGGAAAGGCGTGCGATCCTGGAGACAAGTGTCGTCTCCTGCGTTTCTTTGCCAGTCGGCGGATGACGGCCGGTGTTGTATGCGGCACGCCATGAGATGTCGTCGTCGACTTCGTCTTCGTCTTGCGCATGTCCTGTCTCGCCTCGCTCATTGCCAGGAACTAGAGACGGGGGTATTACCCGTGTGACGACGTAGGAGTATGCAGTGTCAAAGTCGGATGCGTTCACTGCAGCCGCGATGGCAAGAGACAGTATTCGCCTCCCTGCTGATACGACGGCCTGATTGGGGGATGCAGTCGACGCTGCTGGTCCCTTGCTAGTAGGGAGCCCAGCTGCAACCAAATTCCGTCCAATAACCAATAGATCGTCAAGCTGCGTATACCCTTTGGGGTTCTGCTCTAGAACCTTTTCAATCAATGAGATCGGGTCCTGGTGTACGCGGATGCTGACGGGTTGAAATGGTACGCCATGCTGAAGCGTCAGCGAGTAGAACGACAGGGCGTGGGTTGCGGACAGCAAGCTGCTGATCTGCTGGAATGAGACGGACTGCGGGAAGTATGGGGCAAATGCTTCGAGCCTGGAATTTTTCTCGTAAGAACAAATGCTTTTAAAAACGCGCCTTGTGGAAGACAATGGGAATATGGCTCTCGTACAGGTCTGCTGATCGCTTCATGCCACCTCTGGTCTTATTGCCATTGGTTGCATTGTCATACGACGCAAATATCGTCTCCGTCACAGCCGATTCGATCTCATCGCGAGGAAGAGGCATGGAGCCTGGTGAGTCGAGATATATATCCGCAGCAAGTTTGTATTCTATTCACATAGGTTGTTAACATGGAGATTCCCTAAATCACTATAATTTGAAGGGAGCATTTACCTCTTGCTGTCAACATGGCAATAAAGATCTCTCGTTCAAGTTTGAGCAAGGGAATCCTCCAGAATAGCCCCTGCGGTACCTCCAGCTGCGTACTGCCTCCCCAGCTATGCAGCCAGAGCAAACTCGCCCTAACCTGGGCCCAGTCCCGAGGCGGAGGGTGTTGGTGGTTGAGAGTCTCGATTAGTTTCCGCAGTTCAAAAAACTGTGCATCAGCCTGTCCCAGTAGCATCATCTCCGCTGCGGCTCGAGGTGACATCCAACGGCCGTACTGATCAAGTATGCGGATGGACACCAGTATAGCGTTTGTAAAGGATATTGACTGCTTCGTAGGGTATGTGAGAGGATTCGAAGGGTTCAAGAGCATGTTATGTAGGAGGTGCTGCCGAGATACTCTCTCAAGTTCCGGTATATGAAGTGAGAGAGGATGCAGGCCCGCATTGTTGATATGCAACCGATCATCGAATCCAGTAAAGTCAGCGACTCTCGATAGTATACGAGCCGCTCCCGATATTAGTCCAAAACCGCCATCAGACAGTGCATATATTGACGCAAGGCCAGCTTGCGCATATAGAGACATCAGCCTCTTCTCCGTATCTTCAGATAGCTCTTCATCCTGTGCCCCATCGTAGTCACCGAGATTTATATCTCCTGGCCCTGACCACTGCTCCACTGCCTCAATGGCCAAGTGGAAGTCACGAATGCTGGTCGACAAAATCCATTCATTTACGTCTTGCCAGCCAACCTCAGCCAAATCAGCGCCGCTAGTTGTGCTTTTTTTGTTGTCTAGTTTCCGCCTCTTCGATTTGACATGTCCGTACATCCAGGGGCCGATCAGGCCCTTCAAGTCTCTACCAACATCCCCTCCTTTAGAATGTGGTTCAACTGCAGAAAGCAAGATGTTCACCGCACTTCTCGAATCCAGTGACTCTATCAGTTCTAACGACAAGGCTCCTTCATTGTCAGGATGGTATTCGTAGTTGAACCTTATAGCGGGTAAGACAACGGAAATAGTCCAGTCGCGAAGAGCGTTTGAACTCGAGATGAACGGATCCACTAGTTCGAGGATATATAGCTGCAGGCCGACTTCGGTATCAATTCTATGCGCTCGATGAATCAAGAACTGGATTAGAGGCGGTTCGGAGGCGTCGATATTAATGTGTGGGCGTCGAAGAGGGAGTAGTTTCAAGTGTCGAACTTGTTTGCGAGCGTCGGGCTCGGATATTTCTCTGATGGCGGCAATATCTGCTTCCAAGTTGCAGTCCGGAGGCGGAGAGCCATTGACAAGATGCTTGATCACTTGAGTATATTGTTCGGGCTCTGTAATCTCTGGTAGGAACGTAAGGACTATTCGAAATAGCAGTTCTAGATGGAGGGTATGCGGAAACTGGGATTTGAGAAGCGGAAGGCCCAATATGTCCCCGTTCAGACAAAGCTGCACAGCTAAGAGAACAACATGAAAATCTGATAAACCTTCAAAAACCGTCATCGTTCTGATGTTATCGTGATCAACCGGTGCACGATGCTCCCTTGAACAGGTGTCTATAGTAGTTATATCATCCAACAGTGTTAGATTGAATAATAGAAAGATGTGGCACCAAAAGAGGGTTTGTATTAGATAATCAAGCAAGCTCGGACCAACGCCTTGAGAACGACCAACGACGGGCTTTCAAAGCGTCGGCCAAAACCACAGGTCAACTTGAAATCGCATTCCTCACACAGGCAATTGAGACACAATGGCGTCCGGATACGGTCTTAACGGTGGTAAGTGCATATTCATGCTGTCTTATGCGTCTTTTCTATTGTGTAGACTGCAGCAGAGGCGCAAATAGTGGAGGTTTGGAGTGTTAGCCAGACTGCTAAGTTATGGCCATTTAGGCGTGTCACGATGCTTTCCCTTCTGGCAGGACTTGCTCGGCTGCTACGTCGTCAACTCCGTTGAGGGTGAGGCTGGCAAGAAGAAATGTATCGGAGTTCTAGATGATTACTATGAGTGCCTACATCACAAGAAAGAGGTCAGCGGTTTTCCCCAACACCCATCCGGCTGATGAGCATTTCGACCCTCTCCCCAGGCCCATCACCGGAATAAAAAGCGAAACATATTTGAATACAAGACTAAATTATACCTTCTACTAGGCCGCGAGAACCCGAGAAATGCAAAATGCCTACCGAAAAGCCATGTCATCCCATCCCAGAGAGAGCGCCCCCAGAGCCGAACAGATAAGCCCATTAGGATTGCTGGGCAAAGAAGATGCGAAATCATCATGATCCAGAGCTTTGGGTGACAAAAATTGACGGACGATAGAGGATTATCTTTATGTGTAAATAAAGGAAAGAAAGAAGAGAAGACGCCTGGGTTTGGAGAGATTGTTTCCTTCCATACCCGCTCTGTGTACCTGGCAGCATGCCGTGGAGTTCATGTTTTACTATTCGATTCCCCCAACATAGCAATGAATTGTTTGCTCCTGGTGGCTTTGCCCTATTCCATTGATCCTGATCTTGACATGTTTCCCCGACCTTTCATTTCATCCATGATACCAGCCGCGCGTGCAACATGGATTTTGGCTACTCCACAGGTAACAGCATATCCGTCTTTGATTTGGTTTGTTGGGAGCGGGAGACTTTCACAGCCGGTTGAGTTGCTGGAGTAAGATTAGGTACCCAGGTAATCCATCCTTCCTGGCTGTCAAGACTAGCCTATGAATATTTATTATTGTCGCCTGGAAAGCCGTCTCTTTGGTCGTTTCGCACTATTTACTGCCTACCCGGACAGCCGGGAAAAAGCCGCCAAATGATATACCTAACGAAAGAAGCAACTAGCGACACCTTTGACTGGTGAGGCTGTGAGCTTCTTTCCGTCCACCACCAAATGTCCCAAATGTCCGCCCGTCACGGCCATCATGTGACCTGAAGAAAACTGCCTCACATACGAAGCGCTCTGCATAATTCCTCCACAAGGCTATTTATTTTACGTGTGAGAGGTGCTTCAGTGTGCCGCCCAACGCCTTAAACCCGAAAGCTTGAAGCTTGTCGATATATAGCACAAGCTATTATTACTGTGTAGCTATGTATATCATCCAGTCTGTTCCCCCGGCAGCCGGAGCATCTTGTGATCGGCTGCTCTGAGAGACTGCGTGCCTGCATTGGCGATCCTCTCATCTGCCTCCTTCCAACGTCTCAGACTCCAACGCTCTGCCCGTGTATGTATGCTCCGACGCAGGCGACCTATACTCCCCTCGCTGGCCGTCCGCCCGTCCGCCTGCCTGCCTGCCTGTCTGTCTGGTCTGTCTGGCTGGCTGGCTGGCTTGCCCGTCCGCCTCCTGCTCTCAGGGGTGGTCACGTGTCAATAATAGCGGCGCAGGGTTGTAAGGGGGCGCCGCGCCATACCGAAAGGGGACTAGCGGTGGAGCCTGCCGCGCCAGAGAAAAAAAGACGCTGGGCCCCCGATGATATAAACATGCTGCGCGACCTCGATAGAAAATTATTCTCTGAACCCGGCACGCCCAAACAGCTTCCCTTTTCTGCACTGCCTCTCGCCCCCCTCCCTCCCCCTTCCCACCACACACACTCACCCGCGCCATACACCCACAGCCCTGCGCGGCCTGACTAAGGCTTCAAGCTCTCCCGTCATCCCGCCTGGCCCGTCTACTCTTTTTGCGCCGGCGAGCGAAAGTACTCTATAATATCTAGTTCGGCCAAAGGGGCCATGCTTCCCCCCAGCGGCCGCTTTTTCCTTCCATAGAGGTCGCCTTGGTCCGCCCTATGAGCACGCTCCTCGCAAGCTACGTCTAATCTAACGCGCTTCTTTTTTTACTTCACTTTCCCGCCTTGCTTCACTTCCCACTTTCTGCCCTGGCTCTTTTCCCATTTTTTTTTTTTTTATTTCTTTCATTCGATGACGGGAATGACAGTCACTTGGCTGCTGCGCTTAATCATTTCTGCTTAATTCTTCTTCGCCCGTCGCCGGCTTTGAGGGACGACCTTTTTATCTACATCGCTTTAGCGCGTCGAAAGTGAAAAAAGAGCAAAAAAAGGCGAAAAAAGATGGGTTCAAGGTTAGTGGCGACCCAATCACGGGGCTTCTTCAGGCACCCACTTTGCTGACTCATACTAACCCTTGCCGAAGCCGGCTAGATCGCTTAGTCACGTGAGTAACGCTTTTTAGATGACTAAGAAAAATATGGAACAAAACTGACATGGTCACATGACTATTCTCAACATTATAGCCTTCTAGAGACAGGGAGCACACAGGTCATCAGGAACACAGCGGCCCAACAGCTAGCAGATGTGCAGAAGCAGCACCCAGATGAGCTGTTTAATCTTCTAGGGCGTATACTTCCGTATCTTCGGTCAAAGTCATGGGATACCCGGACAGCTGCGGCCAAGGCCATTGGTGGCATTGTCTCCTTTGCAGAGAAGCTGGACCCCAATGCCGATGATGATGATGATGATAATGATACAATTACTACCAAGGCCGAGGCTAAAGATGAGGCCGAAAAGGAAAACGACGGAGCATCGGAAGAGCTGCTGGATCTCGAGACCCTGGACATAGTCTCCGTTCTTAAACATGGCCACAAGCTGCTCGGAAGTGGTGGGAAAGAATATGAATATGCCGTTGCTGGCTTAGACCCTATTTCTAGGTTACAGCAACAAAAAAAGACGCTGAGAGGGCGGTTGGGCCTTGCTGGCGATTACCCCCAAGAAAATCTCATCCATGATACCGAAATGTCCAATGGTTCTCAACAGAGGAAGCCAAGCCAGATACAGATGCCCCCCCCTCCACTGGACACTTCTGTCGGCGGCCTTGCTCGGTCACAGCATCCATTTAACCGCGACTCTCCACTAGAGGAGGCTCCTCCCTCAGCTAATGGCGATGATCACGGCCTAAGCAAACGACAGCTTAACCAGCTGAAACGGAAGAACAAACAGACAGCGAAGCTCGGTGCCAATAAGATACGTATCGTTGATCTAGCAGTTCGAAAGGGGTCTGAAGCTGGGTCTACACCAACTGAAGTATCTACTCCTCACCCGGTCAAGAAGGAAAATGAAGATGACGAACATGACACCAAGGATGATTACTTTTCCATCAAGAGAGAAGGCCCAGATGATGACTCAAAACTTGTAAAGGAGTTTAAGGGTACCGTGGTCCCCGAGAAGCCATTTATTCAGAGCAGCTCTTCAGATGGACAAGACATTGAATGGCCGTACGAGCGGATGTGTGAGATCTTAATGGTGGATCTATTTGACCAGAATTGGGACATCCGTCACGGGGCGGCCATGGGCCTGAGAGAAGTTATTCGTGTCCAGGGTCATGGTGCCGGCAGGCAGTATGGCAAGACACGAATGGAGAATGATGCGTTAAATCATCGTTGGCTGGGCGACCTTGCCTGCCGTTTACTCTGCGTCTTCATGCTAGACAGATTTGGTGACTACATTTCAGACAATGTCGTAGCACCCATCCGAGAAACTGTAGGACAGACGATGGGTGCTCTGTTGTCTCACCTGCCAGACACCTCTGTCACTCGCGTCTATCATATTCTTCATAGGATGGTAATGCAAAATGATCTGGACCTTGACAAACCTATCTGGGAAGTCTGCCATGGCGGTATGATTGGCTTAAAGTACCTTGTCGCCGTCCGCACTGATATTCTTATGAAAGAACCCAATGTATTGGATGGAGTGATTGAGGCAGTAATGAGGGGACTGGATAACTACGACGACGACGTCCGTGCCGTTAGCGCGGCAACTTTGATACCCATTGCGGACGATTTTGTTAAACTTCGTGGCGGTTCTTTAGGCGCTTTGATAGAGGTGGTGTGGAACTGTCTATCAAACTTACAGGACGATCTTAGCGCCAGTACGGGGTCGGTTATGGACCTCCTTGCGAAGCTTTGTACGTTCCCTCAAGTTCTGGAGGCCATGAAACAGAATGCCGTACACGACTCCAACTCCTCCTTTGGAAACTTGGTTCCTAGGCTATTCCCGTTTTTGCGTCACACTATCTCCAGTGTTCGATCGGCAGTGCTGAGAGCATTACTGACATTCCTTGAACTGGATACCGATGGCCAAAACACCTGGGTTGACGGCAAGTCGCTTCGACTCATATTCCAGAATTTGCTTGTTGAACGCAATGAGGCGGTACTTAAGTTGTCGCTACAAGTATGGTGCGAGATGCTTAAGGTGGCCGAAAATCATAGATTGATGGACGGCAACCAGCTAGTTGGATCGTTACAGCCTCTTATAACGGCAACCATGAATCCATTTGGTGTTCCACGATACCCAATCCCGATGGATGCCTGCTTGTTCATCCGTCCCTCTGGGTTACCTTACACTTCCGCCCCTGTAGGCCCTAGACGTCAATCACCGAATACTCAAGTTGATCCTCAGCCCCCTGCCCGTGGCCGACGACGCAAAGTTGAAAAGCAGGAGCCACCACCTGTCAACTCACACAACGTTGACGGCCACATGCTGCAGGGAGATATTGATCTGGTCGGCCTGGACACGATGATAAGATCAAAGATATATGCAGCTTCCGCTCTCGGCCGGTTTTTGAAAATATGGCAGGTTGTGAACGGTTCAGATCTATGGCAAGGAATATTGCCTTGCCTCAACTGGCCTGGATCCTCGTCTCAATTGGCTGCAGCCATGGTGATAGAGGAATACGCAAAGAATCGAGATCTAAATTCTCCATGCCCCCCAGTCCTGTCCCAGTGGCTGAATCCGTTACTCGAAAACGAGCGACCACTATGGTACAGTGATATTGCGTGTTACTTGCAAATTTCCAGATCACAATGCCATTCTCTTCTTAATACCTTTCGAGATCATGCGCATGTATCGCCTTCCAAACTACCTACTCTAGCTGTCGTCGTCCAAGGAGAGCCAGAAGCAGGACCCAACGCCTTTTCAATTCGAGACGCTGAAAAAGTTCTCGGATCTGACTTTGAACGCCTTAAAAGGGAACTGACTCCTACTCAGAGGCTGACAGCACTGCAAGTACTTAATGACTCGCGCCAAACTGCCCAAGCTACGGTTGAAGAGGCGAAGGAAATCAAAGAACAACGAGACATGCGCATCAGAGCGGTAATTGCTAGCTCGCTTGTTTCTCTCCAGAACATCCCCAAGAAACCAAGCTACCTTATCAAAGCCATAATGGATAGCATTAAAAAAGAAGAAAATGCAGAACTGCAGAAGAGATCAGCTACTGCCATCTCCTCCTTAGTAGAGTATTACACCAGTGCCGCGAAGCGTGGTCCTGTCGATAAGATTATCGGCAACCTCGTCAAGTTCTGCTGTGTTGACACTACGGAGACCCCAGAGTTTCATCATAATGCCCATTTAGAAAAGGCCGTGCTATCTCTGCGCAAGGAGGAAGATAAACGAGACCCGGTTGATACCGTTAAGTTTGAGAAGGAATCAAAAGAGGCGAAAGTTATGCGTCGTGGTGCCAAGGAGGCATTGGAACAGTTGGCTGGGAAGTTTGGAGCTCAATTGTTTGATAAGGTTCCAAATATAGCCAGCTTGATACAGAATCCTGTTCGAGAAGCTTTAGCTGGTGATCTACCTGCCGATATCAGAGACCCATCGAGTACGCTTGGCCAGGAAACCGTCGACGGCTTGTCAACTCTACGAGCCTTAGTTCCCAAGTTCGACCCCGGACTATACCCGTGGATCATCCAACTTATGCCCATCATTGCGAAGTCACTCCAAAGTGAACTTTCTGTCATTCGGTATGCTGCTGCTAAGTGTTTTGCTACACTATGCAGTGTTATCCCCGTTGATGGCATGACAATGCTTGTTGAGAAGGTATTGCCTACTATCAACAATGCGCTAGACGTCCACCACAGACAAGGAGCTATCGAATGTATCTACCATCTGATCCATGTCATGGAGGACCAGATCCTCCCTTATGTGATTTTCTTGATTGTCCCTGTACTTGGGCGCATGAGCGATTCAGACAATGATGTGAGACTTTTGGCAACCACAGCTTTCGCAACCTTGGTTAAACTCGTTCCACTCGAAGCTGGAATTCCGGACCCACCAGGTCTCTCTGAAGACTTACTTAAAGGCAGAGATCGTGAAAGACAGTTCATGGCTCAGATGCTGGATGTACGGAAGGTTGAACCGTTCCAAATCCCAGTTGGTATCAAGGCTGAACTTCGTTCCTACCAGCAGGAAGGTGTCAACTGGCTTGCCTTCTTGAACCGTTACAACCTCCACGGCATCCTTTGCGACGACATGGGCCTCGGAAAGACTCTACAGACTCTTTGCATTGTTGCTAGTGATCATCATCTACGCGCTGAAGAATTTGCTAAAACAGGGGCTCCAGAGGTTCGTCGACTACCATCTTTGATTATCTGCCCTCCCAGTGTTTCTGGTCACTGGCAACAAGAGATAAAACAATACGCCCCGTTCATTTCATGCGTTGCTTATATGGGACCACCAGCTGAGCGAGCAAAGGTTCGACCACTTCTAGACACGGTGGATATTGTGATCACCTCCTACGACATCTGCAGAAATGATAGCGATGTCCTTACCAGCATCTCATGGAATTATTGTGTTCTTGATGAAGGCCATCTGATCAAGAACCCGAAGGCCAAAATTACACTAGCAGTTAAGAGTATCGTCAGCAACCATCGCTTGATCCTGTCCGGAACACCAATTCAGAACAACGTCCTGGAATTATGGTCCCTTTTTGATTTCCTGATGCCAGGTTTCCTCGGAACAGAAAAAATATTCCTTGAACGGTTCGCAAAGCCAATTGCTGCTAGTAGGTTCAGCAAATCGTCTTCCAAGGAACAGGAAGCGGGTGCATTGGCAATTGAGGCCTTGCATAAACAAGTTCTTCCCTTCTTACTGCGTCGTTTGAAGGAAGAGGTCTTGAATGATCTTCCTCCAAAGATTTTGCAGAATTATTACTGTGACCTCAGCGATCTCCAACGGAAACTATTCGAAGATTTCACCCAGAAAGAACAGAAAGATATTGCCAATAAGGTGGGCAGCAGCGATAAGGAAGCTAAGGAACACATCTTCCAAGCATTGCAGTACATGAGGCGGCTTTGCAACTCTCCAGCACTGGTGATGAAGGAGGGACATAAACAGTACCACCAAGTCCAGAAGCTTCTTGCCTCGAAGAACTCAAACATTCGAGATATTGCCCATGCTCCAAAACTTAGCGCACTCCGCGACTTACTTATTGACTGTGGTATTGGTGTTGATCCCTCAGCTGAAGGAGAGCTAGCCACCGGTGCAAGCTACGTCAGCCCGCATCGTGCCTTGATCTTCTGTCAAATGAAGGAGATGCTTGATATTGTGCAAAACGACGTCCTTAGAAAGCTGCTACCCTCCGTCCAGTTCCTTCGTCTTGACGGAAGCGTAGAAGCAACCAAGCGGCAGAATATCGTCAATCAGTTCAATACCGATCCCAGTTATGATGTTCTTCTCCTTACTACGAGTGTTGGAGGTCTCGGACTAAACTTGACCGGTGCCGATACCGTCATTTTCGTTGAGCATGACTGGAATCCCCAAAAGGATATCCAGGCCATGGACCGTGCCCACAGAATTGGCCAAAAGAAGGTCGTCAATGTCTATCGGTTGATTACCCGCGGCACTCTTGAAGAAAAGATTCTAAAGTACGTTATAAACCTCCATCTATACTGGTTTTGTGTTCTGATTGCTAATTATACAATAGTCTGCAACGCTTCAAGATTGACGTGGCTTCGACTGTCGTCAATCAACAAAACGCGGGACTAAGCACCATGGATACTGACCAACTTCTCGACCTCTTCAACCTAGGTGAAACTGCCGACTCGGCCGAAAAACCAACCCAGGATGGAACCGGCAATGAAATTGACATGGTCGACATTGATGGCGAAGTCAAAGAAAAGGGAAAGAAGGGCTGGCTCGATGATCTAGGTGAGCTATGGGATGACCGCCAATACGAGGAAGAATACAGCCTCGACTCTTTCCTGGCGTCTATGAAACGTTAAACCGCGAAAGCAAAAGCGCCACGCCACACTTTCTCTAGCAGAAACGCTACATCTATTCCAATTTCACACGAGACGATAACCCGAGGCCCATGACTCCCATTTATCATTCTGTTTTGAACGCATTTTCTTCTATTTCCTTTTTTATTTTCTGAACTTTCTCCTCAGTTCCTTTCTATTTCCTGCTCAACCTGATTTAACATTTTCTTTGGGTATACGGCAATCATGCCTTTAAAATCAATACCCCTGATACCTCTGCCTACATCATGATACGGCGTCCGGTCAAGAATAAGGGCAAGGAAAAAAGGTGTTAGTAGGATATTTCTATTGTAATAGCCCACCTCTTCTCTTCTTTACTTTTATAAAGATTCCTTGTACAAGTACGATGTTATGTTGAATAGGGCTAATGAGGGTGAGGGTGCGCGTCTGGTTTTTCACGGCCTTTCTTTGCTACATTATTTGAATGGAATTAAGTACACTAGACATGAAGACACAGAAATTATAATAAAGTATACTGCGAACTGTTATTATTCACTTATTTGGAATCTTTATTTCCCTTTCCCTTTTATGGCATTTAGCTAGGACCCCCTTTGAAGATGGCCAGGTAAAACATGTAGAGAATACTCCAATAAAACACCTCCTCCCACCCCCATTTCCTAAATCACAACCAAAATCCAGAGAGCAAGATAGAAGAAAGAAGAGAGAAGAGAAAAAAGAAACCAGCACTGTGTCCATAAAAACCCCAACACCTTAACAGTAACATCTTGATTCAGAGCTAATGGGGGAAAGATTACGAGGATATTTTCGCCAATGTAACATAATGGATGGCACACTGGACTTAAAAAAAAAATTTGGCCCTAGGGGATGGGAAGGGTTTCAGCTCCCCTTGCTAGTTCAATGTCGGACTTTGGGAGTTGCAAGGAAGTTCAGTCGACTAAGGGTGAGTCCTTTACCCTTCTGAACTTTGCTGACAGGAGTACCACGCTTCGGGGTCACAGTGGTAGGTAAACATCTCTTGACTGGACTAGGCGTTTGCATAGCTGGAGGTGTTGTAGGATTTTGTTTAAGACGCTTAATGAATCGATCATCGCGCGGGGTTTGAGGCTCTTCATCTGTGTCATCACGACGCCGTTTCTTGTTTGTAATCCCGTGTGGAATAGGAGGGCGCTCCAGACCTGGCTGAAACTCGCCTGGCCTAAGAGGGGAACCGTTTTCTTGAGCAGTAGGTGACTGGAGTTTAAAGGTGAAGCCAGGAACCCTCCTTTCGTGTGGCGGAGTGGTTGGTGGAAGAGTCGGGTAGAGAACATCCCGAGGGCCACTACCTTGTGATTTTGAAGCAACAGCTGAGGGAGATGAATCATTGCAAGCATCCCGAAGTTTTGTGCTTGCCGAGAAATCCACGGTCTTCTTTGACGATGGGATACTTATTGAGGGTTTAAAGCTATCGGATAAGCCAAGTAGCTTTGTGTCAAAGTCCGCTCGTGGTAAAGGCTGGTGGGTACCAGCAGCAATCTTCTCAGGGTCATTGGAAAAGAGGGGTTGTGGCCGACGGAGGATGGATTTCAGCTGGGGCATCTTAGACTTGTACTTAATATCTGTCTGTGGGGTTTTGGGAGCCGAAAACAAGGATCTGCGCGCCGGTGAACGTGATATAGATTGGGCCTTCACAGTATGGGGGTACTTGATGCTTGTAGCACGGGCAATTGTGGGTTTCTGCGGTGTAGTGAACTTGGATTTTTCCAAGGGAGCTGGATTCGAAGGTGGCTTGTTCTGAACTTGTGAGCTCTCACCAGACAAGGGAGTCCGGGTAGATTGGCTCGCACTCGCTTGACCCCCGCGCCGCGGGATAGAGGGGCGTGTAGCGGCCACTCTAGAAGCTGGCGTGATTCGAGTTTTTGTTGAGACTTCCTTTTCAGGGTCACCAAGTTGAGCCTTTGAGATTGTGCGTTTAAGGCCCTTGGCCGGAGACGTTGGATTGGGTTCAACACGGGCTCTAAAAGCGGATGGATGGCCCTCGATGGAGTCCATCTTTCGGAACTGGGCCATATGAGCTGAGCTGAAACGTCCTGCAATACCCTTGGGCTTCGCAATTTTCCGGGACGTTGGCTGAGCTTCAGCCTCCACGTCCTTGCCCTTTTGTGCGTTTTTTTCCATCACCATCTGCGACTTAATCCTTGCAGCTTCCTCTCGAAGGCTTTCCATCAATTTCTTTGCCTCCTGGCTAAGTTGGGATTCTCCACAAGAAAACTTGAAATCGAAACTCATCTTGCTGAACTCATCGACGTTTGAAATCCTTCCCTTAGATGGTGTGTTTATTATAGAAGGCACTGACTGATTTGGACCTTTTGAATTATCATGGATGGGCCGGAATCCCAACTGGAGCCCTGAATCCGGCTGCTTGGTAGTGCTTTGCTGGACCTTACTAGGATGCATTTCTCCCACGCTAGGTTTGATAGCGCTGTGATTTTCCGGAGTTTTGGGGGTAATTTTGTTTTTGGTTGTTGATGGGGGGACTAGAGTCGATATGGCCTTAGAGGGGTCTGTTTTGGGTGTAGAAGGAACTGATTCAAGGAGCCTTTTGGTTTCTGCAGAGGGGTCTGCCTCACATCGCTGAGCCGAACGCTTAGACGGAGAGCGCTTAGTACTCGTGTCAATAGGCTGAACAATGATAGTTAGCACTTTATCCCGCCCTGAAGGATAGATTTTATGAGGATATGTTGCGTGGTTCTCACTTCAATTGCCGGCGTCTGGCCTCTTAATCGAGCAGACCTGCGGGTTGCCATGGCAAAGAACAATGCCCGCTCGAATCACAAACAATCTAATCAGATAATATTAAGACTGCCGGCTTGAAAAATGAAATTTTCGAATAATGTATGTTGACTGTGCGTGCGGAGATGAGTAGTTGTCTAGATGCTGCTTTGCTCGTTGAGCGCGGGATGCCTTCTTGTCTTTCCTCCACTCTTGACGTTCGTTGTTGTGGATGTAACGGATTCGGTAGAAAGTAAACAAACCGCGGCTTAGGTAAGCTGATGTCACGACTAGCAAACAGTGCAAACAAATGACATAACGGAAGTCTGCTTAGTCATCATGGCGGACGTCATTTGCAGGATCGTCAAACGTCAAACATAATGATTCGCAACCAAGTTCCCAGCAGTCTTCCATCATGATCGACAGCCTCTATCTTACACGATAGTGGAAGCCGGTAACTGTTTCCCGGCTAGAAACATCAGTAAGTGATAATAACGGTCTGACACTCGATTTCGTTTCGCCACTAACTAATATTGGAGCAGTTCACTGCAGGACAGTGGCTGGTAGCGCGAGTTATAATACCACAATGATCGGACAAGTACTAATACAGGCGTGGTACCCTGTAGCAGCCCTCTGCATTCATCTCTGGCTTGAAGTAATCAAATCATTTGCATAGCCCATGTTTTTTGCTTCAAGTTGTGATACAAACAAGCTCTGTCCGACATACCCAACTCCAACTCCCAGTTCAACTAGGTTTTAAATGGCTACCGCACGCTCGGGATACGGAGTCAACAATACAAGAATTATAAGCCGTTATACCCTCGGATAGCCGCAGCGACGTTGTCTTAAAAATCCAAGTGACCTTTGTTGGCTGCTGTTGACGACTTTTCATCAATCGGTATCATTCAACTGGTGTTCCACCCCAGGGATGTCCCTCATTTCTAAGTATAGTCATAACGATAATGTGCAATTTCTGCAGGGCATCTGTAATTCTTGAGTCACGAGCACTATCTGTGATACACAAATTCGGATTTTAGATTCCGCACGGGTAAGTTCATCCCGAGATCTGCAGCTCTCTGGCGTTTTGTTAGGCGGAATTTCACTTTGCCAAATATCAGTAGTTTGTTTGGCCTCTTTTTTTCTCACCCGCTCCGTTGAATTCACCAGATCGAATGTAAGATGTTGGAGTTTGAGGAAGCTCTATGCTGCGACATTTATTCGCTCACAACCCAAAGGGATAGGTCTCGTCCGCTCCAATATGGTCATGCGGCTGGTGCATTACCAAAGATTTAACGGCCTCAGTTCTCTCAAACCAAATAAAGCCATCAAACTGGTCTGCGAGATCAGTAGACGAATAATGCGAGGTACGTTCGGTCCTGGGGCGATAGATAACACCAATAAATCGCTCTAGCCGAGGCGACGCTATTTTCATGGCATGGAGCAGCTCTGGATTAGCGATATTTTTCCTGAGCTCAAGATAAAACATCTGTTTTTCTGACTGATGAGTCAGGTATTCCCAAGAATCACTCCTCGAAGGCACGACATCCATGATGTCCACATCCCCACCCCATTCATGAGCTGCTGCGACTGTGCCGGTATGTGTACCACATCCAATCAGAGCAACATTGTCTCTGCCGAATTCTTCGCGACAAAGCTGGCCAATGTTCAATTCTCCTCTGCGTCTTCCCATACTAGTATATCTAGCATCACCAATGTGGCTATTGTGTGCCCAGACAACGACTTTGGATTCCGCTCCTTTGACATTAAGGATGCGTTTCAAAGTCTCGAACATGTGAGAGTCTCTAAGAGACCAAGAGTCCACCGCGCCTGAATACATTGCCCTGTAATACGCCTCCGCATCGGCTACGAGATATGCATTCTGTTCAGCACTGTGGAACTCATCTCCGCCTTGGTGAGCTTCTGTGTACTCTAAACGCTTCTGGAGAAGATCGCGGAGCATATCAAGAACTGCTTCTTCGCATGTTTTCATTCCACTGTCAAGATAACTCGCTAGTCCATATTCTGTCGGATCTTCAACCCATGGTTGCAAACACCCATATCGCTGGCGAGCGAGCTTCGCCATATTTGGATCAATTGCGTCCAGGTATTTGATGACAGCGTCTATGGATCTGCCCATGCTGTACAAATCCAATCCATAAAACCCAACTCGACTGGTTGACGGACGACTGCGATTGTAGTCTCTCATCCAGTGCACCATATCTTGCACGTCTGAATTTTGCCACATCCAAGTTGGAAATCGCTGGAAGGCGGGCTCCTCTGGGCGTTCAATCTTTGCTTTAACTCCTGAGCGTTGTCTAACATATCTGTCTACTGCTTCTGAGTCTGGCCAATCTGCCTCGACAGTTACGGCATCAAACCCGTGATTCTGAATCAGGTGTTTGGTTATCTCCGCTCGAGCTTGATAGAACTCTGATGTCCCATGGGTTCCGTCTCCAAGTAACACAACTCTGTACTTTCCCAGATGGTCGAATCGAGACCCGAATGAGTCGCTTGAAATAGGTGGGAGGGCCTTTGCATTTGACTTGATAAGATCAACGAGCCTAGAAGCAGCCATGATATCTTCTTGCAATCTAAGTGAGCTGAGCATATATTGATCTCAGTGGAGATTCAGGTTCAATACCAGTAGCCCTTGATTTAATACGGCTTTATCAAAATAGAAATAAGACGAATATGCTACGACCAGATGGACTACCATGGGTAATAAATAAATAGGAAAATGTTCAATGTGTGACGCCACTGATGACTTCATAACTTAGTTATTTGCCAAGAACCCCGGTGCCTTCCCTGTTTAACTACGTGTTTATATTATTGAACGGAAGGGCTACAACAAAACGATTTGAAGGAGAGAGAAGATGTTAACAACACAAGCTGAATCTCTCTGTCGACAAAACAGTACAGGGTGACTCATTTGAGAGCCATTAAGATCCTCTGTTGTCACCGCCAGACTCACCATAGGTTTCAATATCTTATCAGCAGACTGCCATACAACCCTAGCCCCAAAAATCTCCAGCCAACGATAATGGCTTTAGAAAACACGGAAACCAAGACCAGGATGGAAAGATTTGAGTCCGCCATGGAAAAAGTATATGGCAACTATAGAGAAGTTTCAGATCCGTCTACCTGGACCCCTCCTCCAGCCCCAGGAGGCCATCGTGGCCGGTATCTATGGACAGATGCATTTGGAGTTGTAAACTTCCTGACATTGTACAAGATGCACTCCGAGCTAAACGCTGAAAACGGATACCCAGAGAGATATCTCACATTCGCAGAACGACTTGTGGAGACCGTCCATGATGTGCTAGGAAGAACTCGAGATGGAACTTCCCGTCTACCAGGTGCCACTGATTCGGAGCCCTTGGCTGGAGGGCTAAGGATTGGAAAAGTCCATGAGGCCGGTTCGGATGGCGATGGACAATACCACCACTATCTAACTCAATGGATGTTTGCCCTTAACCGGCTGTCAATGGCAACGGGAAATCCGACCTACAACAGACAGGCATGTTCACTGGGCAAAGCTATTCATCCACACTTCCTCGTAGGAATCGGCACACACAATCCTCGTATGGTATGGAAGGTAGCGATGGACCTTTCACATACCCTTGTTTCTAGCGAAGGAAACCTAGATCCGTTGGATGGGTTTGTCACATTCTCCTTGGTCCAGGCATCGGCCAAGAAATTTGGGGATGGTGAAATAGTCGAGGAAGAAATATCCAACTACAAGAAGGTGTCTGACCGTAGGGGGCAGCATCACCCTTCACCAGATTTCCTTGATTTGGGAATGACTCTTGTCTCAGTCCAGTGGTTTTATGATGAAGACTGGGCTGTCACCTTAGCATCTCGGTGTTGCAACATTTTGAGTAAGTAGAAATTTTACTACAAGAAGGGCACTTGCCAGTCAGTAGCGCCAATTCCCAGGAGTCTACAGAACTAAGCTTCTTCATGTTGTTATAGAATCTTTATTTGATGAAGGGTCATACCTGAAGTTTGGCTCTAGGCGCCTCGCGTTCAGGGAATTTGGAGCGTGTCTCGGGATTGAATGTTTTAGGGCTACAGTAAATCCAGATGGGGAGTTATATGACTACTTCAAGGAAATATTAGATGCGATGATTGAAGAATACGATGATGGCGGCACACAGACTCCGGATGATCTGAAACCTATCACCAGAGTCATGTTCGCTTCTGCACTAATTCCAGGGGGTAAGATAATCTCATAGATATTCACGTGCTTGTTAAACCGTTCCTACTTACACTTCATTTATAGCATTTAAAGCTGGTTTCTTTGGCCCAGAGCCTATCAAGATAGGAGCCTAGCCGAAAAAAGACAGGAGAAAGGGAAAATTGCAAGATGTTCTTGAAAGAGAACGAAGTCTAGGCACACTGCTGATAATTAACTGTATATTATAATTATTGCAATGAACCGGGGGAGGGGGAGAATTAACGAGTAGAGAGAGTTCCAGGAACTCAAGTGCCACTCCCAACCCGTGAGCGCAGCCAGGAACTATAAATGGATGCAGCAGCTATATTCATTGTTAGGAAGGTATTGGTCTAATTCATTGATCTAACTTTATACTCCAGGTATGCCAATAAACCCGCGCCACGCTGGTAAAGAACGAGGCAGGATATGCACCAAATATACCGTAGCGAGCGCGAGGACCAAACCCGACATCTTTATTTAGGAGTAACTGTTAGTGAATGAAGACGGGAAACCCAAGAGCACGGAAAGAAGCAGCTCGTAGACGAAAGTAGCTAATGGACTGACCTTTTCAAGCCATGTATGAAACCATATCCCTGTCATGAGTAACATCCACAAAGATAGACCCACAATTGTCCAAACGAATTTCCTAGAAAGCTCCGCAAAAAGCTCCTCGATACCATTAGGCCCACAGTCAGTAACTTTTTTATCCGTGGTCTTCTGCGCTGGCCCCCTAGCACCATTCACATTACCACTGCTGATAATGACAGAAGATCTGGTGCCCATCATCTCAAATATCAAAAATGCGCTTGCTAAAACCAGCATAAAGGCATGGCCGCTTACATCGTGGCCACCTTTCCAGGTACCCCCTGACGCTTTGCACAACACTGAGGTCAGGACCACAGCTGGAGGTAAGTCGGACTGCGAAGGATCATCAAACATTTGTTGTTGGATCAATTCGCATCTTCCACCAGTAGCAAGAAAACCGCGATCAATTATGGGGGCCCCAAAGCACCACTGTGTCGTCAAGATCCAGGAAAAAGTAACGAGCAAATAGCGAAGGAGGGCTTGTCCGACGCGTCGCAGCTGACAGTTTGCGGAGATCCTTTTACTGGTAAACGCTTCCTGTGTTAGAAGCAGTGATAGGAATGCTAGGCTTGTCCAGAGCCATCCGATTTTAACGAAATACACGTTGAAGACATTTCCTTTCCGGGCAAAATAATTGACCGGCTCTTGAGATTGCGAAGATATCGATGATGGGCTTGGGGGGTTCGCGGTCGGTGATATTCGAGAGTAAATGGAGCCCAGAATAAGAGTTAGAGGGTAGATAGCAAGCAGATGGGCGGGAGGTTGTGAGCTAGTGTGAGTAGTCGGTGCTTTCGATTTCGGCACTTCTGATGCCAGATCGTTGGAAACCATGTTTGAGTATCGCAAGGCCCAATTGTGGGCTTCAAAGGTGCGGATATTTAATGAAAGCACAGGAAAAGTAGTGCCGCATCTCTAAAGACTGTATAACTGCATGTGTGTCACTGTGAAACGAGCTTCTTCAAGAGTCCGAAGCAGCTAACTAGTTGACGATGTCTTTGATTCGAAGCCTTGAGAGCAGTAAGAAAAAGTTGGATGTTGATGACGTTGAGATCGAAGTGGCACGTGATGAGCTTAGACTTTCCGAGGTAAAAATAGCTTAACTCGAGGTCGACGTCGCTTTTCTCCTTTCCACGGGACAGCACATTGTTGGTCTGGCTGGAGACAGAGGCATGGGAAGATAGGAACAGAAAAGGGCATCCTGTCCTGGACGAGGAAGCTCTGCTGCCTGTGGGATAACGACTCTATCTCCTCGGAAACGGGCCTCCAGGTAGCTATCCTGGATGCTTACATCAAGGTCCCGTTATCCTTGGCTATATGGAAAGAAAATATTCCAATATCTCAACGCTTGAGAAACAACATGGATGGTAAAGAGGTTGTTGGTATACATGCCACCAGGATGAATCCAGTGTGCAGTCCCGCCATTTTGGTGATGGACGATAATACTGGCCCCCTCCTCTCCAAGGAGAGCTTTGGGGCTTTCAAAGTACACATGCATCAAAGAACCAGTTTAAAAGCCCTTCTTTACATCGAGTTTATCTCCATATACCGCAGCACTGCCTTAACCTACTTCGGCCTTCATTGCTTCATTATCGGTCCCGGATACACATGTGCAACGCCTTTTCCGCCCCTTGCAGCTAATGTTTTCTTGAATCTAACCGGCGGGTTTCCAGAGAGATGTAACAGTGTGCTTATAGGACCCTCTTACCTCCTGTTATTTACTACATTTTTTTTTTCTTTTTTTTTTTTTCGAAATGTTTAGCTGGCCTAGGATGACGGAAGGGCACGCTGGCGAAGGACGCCACCCCTCATGGCTTGGGAGCATTTGTTCCCATCTCGTCCTCCTTGCCTTTCACTTTCCTTTTTGCTTTTAAAGTGACCTATTCTTTCATCTAGGCTACAATTGATAGCGAAGCTCTTGAGTGGTGTTAGCTCACGTTGCCGGCGATATCAATGATCACCGATTCCTGCTCAACACACTCTTCGAGCCACACTGAGAGGGCTAACAGAGGATTCCTGGATACCTCGGGGCCATCTCGGGGACCGCAAGATGTTTCGCAATTACACGATGGGGCTTAAATCACCTATTCAACGTCACAAGTATTGCCATAGTGCTACAAGGGCAGATCGTGATGTACTTGGCGGCAACTACAGAACCTTGCCATGTACCATTTCTGTTTGAAGCTCTTTGAATAGCAGGGGATAATTTCTGCAGCTACGCCGTTTGCAAACCTCGAATCTGCAAAATTATCCCCTGTTTACTTGAAATTTCCAACCAGCCTCTAAAATGAGTGATGTGCTGCAGCATGCCATGCTTATCTTGGCCCTTATTTTCTACTGCTTCGAAACTAACACCTTACCCTTGCCCAGCCCGTTGAGAGCGGTCTTCTCGAATATAAGAAACTCCTATATTCGAAATTCTTATCATCCGGCTGAATGACCGTTTAGCGCCTGCGCAAGATTGGTCTGAATGAGTGTCGTTGGGCTTCCTATTAAAGTCTTCGCCGCTGCTGTGACGCAATGCGCCCTGGATGAAGAGTAGCTCGTCTCTTGCAAACGCGCTGACGACTACACCGTCATTATTGGCTATCCGGTATGTTGGAAAGGGCAATGAGTTGGTGAGCGGGTGGCTTTGAAATGTACACTCCTTCGCCCTCAATGGTACATTGACCGCCTAGCGTTTACTTCTATCTCTGAGGTATCCACACCATCCTGGCTTTGTAACGCCACGACATGGTGACAAACAGCTCACCAACAGCCCTGGTGTCCCAGGGCGTTATTTTCTTTTTTATACATTTGGCTTTTGACCTTTGCTTTTATATTCTGACTGCATATACTCCGATTCCCCACAGGAAAGGAATGAATGCTTCGAAGTATTCGAGTAAAAAAATATTACCGCCGTAATGCGCACGGATCATCTTGTTTCTGTACCAAAAGGAGAAAAAGCAAAAGTCTGGGGCATCATATATACCGATAACCGATATAAGTACTCTGTGAAGTACGCTCTTGATCTCCACGGCTTCCATACCTATCTTCTCTTTATATCCTTCAACTAGCTTTCTATCAACCCCTTCTCACAAAGCGCAGCAACAACATCTCTAAGGATATTCATTTCCTTGCTTCCAGTCCTCTCATTACTCAACCACCCTTTTATCTCTTACGGAGGCGAAATTTCCAGCACTACTAACAGATGCCTTCTGAAGGCGTCCCCAAGTGCCAGCGGTGTCGTAGGGATCACAAGAAGGTTAGATAACTGGCGCATTACCCCTTCTACTTGCAAGCTCCTAACGACGATCTAGTGCTCACCCGAGAACAGGCAATGGCCAGGGACAAAGTGTGACCGTTGTGAAAACTACGGTTACGAGTGTTCCGAAAATCTTATGGCGCGGAGATCGTCTCAGAAAGGAATGGACACATCACGGCCAGCTAACCGTCTTATGGAGGCTTATCCACATAATCGATTCTTTGGCTGTCCCCAGGAATTATCGCGACCATTACCTGTGCGCTCTCAAATCCCAGTTGTTGGAGTAATGAACCAGCAAACCCATTTTCAGTCCCCTTGGGCAGGGCTATTCGACTATCTCAGAAATATCGACTGGCTAAGCTTAACTTGTTCTCCTACCCCTATGGCTTCCAACCCCTTTTTTACAATGTTTCGTTCGTCTATCTGCCCAGTGCCTGATATTTCTGCAACACCGCTGGGCCAGCGATTAATGTATCTGGAAGCATTCGCGCAAAGTCAGAGATACATGCAGGACCCCTCAGTCGCTCTCTCTTCATCTCCACTAGAGACCTCTATTAATCTCATAGCTACCCGATTACAGAGGGACTTTCCCCGGATAGCTGGTATGTTCAGCTTCGACGAACTTGTCGCTATATGTGGAAACTATGTCCGTTACGGCTCTTACTGGAACGTGTTTCGGACTGCTCTCCAGACTGACGAAATCCTACTTGTTGATCCTGCATTTTCATTTGATATGGACCTGCCAAAAACTACATTTGAGAGCGCTCAGCAAATATGGTTATGTCCTGAATTCGGACTGAAGCAGTTCTGTCAAAAGCTCTCTGGCGTCAGCCAGATGATTTCCGATCTTGCTCGAACTGATCAACATTCAGAAGCACGGGCATTCCTCGCATCCAAGATACCCGATCGTATCGAGGAAGTACTTGGTCCTCAGGTTACTTCTTCAACAATACACAACTATCCTTCCCCCTTTTTCCCTCCAGATACGATGACAAGTTCCCCAGTCGAATTAACAGATGGCGATGTATATTCACCTTCCACGTCCGCGGGCGGCGATGGGTCCGAAGACGGCTATTCATTAGACGGGAGGGGATTCCAACCCATTACGGAGAACGGCCGCTACAATGATGCCTGCTTTTGGGGTAATTAACTGTCTTAGGATATTTCCAACGTCTCGGCGCGGTTTACATGGGAGGTGGTGGGTGGGTGGCAGGGGAAAACATGATCATAACTATTCTTTCAAGATAGGTAATCTTTCGGGCGTTTGAATTCCCCCTGGTTTTTCTTTTTCTTCCTCTCACTTTTTCTTCTTGGGCGGATCTTTTCCTTACCGCAATCACTCTGTTTGCCTTGCCCCTAATGGTGCACTACTGTTGTTTACAATTATTTTATACTTTTTCATATTTTTGGCTGAATAGACAGACCATCGGGTGGATCATCATGACTATTCCAACTCCCTCCCTTGTCACAGGAGCTGCTATTCGTCCGGGGGCAGAAGGATGGGGCCTTCATTCCTGTATTCGTACGGTGGCTTGGGGACTGGTATGACTTGCAGCCTGTCCGTTGCTCCGCTGGTAATGTGGGATCCATGAAAGCCGACGCCATGCAGCGGGAATAGATATTGCTGGGAGGTTTTACTAGCATGAAGTAGTAGAGGGTGTTTGATTGAAGTCCAGTTCAGATCCCATAACTACCCCTTATACCGAGTGAGTTGTAGTATTTCTTGTTATTTCTCAAAAAAATGCCTCTACTCCAGAGGAAGATGGAATGGGATAAAGGCGCATTGGCTGTGGCCTATCTACATAACGCAGCTTTTGGAATGCACCAGTCCTTTCGGCTTACTGGTTTCCCTGAGCAAGGGAAAGTTTGTGACCAAGGGGGCGGCGTATGGGAGCCTTGACTAAACCCAAATCTAATACACGTATCTCTCTATATTGTCAACAACTCATGGGCTTTCTGGTTCAAGAACCTAATCACCGGGCTGGTGGGCGGGCAGAGAGAAATATAACCAGGCGTAAGGAGCAGGATCCTTACTGACTCGCCAGCACATCGCCAATTAGCGGACAGTTACAGTCCCAAACAAATCTGAACCCCAGCCACCAGAATTTGACGCTATGCGTGCGCTAATATAATATACCCTTGAATACGTCGGGCCAGCTGAGAAAACACTATACTTCTCCTTTTCCCATCATTTCATGTTCATATGCCCACCTTATTTGGGTTAATGTCATGCAGGTATAGCGGCCAAGCTGAGGGGGCTTATCCTTGATACATGGTACTTGGTTTCCTGCCACTGGTTAGCATTTTACCCATGTCAGCTTCATCCAGAATGGCGGTACCTTACATGTTCTTTTGAATTCCTCGAAATCTTTATTTTTGGATTAACTACAGCTCTATCAGGGATGATAGACGTATGTATGATGCGTAAAGGTAAGGTGAACCGTGTTCTCCGTAGGAAAGGGAGAAAACCATGTAAGGAAGAAAAAAAAAATCCAGCGCTAACTAACGCACACAAAAGGCCCATAACTGCAGAGGCTGTAAAATCCGTTAACAGTGAGACCATGGGTCAACAGTATTGGGATGCTCTGTGCTGCTGTCCCCATGCTCCTTTTTCCCTGCATACGGTCCATCAGCCATGACGGATTTTTGGGGGGTTGTATTTGTGCTTCGATTGTGGATGATATGTTCACCGCTAAACAGACCATAGTATAGGTACGCCGAGCATATAAAAAGTGGTAGAAATGGCGGGTTCCCCTACATTGGCCCAAGGTACTAGTGACGGCTTGGTGCATGCACGCCGCCTCTTTGCCAGCCTGTGGGTTCGATACTATTTCCCCTCTCGGTGAAAGGTACATGCAGGAGATGTTACATAATCTTTTTGGAGGGTACTCCGTATAGAAATGCCCAAGGGTACAGAAAAGAAAAAGAAAAAGAAAAAAAGAGAGAAGAGGAGAGAGAGAGAAGAAAGGGAGAGAAAAGTGTGACGGCACCGGATTTTGATAGCACCGGGAAATCCCCATTCGAAATGATCCAGGAAGCAATTCTCTGGTTGGGCAGATCACGATAGGAAATGCATGCCACCAACAAAATCAAGAGTGTTAGTTATGCAGGGAAACAGGTGAGAGCCTGGGGATCATGTGGCAAGGGTAACAAGACAGCAGGAGAGACTGAGCATGGGCGGCATCCTTGAAGCCTGATAGGCAGGGTAGGTTCCATTTTCAAACAAAGAAAACAAATGGCAGGAACAATACCTGGCTCCCTTCGACAGTGCAAACAGGGGGAAACAGAGCGAGGGGATCCCCCTGGAGTGAGGTTTCTGTGATCCTTGTGCTCTGTAACCGGTGTTTGCTTTTTGGGTCCCGAGTATTTGGGACCAATTGGGATGGAAAGCTGTGAGCCGTAAGAGTGGGATTTGGGATAAATAAGGAAGACGAGAGAGGGTTGGGCGTTGTTCCGTCCGAGTAACCCGAGTAACCCCCTTGTTAAACTAGGAAGGTCGGTTTAGGAGAAGCGTGATGACGGCGAGAGTCGATGGTTTGAAATCATTCAGCCCCCTGAGTATAATAGGATATCCTATTACAACGCTTGTGCCTTCGAGTTCACAGGCCCCTTGTATCCCTTCAGCACACGCATGCTAATGCATGATACATGATCGCTTTCCCGGTCCTAGCCCTCCGAAGTCATCTCAAAAGCAAAAATAGCAGACGTATATATGGGGGCGGGTTACTCCGTATCGATCGCCAGGATGTCAAAATGGCGAGGTGCAGGTGACCTATAAATGAGAAGCGGGTTGTTCAGGAGTGGTACATGGTGGCCTCCCAGCAATCTGCCCAATCTATGTCACCCCGGATGCGTCTTCACATTTTGCCCTATAGTGGTGGGGTCTTGTGCCTCATAGAAACGTGGATGGATTGGCGAGACGTCCGGAGTATTCCAGGGCGGGGAGATCAGTCAATCCAAAGCCCTGTTTGTCCTTGTACGATCCGCGTATGTATCTCATCTTCCAAGAAGTCTAACACGCTTCTTTCAAGCCGCTTTCACTGATTGTCGGGAATTCAGAAATAAGGTTCAGGTCGGCTACTGAAGAATGGCTTTCGAGACCCGTCGGGTTGGAAGATTGCGTGTGGCATTGTTGGCGCCGGTGTCAAAGGATGATATGCGATTCTGATTGCGCCCCTTGACCCAATAGCCTGGCTGTTCGGGCCGGCAGTTCTAGTTCCGCCAAAAACCCACGAATGATATTGCTTCTTCGACTCTCCAGACATGTCAGTTTGTTAGGCCCGTCTCAGCCATGTACTGCATCGTACACCATAATTCTATGCGTGGATGGGCCCGGTTTCCTCGTTTTGACTGTGTGACTGTGGCAGCTTTCAAACCCCGTCAAAAGAAAATGTGACCAATAACCGATGCAAATCTGGTAAAGAGTCAGAGTTCCGTTACTCAGAACGTGGGGAGACAAGGCGAGTATATCATGTCTTGGAGCGGGATCTTCCAACTTAATTGGTGAAAAATAATTTCTCTAGGATAGCTATTGACTGGGCCTAAGATGCAAACGCCCTTAAACACAGCCCGGGTCGTATCTCGGATAGAGTAAATCTCACTGATAATTAGGAATGTATAATGTTCACCAGTGCCAATATATTGATAAAAGGGAAAAAGAGTAAGAAACCATGCCATGGTCGTTTAGACGAGGTAACAACTTATGAAGCCGTCTAACAACACATTGTTGAAGAAATATTCATCATAACCGTTGTCAGATTGTTGGATGAAAAAGGTTCCTGATCCCTGAAGTACGAAAACCCAGGCATCAGCTAACAGTACCTCCTATGAAGGTTGGTGTGTACTAAGTAATTGGTAGGCCATTGCATCGGGCCACAGGGGGAAAAACCCCAGTACCTTGGTATCACAAAGTAAGCAGAGAGAAGTACCAGGTATTTGACAACTGGCTGTTTGCTTTGTAAAAATCTGCTCTCAGGATGACTTTGGCTTCGGGTTAGCCTCAACACTAGCGGTTTCCAAAGAGCCTACGATCTCCCTCCCATGGAGAAAAGTTGCGAAAGTCGGGAATATAATCCACAGTCCACTAGAGTAGAGAAAAAACAATTACCTGTAAGCGAGGTTACACAGAATAAAAAACAGCGACATTTCATGCGTAGACAATGTACTTGTGCGATTCACGGTGACTCACTTTGGTATTATCCATAGAAAGACCAGGGTAAACATATCATTATGTCCGATGTTATCAAATCCAGAATACGCCTCGTTGAGCCCTTCAACACATCATCAGATATAATTTGTGGATACAGGGGAGTCTCGGTTTAAAAAGTGATTTTAGGTGCCGGATATCGAGATTGCATACAGAACACTCACCGTAAAGTACTGTTTTACTTAAGGTCATGAGGCTGGCGCTAAATATGGCCAGTAACGCATAAGCACCAGCTGTCCCTGTCACAGATTTTTTCTGCAAGACAGACCATCCACTTGCGCCTTTGGATGATTTTCCCGAATTACGAGCGATGGAGACTGGCTTGGCTCGGGTCCAGACAAGGAAGAGGTAATAGCTATACAGTGCGGTCTCGACGATATTTAAAGCAGCCTGGGCAGATGTAAATCCATTTCGAGAGTTAAAGGCTGGCCAGCCATAAATGTAATCAATCGTGCCATAAAGTGCATAGGGTGACCAAAAGTGGTGATAGGCTCCCCCAGGCATACTGTGAGGTCGCAAGAAGACATAGCCCGTATCCCACAGGACCAAAGGAAGCGAGAAAATCAGCCAAAGCTGCACAATAGGTGATGGAGAGTGGGCCCATTGGCTCAGCTGCCTGCGCGTAGCCGTCTGGCGTTGCGTATCCGAACCCTTGGATGCGGCAGAGCTGGAAAGAGCAGGAGGGGGGAAATCCTCCGGGTGCTGGCGCGTGCCCACCATTGGAAATAAGTAGCTAGCTTATATAACTTATTGAGAAACGACTTCACGGGTATAGTTATCGCTCAAGATAAGTGTCGCTGAAGTTGTTGTTAGCAGCGATGTCAACAAAGACGACCATCAAACGAAAATAGGCGCGGGCAGCGGCGGCGTCACCTGACCCCAGGCTTGGCCCCTGCTGTCCAACTCGGCTGATGACTCAGCTTGGACCGCGCAACCCCTGAAGATTGTTGATATTGGTCATTGTGACGGATATAGGGGGGAACGAAGAAACCAGTCATCTTCATTTTACTCAAGGCTATATGAGTAAATTCATTTCCAGTAATCCTGAAAATGGACGGAGCTGCCTCGAAACCACCCTTGTGGACTACTTTCGTAGTTGGGAGTCATGACTTTGCCTATGGCAGACCAACAGCCCAGATGGCTTGAACTGCTTGCCCATCCGGAATGTACTCTACCGCCTCTAAGGATTTGGAATTCCTTGACGCGATCTGAAACCGCCTTCATTCCGGTTGACTCTGAGGGTGAAAAGTCACTTGGTATACTTGCGGGCCGACGGTCTATGGCGATGCTCATTTGGGCCATGCCAGGAATTATGTTACAACTGATATACTCCGTCGCGTTATGCGGGATTACTTCAAGTTCGATGTCAAATTTGTCATGAATATAACTGATGTGGATGATAAGGCACAGCTATAGATACACGAATGGTTATATATTTGCGATACCCAGCCAAATACTGACCTGTCAATCAAACTTTATAGATAACTAATTACCAGAGCACGGCAGCAACACCTTTTGATGAATACAAGGCTAAACATCCTTTCCTTGATACCAAATTTTTAGACATAGCACAGCTTGTGTTTTCAACTTTCCTGGAACAGCGTCTGCCTCTTCTAGGTTCTGACACACTACCGTCAAACATCGGCCATGAAGCATAATGCAAATACGCCTTCAACCTCGGTGGAGACGCCCTGAATGGCAATAAAAAACCTGGATCGGACGAAGCCAACATTAAAGTGATATCAAGACCGCCTCAATAGCTGCGGAAGCTATAAAGAACGCGCTTGACAAAATGTCGTCTAAAACCTCTGAACCAGAACTTTCCTTTGAAACCATGAGTACCAAAAGCTTCATTCCAGGTGGACGCTTAAACTCAAGTGAAATATTATATGAGGCTTGTGAAGACGTATTCCTCGTCTATCTTGACTTCGTCGGTGGCTCCTCCATTTCCAGTTCCGATTATTCGCTCTTCAGAACGCTGACCAGGAATTTTGAGACGCGGTTCCTTGAAGATATGTGGTGTTTGAATGTTCTTGATCCAGATGAACTGACAAGGGTGACTTCATACATCCCTGAAATAATCCAGTTTATCGAGAAGATTATTGACAATGGTTTTGCGTATTCTACATTGGATGGCTCCATATATTTTAACATCGATAAATTCGAAAACGCTGGTAATCATTACGCCAAACTAGAGCCCTGGAATAGACACAATAAGCACCTTCAAAGGGATGGAGAAGGCTCCTTATCGAAAAACACGACAGCAAAGGCTTCAAAAAACGACTTTGCTCTCTGGGAGGCATCCCGGCCAGGGGAACCAAGTTGGCCCAGCCCTTGGGGGAATGGTCGGCCTGGCTGGCATATTGAGTGTTCTGCAATGGCTTCGGCTAAACTTGGAAGTCAAATCGATATCCATTCTGGTGGGATTGATCTTGCATTCCCACATCATGATAATGAACTTCCCCAGAGTGAGGCGTACTAGGGTGAAACCCAATGGGTCAATTACTTCCTCCATATGGGTCATCTCTCCATTCATGGCTCAAAAATGTCTAAATCCCTCAAAAATTTTACGGCTATAGGGGGAGCACTTGCCAAAGGCACCTGGACCTCGTGAAGTCTGAGAATTGTTTTTCTTCTTGGTGAGTGGTGAGAAGGTATTGAAATCACGACAGATATGGTTAACGTTGCACGCTCCTGGGAAGCAAAACTGGACAATTTCTTTTTAAAAGCCAGGAATATTGTGGTATTGAAAAAAACCATACTAGAGGAGCAGTCTCACAATGATTATTCGCTTACCCGGCAGCTCATATCGGCCCAAGAGAAAGTTTTTAATGCCCTGTGCAGTTCCTTTGATACCCCTGCTGCAATGAATGCCATATCAGAGCTGGTGTCAAACTATAATAGTATCGAACCCTTGGAGTTGAACTGCATTGTTTTTTCAGGAGGGTGCTAGATGGGTTACATCAATGATGAACATCTTTGGGCTAAATGGGCATGCTTCACCACACAATCCTGACATCGGGTGGGCCGGCATTGATGTTCCTGAATATTCAAAGCCATATCTGAACACCCTTTCAGCTTTGCGGGATGTGGTCCGCCGGCTTGCAAAGTCAAAAGCCCATATCACGTCTCAAACTCTCGGTAGTATTATAAATACTATCGGCTCAAGCGCGGACCTGGGGCATTCCATGTTAGATCTAGCACTCCCATACGTGGAGGTTCTGAGGAAATTCAAAGACCAAATTGCATCCCTGAACATAGGTACAACTGAAGTAGACCCAAACCAACTTTTGAGGTATTGTGATCGCATTAGAGACGTAGATGTTTTTGACCTCGGTATCTACCTCGAGGATCAGGACAGTGGCTGTGCCATAATACGTCCAGTCACAAGTGACCTCATTAAGACTAATTAAACAGGCTAATCTACTCCGTAGGCACCCCCTAAAATGAGTGATGTTAATGACAATATTCTTCAACCTTTCAACAGCACAATCGGTGAGCGATGCTTGGTTATCTATCCCTCGATCAAAAGTACAAAAACAGCTAGCGAAGGGGACAAAAAGATCAAAACATACGAAAGTCGGGATTCGCTGGTGGTCACCCACCCAACTACTAACCGACCGGCAAGTGGCTTAAGTACAGCTGAGCGGACGGGAAGCTCTGTTTTCCACTTCCTGTGTTCGTATGTGCTTGTCTTCTATCGTGATAGGTTTATATAGTAGTTAGCTAACGCCCTGATGACTAACTAGTTATCACGTGCCAACCTGTTAACTAGAAGAAGGTTGGTTTAGGTGAAGAATGGTTTCAAACCAACTGCTGAGCTATCGTTCATGCGATTACTCCAATGCAGTTCTGATTGTCATTGAACACCTGTAACAATTGTCAAAGCCCAGGCTTCAGCATTATAGAATATAGGTCTATATGGTTTCACTGGGCTTCGTCTCTTGTCGCTCTTCGGCGTTATCCTTGGCGGTTCCTTTCTGGAATTTGCGCAAGCAAGCTGTTTGTAGAAGTTTCAATATTTCCTACCGGACAATGACTTGTTAGCTCCTTGACTCTTAATCGTTCGAAGTTTTCTTGGTTACTAATCGACTTGCTGTATAGCAGCTTCGAAACCTACGCACGATCTTTTTTCATATACATCAGGACGATTTTTATACAATGAAGACCTACGGTTGCGAGAAAGATATGTCGAATTTGACGTGACTGCCCTTAAAGAGGCAGTGACCAAGCATACCGGTGCCAAAGTTACCAATCTCGCGAAGCTCGGCGAGGGCGGTTTCAACCGAATTCTCAATGCGACACTTGAAAACGGACTGCAGTTGGTTGTCAAGATTCCGTATCCTCTCTCGGTACCAAGAAAGTATGCCACTGCCAGCGAAGTTGCAACACTTGCGTTTCTTCGCTCAAAGGGGATACCTGTCCCGAAAGTATATGGGTGGTCAGCAACCGACGAAAATGCAGTTGGAGCTGAATATATTATAATGGAGCTTGCATCAGGTATAGGTCTTGATACCAGATGGTTCAGTATGACGAAGAAACAACAACAAACCGTGACACTGGGGATTGTTGGCATAGAAAAAACCCTATTCGATATCCCTTTTGGTTCCATTGGAAGTCTGTATTTTAAAGAAGACCTACCCCTCGAACTACAGCATAATCTCTATCTTCCTGGGGCCGCGGATCCTGATGGAGATTGCAATACCTTTTGCATTGGACCTATTGCGGATTACATGTTTTGGTACGGCAAACGTTCAGAGTTGAAATTAGACCGCGGCCCTTGTGAGTATTTAAACGCTCCAGTTTTGGTTTCTTCTGACCGGAATTTTCGCTGAATTTAGTTCTTATAGGGAGTGACCCGTGCCAATATCTCAGAGCAATTGGGAATCGTGAACTAGAATGGACCAAAAAATATGGAAAACCCCTTGAAAAGGAGTTCCCTTACAACACACTCCTTCCTGGAACTATCCCTCATGAGAAGTATGCGGCATTGCTTGAAAAATATCTGGCAATTGCTCCTTTCCTTCTTCCCAAGGACCCGCTAGACCCCGGTAATCAACCGACCATTCGACACCCAGGTATGTTGAGCTTCTGTTTTACTGGCTTTGGCCATGGCATGCTGACAACTAGCCCAGATCTTACGCCGACTAATGTTTTTGTGTCTCCCGATACGTTTGACATTACTTGCATCATTGACTGGCAACATGCTATTATCACCCCCCTCCTGCTCGCTGCTGGGCACCCGAAGATGTTCGAAAATCCAGACGTAGAACCTCCAGAAACGCTAGAGGCGCCCAAACCTCCAGAGGGATATGATACTCTTGACATTGAAACAAAAAGCCAGGTTGATGAGCTCCTCAGGCGACGTTATCTTTATTACCTATATCGCGTTTTCAACGGAGCTCGGAATAAAGGACATCTCTCTGCCTTTTATGACCCTGTATTACAACCTCGCCAGCATCTTGTTGACTACGCTGGTCGCCAATGGACTGGAAACATCATAACTCTGCGGGGTGCCTTGATGCGGATGTGCGGATATTGGCCTCTTTTATCAACCAAGGAGGAATGCCCTATCTCTTTCACTGATGCAGAATTAAAAAAGCACTCTGAGGATGAGCCAATGTGGTTCGACTTAACCGCCCTAGTTAACTATTGGCGTGATGAGCTTGGTGGACTAAGTGAGGAGGGGTGGATAAGATCGGAAATGTTCGATCATGCCATGAAAAAGAACAAGGAGCTTAAGGAAAAATTCATCAATGATGCTGATCCTGATGAGGTCGAAAATGTTGTAAAAGGCTGGCCATTTCAGGACAAGGAGGAATTTTTCTAGGAATTTTCAATGCGCATAAATTATCGGGCATGGATTTGATTGAATACGATGAACGAAGAGGGGTTTTCTTTTCGGGCAGTTAACGTCGCATCTACAGAATGTTAACACAGGGATGATGGCGATTGGGCCTTGATGATATGCAGGTCTTAGACTCGGCGCTTACCAAAACGCAGGCAGTTTCGCGTACAACTCAGCCAGGCAGCCGCCGTAAATCATCCCAAGCCCATGTCTTTAAGAAGGACGGGATTTTCTCGTTGTTCTCTTCCTCTATTGTCACAACCAAACTGACTCTCCTTCACAAACTATCGAAGGCCGCTTCTTATATTATCTCCAGCATTTTACTCTTTGACTTGGCACTTACTCAATAAGCATGGGGCTCTCCAAAACCCTTCTTACCTCCATCTCCTTTGTCCGCGGCCGCCCTGCTGACCTTCGGAAATTCTTCGAGCCTACAGCAGCTCGGGGTAGGACTGTTTGGCCGAAGACAGCTGCTGATCTACTTCGGTTCGGCGTTCGCTGGGACTATGACGGCGTGGTTACCAAGGACGATGGGAAGGAATATCATAAATATCAGCTTCAACCTAATGCCGGCAAAATCCCTTCGTCGATTAAACAATGGCGCGATAACAACGGTGGAACTCATGCTGTGATGGCTATAATGTATATTCCCAAGGGCGCACCAATCGACGGTCAGGTATTTGAGGAAGAGGCAATGGAGGCTATCAAGGATATCTAGTTGATGGATAATCATGGTATGCTTGATTAAGTTCCTTCGTGCTCAATTTACTCACTAATTTTTGCGACACAGGTACTAAGCTTCAATTCTGAAAGCCGCTTATATAAACCGTTACCCTCCACTATTCTTTGAAAGGTTGCGAGGTCACGAACGTTGAACACTCGTGAACTATTACTGATCCGTCATCGCGACTCTTTTGATGTTTCATGCTTTTGCGTGCTGTTTAAGGCATCTAGTTTACAGTTTCCTACATTTCCTTGTCCAACTCGACTTCAGTCTCTACCATACTATCAATAAAAATATTTGATTTGAACCTCCCATATTTAACAACACACGTATCAAGTATCAGATTAACTGACCAGCAAGTGGCTTAAGTGCAGCTGAACGGATGGTAAGCTCTGCTTCTCACTTTTTGGTGTCATATGTACGGAGTACGCACTGGACAAAAAGATGGGCAAGGAGGTTTTAATATCCAAATTAGCTACCGAAGGAGAAGCTTAATATATGGTTTCAAGGAGAAGGCCCAAGCTTCCCGGGGCCGAGGCGAGCCTTTTTTTATACATCATGTGACATGGTTATAACCTATGGAACTCACCACGCCAAGAGCCTTTCCCGGCTCCAAAGGCGAAATGGAAGGGCTGCGAGTGGTTGTTGCATATGTTGTATTATTCCGTACCAGCGTTGTCGTCGGGGCGCATGGCACAGCTATGTTGGACACTGGGCGGCGGGGCAACGAACTGTACGATGGGCCAAAGGCAGAGTGCCGACACTGCATATTCCGAACACCGCCAAACCCAAGGACTCAGACTCAAGATATGAGGAAAACGGTACGACACAGAGATTTTACCGTTACAAGTGATTGAGCTGTTCGACCTGCGGGGTTGAGAGAGAGAATAAAGAGGGAATACTCTATCTGCATGCCGGATACGGGTTTAAAGCTAACAATGCTGGAGGTGGGAGAGCTGGGTATAACTAATGGGTAATGGGTACAAAGTGTGGTAACATCATCACACTCGGCACGCAGACAAACCTCTTACAACAGGACAAGGACCTCAGGTAAGATGGTGTCCTCGGGTATGCTCACAACTGCTCTGTCTGGAGGCAGGAGCATCTGATGCCCTGCGAACAGCGAAACATCCAGCTTGAGGAGCTAAATCTGCTCATACTTTTCCTGGTGACTGTGATGATGGTTGCAAAAGGGCCAAAGGAGCAGGGATGCGAGCAGAAACTTATCTATTTCCCCCAGGGTAACCTAGGACAGCTTGGTCCGAAAGCGGTGTCTGCAGCAGCGGCATCTGAATACTGGAAGGCAAAATGACAGCCAGCTGACTGTTTGCAATGTCTCATTGACCGGGATAGTAGGACTGTGCACGCCTTGCAGCTTGATCCTGCGATGCCAGCAATTAATATATATGACTGCATCCAAAGGGGCCTGGCCTGGCTGGAAGCAGGCCGGAAAGCAAGCTCTTCGTCATATATTACGAGCTGACATATGGCCGAGGTGGAACAGTGCAGATCAGCGGAGATTGGGGCTTGCGGCAGAGTGGACAAAAAGTGACTTGTTCTCCAGCGGGCGCTCGCATATCTGGTGATGTACTGGCCATGTCGCCCAGGCGGCAAGGGGAGGGCTTGTCCATGGAGTAAAATAGGGGGGAGAAGCAGGTTGTTGCTGGGAACATGGCATGCCGGCATCGCTCTTCCCCACCGTGGCGTCCCTCGGGCGTTGCTGGTTTATTTGCTGTTTGCGAGGAGCTGGATCGTTAGTTTGTTGCGAAATGAACGGTTTAAGTCGATAGATTAAATAAAGGAAAGCTACCCCGTATATATTGATATCACTCCAGGTCTTCGCATTCCCGGGGATGTCTTCTTCTTCTCTTCGTTGCTGTCGAAGTGAGTGACAACGTCATATTTCTACCCCGTACCCATCTGCGAGAAAGTCGACGGAGGCCAGTCGGTCTTGGCCCCTATAGCTGAGGTTGCTTAACTACGGGCACGGAGTAACTCAGCTCGCGATGTTGTTCCGCTGGTGCCCCTTAGTGGCTCTGGCCATCGCTTCTGGCACAGCTGCTACAGAGGTACGGAAGGGCTAACGACTCGCGAGAACTGTGGTAATGTGCGATAGCCGATGCTGACTGGAGATGCGTTACTTTAGCAGAGCTGGGAATCACCGCCATACTATCCATCACCATGGACTAAAGGAGAGGGAGAGTGGGAAGCTGCCTATCAAAAGGCTGTCTCCTTCGTCTCGCAGCTCACGCTGGCCGAGAAGGTCAACTTGACAACCGGTGTTGGGTATGTCTGGGGATAGTTAGTGCTGAAAAGGAATGCAAGACGAATCAAACAGCTAATGGCTTGATAACTAGATGGATGCAAGAATCTTGCGTTGGTCAAGTCGGTTCGATTCCGCGTCTTGGTTTCCGTTCCCTGTGTATGCAGGATGGCCCTCTGGGTATCCGATTTGGTATGGAAGCTCGAATGTACATTTTCCTTTACCTAACTTGCAATACTAACTTCTATCTACCTTGTGTAGGTGACTACGTTACTGCGTTCCCGGCCGGAATCAACGTTGCTGCCACATGGAGCAGAGAACTAGCTTATCTTCGAGGAAAAGCCATGGGAGAGGAGTTTCGTGGTAAGGGCGCGGACGTGATACTTGGGCCTGCAATCGGCCCTATAGGGCGCGCTCCAGAGGGAGGACGAAATTGGGAAGGCCTTGGGCCTGATCCAGTCCTGGCTGGTAAGCTCGTTGCAGAGACGATCAAGGGTATGCAGAAATCAGGCGTGATTGCATGTGCAAAGCACTTTATCGCCAATGAACAAGAGCGATTCCGGATTGCTGCCGAAGCTCAAGGGTATGGATTCGACATTGCTGAGAGTATAAGCTCTAACGTTGACGACGTGACAATGCATGAGATATACCTATGGTAAGCTCTCGAGCTGAGACGATGACTTTCGGATGGTATACGTTGCTAACGAACGATGTCGCAGGCCCTTTGCTGATGCTGTCAAAGCCGGAGTAGGTTCAATCATGTGCTCCTACAACCAGATCAACAACAGCTATGGCTGTGGAAACAGTTACACGCAGAACAAGTTGCTCAAGGGCGAACTTGGATTCCGTGGTTTCATCATGTCAGACTGGCAAGCACACCACAGCGGTGTTGGTTCTGCCTTTGCTGGATTGGACATGTCTATGCCCGGTGACACTTTGTTCGGCACGGGTGTCTCCTATTGGGGTGCCAACCTCACCATTGCCGTTGCCAATGGAACCATTCCTGAATGGAGAGTCGATGACATGGCCGTCCGTATCATGGCTGCCTACTACAAAGTTGGCCGTGACCAAGTTCAAGTCCCCATCAACTTCAACTCATGGACCACCGATGTCGAGGGCTACCAGCATGCACTTGTGAAAGAAGGATACGGAGTAGTTAATCAGAGGGTGAATGTTCGTGACCATCATGCACAGATAGCCCGTCGTGTGGCCAGGGATAGTACTGTTCTCCTGAAGAACGAAGGTGTCCTCCCTCTCACTGGAACGGAGCAATTCACAGCCATCATTGGAGAAGATGCAGGCCCCAATATTAACGGGCCAAACAGCTGCCCTGACCGTGGGTGTGATAATGGAACCCTTGCAATGGGATGGGGTAGTGGAACGACAAACTTCCCTTATCTTGTGACTCCAGACGACGCTATCCAGCGTGAAATCGTGGGTAAGGGTGTTGGAAATGTCATGTCTGTTCTCCAAAATGGTGACTTCAAAAACATTCAGTCAGTGGCTGGTCAGGCAGACGTTGCCCTTGTTTTCATTAACTCGGACTCCGGTGAAGGGTATATTTCCGTTGACGGCAATGAAGGCGACCGGAAGAACCTGACTACTTGGAAGGGAGGCGATGAGATGGTCAAGCAGGTGACATCTGTCTGCAATAACACCGTACTTGTCATCCATTCCAGTGGTCCAATCCTGGCTGGCGAATGGCACGATAATCCAAATATCACTGCCATTCTATGGGCAGGTCTCCCTGGACAGGAAAGTGGAAATGCCCTGGTTGATATTCTGTACGGCAAAGAGAATCCTGGTGGTAAATCGCCATTTACCTGGGCCAGGACCGCCGAAGACTATGGTACCACAATCTTGCGGGAGCCAAACAACGGAAAGGGCGCACCGCAGCATCTATTCTCTGAGGGTATCATGTTTGAGTACAGGCACTTCGACCAGAAGAATATCACTCCTGTCTACGAGTTTGGATACGGGTTGAGCTATACCACTTTCTCCTACTCAAACCTGAAAGTAAGGCCGATGCGTGCCAATAAGTATGTGCCTGCCACCGGCATGACCAAACCAGCACCACGACTGGGCCACTCCTCGACCAAATATGCCGACTACCTGTTCCCCGGTGGCTTCAAGGGGGTAACAAAATACGTATACTCCTGGCTCACGTCGACTGATCCCAAGGAGGCGTCCGGAGACAAAAATTACGGAATGCCCCTCGAGGACTATGTGCCTCCGAATGCAAACAACGGCGATGCACAGCCTGTTCTCCCCGCCAGTGGTGTTCCTGGCGGAAACCCCGGTCTGTTTGAAGACTTGTATGAGGTCTCAGCTGTCATCACCAACGATGGGGACAGAGTAGGCGAGGAAGTCCCACAGCTGGTACGTAACCTTTCTTTTCTTCCTCCTATCTCTCTCTTAAGGTATCATCACAACTAATACAAAGTCCTCATAGTATATCTCCCTTGGTGGCGATCGGAATGCGAAGGTTGTTCTTCGTGGATTCGACCGTATCCGATTAGCTCCGCACCAGCGTTTCCGGTGGAGAACCACCATCACCCGACGAGATGTTTCCAACTGGGACCCAGCGAGTCAAGACTGGGTCATGACCGAGAACCCGAAAATCGTCTACGTAGGAAGCTCTTCGCGGAATTTACCGCTTCAAGCACCGCTGCCCGCGCCAAATTTGGCGTGAGATCGAAGCTCTCCGGTGTCGTTTTTAACGTTATTTTATCCTCCAAAGCGTCTCTCCTTCCCTTCTATATGGCCCGCTTTTGCTTTTGTATATCCTTTTTAGTAGTGTCCATAATTGATTGATTGGGTGATAGCCCGGGAAGTGGGCTTCTCTACCATGGTTAAGGGAGTATTCCCGACTCTTTTTTGCTCCCAAATCGCTTGCTTTGCTCCATCCAACCTCGTAAGAAAGCGTAGGAGGATGATCTGATCACGCACCCCCTGAGCCTCGACGGAGAGTCCATAACATCGGGCTCTTTATCGTGTAGATCGGGCTTCTCGTGGAGCCCCTGACAGGCCATGAAACAGTCGATTCGTCGAACGATCTGCTCTCTCGAAGGGCGTTTCTTTCCGAGATCTTTGTTTTTTGCCTCATGGAAGGAGTTTTAACGGTGTTGACTTGCTTTCCCTCCTCGTACAGCAGTTATGCTTCCCTCATCCCTGCTCTCTTCTCTCCAGAGCGATGGGACTGACATGTGGATGGAGTCTCGATCCAGCTCTGCTGCCGTTGATGCTCTGGCCAGATGCTCGGCTTGCTTAGATGCTGCGTAACTCATAATGGAGCTCCCCGTCATGCACATGCATCGGTAGCACTCCATAGGTCAATCTGATTGAAACGATGCATCGATCTGATATGTGGCGGCAAGCTGCAAAGGAACAGCTACACACTAGTTAGTGATAGCGGTCGAACAGATCTGAGCACCACCATTTCCCACGCCTTGAATATACGGTGAACTAACTGATCTTCCCCGTCCAATAAATCAATCATCCTCGCCACAAACCAAGCACCCGAGGTTACGTTTTCAACAACTTAGCTTGGACATGACGACGGTGGCGTCTGGCTGAAGGTAACACCAGGGGAGCAGACTTTTCGTTGGAAGCATCGAGGCTCAGCCCTACGCTTGGAGTGCCTGGACAGCTTGATATTGAGACTTTGGTGGCTTCAGGGCGATCCGAAAACGGGCAACAAACGGAGAACTTTTTGATAAGCTTTTAAAGATGTTAATATGTTATTATCTTTTTTTAAGCCATGGGCCTGCTTGTGCTACGACGTTAGTATAAACTGACTTGACCGTGGAGGAAGAGACGGGAAAGGAAAGATATGGGACTTGGAAGTCTATATCTGGGTCGGAGTTCTTCCGCGTGCAAGCTTGGATGGCGTTCGAGCCCTCTGAACCTGGAGATAGAGATAGGGATAGACATGGATTATTATTCTAAGTATGCATGAGGCAGTCGTGAGTTAACCTTCCCCACAGGCCTGGAGAGTTAGCTGGCGAGTTCGTTAGGGGGAAGAGCGAACATGCTGGTTGGACAGTTGAGAATATGTTTTATATTGACGCAGAGGCGCAGACCCTGAATCAGAATAATGCAAATCGTGATTTTATCTAGCCACCCAAGAATCAAGGATAATGTGGTATGTACGTCTAAATGCGAATATATGTACAGTTTCTCAAGTTTTGTTCACGAACTAATCTCGCTTGGCCTCTTGGGTATCATCGGGCGGGACAGTGGAAGGGAAAAGGAAGGCAAGAAGACAAAGTCGGCTATGAGTTGTGCCAGTAGACAAGGAAGGGATGTGTTGAAGGGAGTTTGACGACAACGGAGTTCCCTGTCCCGATGGGGCAAGAGTTGGAGCATCGGCCGCTCGTTTTGACCATGGGCTCCCTCTCCACAGCGACCAGTCTTTCCAGCGGTGCCTGAGCTGTTGTGTTTTGCGGAAACTCTATTCCCCCTGGACCAAAATATTCCCCAGGGTTCCAGAGTGATGGGCTCCATAACTAGCAGTACGTCAATTATGGAGTGGTTGTGTTAGTTGAAAAGGCGTGCTCGGTAACTAGCCTGAACCACGGTTCGTCTGGTACTAAGCGAGTGTAGTTCGGATTTTCTCATTCGGCTGACAGTTGGATGGGGATCTTCACCTGGGCCTTTTATGCTTGTGCTATATGTAATACCATTAGGGAACCAGCTGAATCAGGTGGGAAAGGGGGAAGGACGTATCCTTGAAAGCCCAGCGAATATTCTTTCGATGGTGAAACTTCTGGCTTTGGCGCGATATAACTGGGGGAAATAGGACAGGACACCGGACTAGAGCTGCAGATGGACCCACGATAGCAGGCTGCATGGAGTTAGTAGTTAGCCGGAGGGCCAACTTGAATCCACCGCCAGGGGATCTCCCACTAATCGACGACCGAGTCGGCTCGGGGAGACTAGCAATCGTGACATTGAGGCGCAGCGTTAGAGCTTAAAAAGCTTAGCGGTATCGGAATGGATGGGCCTCTGTATTGAGCACGTACTCGTCAAGACTGACGACGTCTGGCTCAGAGAAGATGAGATAGAAGTACTTGAGCGTTTCGGCAAACCAGAAGGACTCCATGCGGTCTGATTTGGTTGGTTTGGGGATGGTGCAGTCATCCAGCGCCGCGTGGGCGATATCGGTGATGGTGTGTTTGACGATGGTGTCGAACATCCTCCATGCTCTGTCGAGCAGGGAGGAGTCTCCTGTTAGGCGATAGAGGACGAATATGGACTCAATTGCCTCCGGCCTTTTGCATTATTAAGTTTAGTTGTGTTAGTTATATGTTGGAAAAAAAAAAAAATTGCAAACATTTCAGAGCCCACCTGAGAATGTAACGCCTGTCTGGAATCCGAACAAACCCAGGCATTAATCCTTGTTCTGCAACATACTCGTAAAAATCGGTGCCTATAGTGTAGTACGTATCTTCAACGGCCTTTTTCCATACTTCTTCGTTCCAGGGACAGTCGTTGCGGTCCTGGCATCTGACTGTGACCATGATCTCAGGCATGATACCCATGCTGCTCTTTTCGTATGCCCAGAGACACCCCTCGACCAGCTTCCTTGCCGTGTCCATGTCATCGTCGCTTTGAAAGGCCTTGGCTGCCAGACCAACCATCCCGCCCGCGAAGCAACTGAGATGCTGAGCGGTGGGTTCCGGGCGAAGTTCGGACAACGGCACCCTCTGACTGACCGTGACATCGCCGGGAAAGAGAATGTCTTCACCATGCTTTGTCATGGGGCGGAAGAAGATGTTTCGGTCCATGGCGGCAAAGGCACCTTTGTAGAGCTTCTTATATTGTTGGGAAGCCCCACCAAGCAGGATATATTGCTACTATTGTTAGCATCCTTGTTTGTATGTAAGTATAATAATATAGGGCCGGTCGATCAAAAGATCTGCTATGTTAAACGCACCTTTGGGAGATACTCGTACAGGGAATCTGCCATGCCGCCGATGGTGAATCGATTCGAAGAACAGAAATTCATGGCCTCTGCATCAATCATGAACGGCCACATACCGGGAAGCTTGGTCTTGCTCTGCTGCTTTTCCATGGCGTTCATGATCCGCTGCACCGCGTCGAAGTACTTTGGATCACCAGTAAGCTGGGTAAGGCGAGTAAACTCCATGGTGAGCGAGCCAATCTCGGCAACAATCATCTGGTCGGCGGCCTTGGGTCTGGCGCCGGCAGCAGCCTTCTTGAAGTCCCAGTGGGCAATGGGCATGCGATTGGGCGTGTCGAAGGCCACATAGAGCATCTGACCGATCTCGACTGCCTTGCGCAGCAGAGAAGGGTACTTTTGCCCGCTTACGTCGTAGGCGCCCAGCAGGCCACCCAGGTAGCGAATGGTGGTCTCGAAGACATTGACTTCTTCCACGGTGCAGTTGTTGAAGTCAATGCCATCAATGGCCTTGACTGCTTCCGCAAACTCGTCGTACAGGCCCATTATCCATAGCGTATCTATCCCCGAGTTAGATATCAAGTCGGACATGTATGATAGTAATAATAAAAGGGGGCAGGTGGGAGACTTACCTAGCCCGTCGACCATGGAGGCCGCCCAACCGCCAAAGGGGTTCAATGCCAGGCCGGACAGCGGCGCGACCTCGTCTGCCATCCATGCATGAGCCTTGTAGCCGTTCCATGCATGAGAGAAGTTGCCCTTGACAGCCTCGAGCCGACTGAGCCGCAGACGGCGCGCATCCTCGTCCTCTTTGCCTGAGAAACGGTGCTGAATCAGCGGAATGCTGCTGGGATCGCCCCGAGGCATCTTGATCATGGACCGGACTGCATATTTCTGGGGTACATGAGCCCAGGAGAAGGCCCCGTCGGCCGGCGTGGTGGTGTCTGGCGGCGGCCACGAAGCGCTGCTGGCGACGCCGCCGCTGCTCGACGATGGCTGGCGGAAGTTTCTGACCAGGAAGAAGGCGACGGCCAGCGCGAGCAGGAGCACGACCGGCCTGCGTCTGACGTAGGGCATCGCCATAATGGTCTCTTCGGTTCTTCTTCTGCTGCGTCTCCGGGCCTTGCTCTGCGGGCGGTGTCTCTCGGTTCCTTACGGTCGCTGGATGTCGTTGTCGAGTCGCAGGCCGTCCGTTGTTGGCGCGTTTGATGCATCGTTTTTCTTACTAACCGCCGGCTGTGGCGCCCTTGAGAGCGATCCCTGGAAGACGACGAAGAAGACAGGAGACGAAGAGTCAGAAGAGACGAGACGAGGCAAAAGAACAAGGAGGACGACGGGCATCCAACGTCTAGGGAGGTCTTGGGATTCGCTCGCGGGCTTCAAGGGCCCCTGTAGGCAGCCAGAGGACAGCAGCTGCATCTCTCTCTCTCTCTCTCTCTATATATATATATATATATATATACGTGCCATGCAGCCCCCTTTTTTGGCGTCCTCTGATGGCTACGGAGCACGGCAGCTTCAGTGTATATAGCTAGCTATCCTAATTCTACCGAGATGAGAGCGTACAGCGACTGCTGTCGGACGCGCTGGCGGCTGCGAGAGACGAGCTCCAGCAACGACAGCGAGGCCACGCTGGAATACGGCGGGTCACTCTCTCTGGCTGGTGGCCGTCGACGAGCGCTACAGCGAGCTGCTCGCCAGTGAGTGTTTGCATCCAGTATAACAAACAACAGCTGGCTACGAGGTCGAGACTGCTAACTGACGGCCGTTGTTGCGCGTAACTGACGCACAGCCGGCATCGTCGTCTCGCAGCGAGGACACAGCAGAGTGAACATCGACATCCCAGAGCAGGTCCTGAGCCGGACGAGGCGGTTCAGGTTCGATATCAGAGGCTGTGACGGCGATGCGGGCCATGGCTACGGGCAGAGGGCCATCTCGTCGGACGAGTTTCGTGTCTCGATATTGACACGGATAGCAGTTAGAGACGCGGGTGACGAGACGCTGACAGCGGGCAGCAAGACTGGCATCGGGATAGGCATTGGACTCGCATTTGTTGCCCTCGCGTCTCTCGGGTTCCTACATTTCTACCGTCGACGGCGACGAAGAAGAGAGATCGACTCGTATCTCGCGGCATCACGGCCAGCGCAGACAGAAGCAGCAGCAGTAACAACAACATCAACATCAACAATGGCATCCCCAGAGTCAATAGCGGAGATGCCGACGGATAACGAGACTGTGAAGCAATCTGTATTCGAGATCGAAGGCCAGGGACGGAAGCTTGCGGAGCTCCAGGGCTCTCTGGCCGCCAGCGAGATGCCAGCCTCCTCAGCGCACCAGCAGCCAGCAGCACCTGTCGAGCTCCCAGGCAGCATCCCCAGAACGATATCGACATGAAATGAACCCCAGCATTTCTCTTTCCTTTTCCCTATACTTTTACGGTGTTACTAGGAAATACGGCCCGAGACAAGGGCTGGAATAGCGTTTCGGGCTAACTAGCTGAGCATATCAAGATGGTGACACAGAATAGGGACATATCTTTGATTCAGCCGGAGCATCTCCAGGCCAGATAGAAAAAAGGAAGAAGAGGGCTGACCCTTGGGCGGGAAGAAGCTTGTCTGGTGGGCTCCTTCGCTGCTTCTCAGGAGTCTTTTCTCATCTCAAAGGGGTAGCTATATCCTCCCTCCAGTTTCTGTGTCTGCTGGCCCTCGCTATCGTTGCTTAATCCAGAGTATCTCTCTGGTGTCTCTTGTTATTCTTATACTGAGGGCTCCCTGTCCTCTTTCCTCCTGCGCTTCGTACTGCTGCTGCTTTCCCCGTATGCCCTGTAACTAACGCATCCTTGTAGAAAAGATCGAAACTTCGCATACATTCTGCAATCACATGCAGCCAAGGCGGGCCCCGGAAAGCTGTGGCTCGACGAGAGAGACGCAGAGGCAGGGCAAGCCAGTCGAAAGGGAAAAGAAAAACGTTGAAGCAGAAGAAGAAACGAAAAAAAAAAAAAAAAAAAAAAAGCAACGCCGTTGGTATAACGAAGTATATATTAGACTCAAATGGGGACAGAGAAGATGGACTTGCATCATCCCTGACGGGCCCTCCCCATCCCCCTACGCACCGCGCAAAAAAGAAACGAGCGAGCAAGTCTTCACGCTTGTCGAACTAAGAGTGGCCGCTGGATGCTAGCCACGTTTCCCGAACCCGCGTGTCGACGCCATCTCGGAGTTGCTGGACGTATTGAGGGACGGCATCGGTCGTAGAACTCGCAAGGTCCCATCCCATCCCATCGCATCCCATCGACCATCCGCCCAGTAACCAAGGCGAGCCCCCGAGAAGAAGCAAGCGCAAGAAGGGCGCCGGGCATCACTAACAACGACGACGACTCCGTACCTACTAGTCCCTCCGCTCTCGCGCGCAAGTCAAGTACGCAAGGACGGCCGCAAAGGAAAAAAGGACGAAGGCAGAAGAAAAGAAACGAGACGACGAAAGCCAAGCCAAATAGCGCTGCCTTAGTCAAAAGGTTCCTCTGGCTTTTGCTTCCTGCTCGTTCACGGAAGGCAAAAGTCGACCACAAGCAGACAACACGCTGTTGGAGCGCTGGAAGCACAGAAAAGTACGAAGCAGAGTCGAAAGACGCAGACGAAGCGACCCAGAAGATACATCCGGACGGAAGACCATGGCGGCGTGGAAGCCTGCTTCTCCCCTTGCGCGATAATAATACTTTTACTTAGAACGTTGTCTATAACTATTACTTACATCTAACTGCACGCCCGCCTCGCACGACAACCAACCAAAAACATCCAACGCTTTTCCCTCGCCCTACTATGCTCCAGGCGCCCCAGTGATCCAGCATGATGGCCTCGGGGCTCGATCTGACCTATTTGCAGCGGGACGACGGGGATGAGCCCGCAGCCTCCTCGATGGCCTCTGGCTCTGTGTCTGGCTCAGGCTTCAGGGCAAACACCAGCGACACCACGACGAATGACACTGGTTACAGCACCACCAGCCGCAACGATTTCGCTGGAGACAGCAGTACTGGGATCGGAGCCGAAGAAGAACAGCGCCAGCAGGACGTCTACCGCTCGCTGTACGACAACCCGGGCTCGTGCCTCATGGACGAGACGGGACACCAGCCACAGCATATACAACAGCATATACAGCAGCAGCAGCAGCAGCTACAGCTACAGCAACAGCAACAGCAACAGCAGCAACATCAGCAGCAGCAGCAGCAGCACCAGCAACAGAATGAACAGTTTATCGAACAACAAAATGATAATACTGAACAGGAGCGGCCATGGACAGAGCTCAAGACTAAGGCGGGCAAGGAAAGAAAGCGGCTACCGCTCGCCTGCATTGTCTGCCGCAGAAAGAAGATCCGCTGCTCGGGAGAGAAACCGGCGTGCAAGCACCGCTATCGCTCGAGGATTCCGTGTGTATACAAGGTCACCACCAGAAAGGCGGCCCCGCGAACAGATTACATGGCCATGCTCGACAAGCGTCTCAAACGTATGGAGGAACGGGTCATGAAGGCCATCCCGAAAGATGAACAGCGCGACATGGTCGCCATCGGACGAGCTACCGTCAAGCCTCTGCCACCAGGGCATGCCTCCCGTCCGGCTCGTGCATCCCTCAAGAAGCGGACCGCGACGGAGGCCTTCAACGCAGAGCTCAGTGAGTGGACGAAGCCTCTCACCACAGCGATGCCAAACACTCAACCAGGGCAAGCGGAGCAGATTGGGCCACCGGGGAAAGGGCAGGATATACGGACAGTCATGCCCGCTCTACATGTTAACACAGAGCACAAACTGCTCTCACAGGGAGTCGAGTTTTTACCATCCATGGAGCTGCAGGAACACCTCGCAGAAGTGTTTTTCGACTGCGTTTATGGCCAGTCCTACCTCCTGCTACATAAACCAAGCTTCATGCGCAAGCTCAAGGCCGATGCGGTTCCGCCAGTCCTTACGCTTGCCATTTGCGCCGTCGCCGCCCGCTTCTCTACGCACCCGCAAGTGAACAACACCGAACCAGCCTTCCTACGAGGCGAGTCCTGGGCCAACGCCGCCGCAGACATCGCCCTCGCTCGACACGATCAACCCAACATCACCATTCTCACCGTCTTTCTCATCCTCGGCCTTCACGAATTCGGCGCTTGCCATGGAGGTCGAAGCTGGTCGTTTGGCGGAATGGCCTTGCGCATGGCTTATGCCCTTCAGTTGCACAAGGAACTTGACCGCGACCCTCTAGGGCAAGGTGGGAGTGCTTCAGAGCTTAGTTGTACTGACAGAGAAATCCGACGACGTACCATGTGGGCATGTGTCCTTATGGATCGCTACAATTCTTCCGGCAGCCAGAGACCACCCATCGGTAACGAGAAGTTTTTACAGATACAGCTACCCATCAAGGAATCCCATTTTTGGCGTGAAATACCGGGTCCGACCGAAGATCTAGATGGGGCGGTACCCAATCCCGTACCTGAAGGTGTCGGACAGCTCTCGAACCCAAAGAACAACATGGGCATATCTGCATACATCATACGCGGTATCATGCTCTGGGGAAAGATTGTTGACTACCTTAATCTAGGTGGAAAGGCCAAAGACCCATACAGATTATGGGAGCCAGAATCTGGATACAGTCAGCTGAAACGATTACTTAAGGAATTTTCCTCCTCCTTACCAGAGTGTCTTGTCTTTAACTGGGAGAACCTGCAGAACTACGCTGTAGAGAAGATTGCAAACCAGTTCATTTTCCTGCATATTGTCATTCATCAGAATACTCTCTTTCTCAACCGATTCGCCATCCCGCTCTCCCCTCGAGGTCGTCCGCCCAGAGACATCCCCAAACAGTTCCTAAGCGAGGCCGGCAAGGCGGCAGTTGAAGCTGCCAGCCACATTTCCATGCTTATCGATCAGGCATCTGGTTACATGCTCACCGTTCCCTTCGCTGGTTACTGTGCTTATGCGGCGAGTACGGTGCACATCTGGGGAATATTCTCAAAGAACCCACAGCTAGAAGCTGCCTCCAAGGAGAACTTTAGGCACACATACAAATACCTAAACAAGATGAAGCGTTACTGGGGTATGTTTCACTACATGGTCGAGAGTTCCAAGGAAAGGTACAGACATTTCGCCGAAGCATCTCTTCGAGGTCGTGCGGTTCCTGAAAGCATGAAGGACAGTAACAACCAGGATGTGCCTATTTTCCAATACGGAGATTGGTTCGACAAGTATCCTCATGGAGTATCGAAGCTGCGTTGGGAAGATCCGGACTTAGACATTAAAAAGGAGAGCGGTAGCGATGCCGTAATGTCCCAGCAGTCTGATCTCCAGAGTGTCGAAGAGTTCTTCACCAGCATGTCACCTACATCACCCTCGGATGGACCCAGAAAGGAAGCCAAACGAGCAGGCGCTACAACCCCGTCAGAGAAGGCAAGGCCAAAGCTTGGGTCAAGGGGTAACACCAAATCGCAATCTTCCAGCAATTCGGTACAATCCCGAATGGTAACGAATTTGTCCTCCCCAGAACGACAGCAGCAGCAGCAGCAGCAGCAGCATCAAACACCACGATCACAGCCAATGCAACAGCCACCCTCGACTCATCCCGTCAGTTCTCAGATTCCTACACAGCAGGAGCCTATGCCAAATCATGTTACCAATAGCTATACAACCTACAACAATCCGAACATGTACCCTGCCGACCCTTCTTCCTACGTATCCGACTATAAATTCCACGCTCATCCTGATCCCCTACCACAATTAGACCGACAACTTGTTTATGACGCCTATGCGGGCGTCGAAGCTATACCCCATCATCCTATCCCCATGCCATCATCCAATAACCCCACCATCCAATCACAGCACCCAGCCGGATCACAACCACAACCTGGACACACCCCAGATCCCAACATCAGTAACTCTTATTGGAACAACGGCAACAATAACAATTACCAGTCCTACGACATGCAGCCGCCCATGAATTGGAATGGCGAACTAATACAGTCCAGCGCATGGTTCTTGCCTTTCAACCTTGACCCAACCAGCCTTGACGCCCACGCTTCCCAGCCAGGTGATCCGGCAGGCATATCAGCAGGACCTTCCCATTCGCCTCCGAATCCAGTCGTTTCCTCCGGCATGAGCATGAGTGAAGGCGACTATTACGGCTCTCCGACAATAATGCAACCGGTTGGCATGGGCTTAGGTATGGTTGAGGGCGTACCCGGTATGTCGGAAACTCTCCGGGAGAGGGTGGGCTGAATATAGTCGACTATTCCCGTCCTGTAAATGCATACATACACTCATGCGGTGTCACCTGTCCTACAGGTGAATATCACTTTTCTCCGCCATACATAACTCCTTCCCTCCCTGCTGATACCATTTACTTACTATTATTACTGCAATTACTATGTTTACGTATATACACCACACCCTTCCCTTACGAAACCTCTCATGCCTCACAGGTTTTTTCACCCCAAATTTTCGGCCAATCCCAGAGAAAAAGAAATACCTCCATATTCCTTGTTAAAGAACGACTTCCCTACTCATGACATCTTTTTCTGTCTTTTCTTTTCCTACATGTCGGATGAGGCTAGGCGATTTGGTATATACTCCAGGGCGGAAGGACAGGGACCTGCTTAAAACGGAACGGGAGTTGACATGTATTTATTGATTCTTCATTTGCTGCTACTATACCCTTTCAACTTCACGTTTCATCTACTCGCCTGCTGTTTTTTTCTTTATTGACTCATCAACGTTCCTTTTTACCCCTCCTCATATACTCAACGAACTCTGTCATATAACTTGGCTCGACCCTCGGTTCGTCCGCGACTTGCGAACTAAGCCACAGGCTGTTCTTACTTAAAATGGTCATGATAAAAGTGTACAAGCCATAATATACGAACCTATCGTGTGCTCTATTTCCTTTCATCATCTTCGTACAAATGACAGCCTTGCGGCACACAGGCCAACCACAAAAAAAAAAAAAAAAAACAAATACAAAAACAAAAACAAAAAACAAAACAAAACAAAACAAATACACTATCCCACCTAGTCATCCCATTCTTCATCAAGCTGGTCGATCAGACGGTTCTCCTCATCAACATCCCGTTGGCCCTGTCTGTGATTGCTGCCAGCAGCATTTCTACCTCTGCCACCAATGGCTCCTACCAGCCCATTCCTTCCACCTTCAGCAGACGACCCGTTAGCGAGCTGGGAATAAGCCGATCGAGACTTTCGAAAGCGGAAACAGTTCGCCATCGACGACCAGAGGATTATAAACATATCCTAGTTCCATGACTGTTAACTTGCTTTCCATGCATTCTCTCAATTAAAAACAGTGAAGAAGATAATAAATGACTAAGCGTGTCGATAAGGTTTGGTGGAGAAGGTTTTCAGTTTCGCAATTAAGGTTTAAGAATGTGGAGACTAAAAATGCTTATTTTTTTCCCCTCGGGCCAAAGCGAGGCGAAGTAATGGGCAGGGAGACGAAGAAAAACAAACAAAATATACGTAATGGTAAAAGAAAAAGGAGACCAAGGAAAAGAGCGGATAATCCTGGCTTCGCTCGTTGGTGGACGGATATGCGGCATCATGTACTTGAACATGGAAGATGCTGATGATTTAGAAGGCGTACCGGGGGAGGTGGCAAAAGGTTGTTCCAATGAGCCCGCCATTGGAGGTTATCCAAAGTCGCTTGTTTGTAGGCCACAAGCTGAAGGATGCTGAATTGGCCACCACAAGGAGATGCAAAGAAAACAAAACACAGGCAAACATATTCTATCCGCTAACATGCTTGAATGTCCCAATATATATGGTATATGCATCCAGGGTTGAGGGTATATCCAACACCAAAAACCGAGGAACCAAAAGATGTCTATAATATGAACTGCAATGGAGTAAAACATATCAATCGAGGCGGGAAGTAGGTAGGGTAAGTGACGATCCCCGACCACCATTTTGTTGGAATCTCGACGTTTGGTGGTTACGCAAAAAGGGGAGCATTAAGAATATGGAGGTTATACATACCCCGACAAAACTGGCGGCACCACTCCACATCCCGTAGTTCGGACACTGCCTCCACCCTCGCTGGTGCATGACAGTTCGTTGATAGGCGCATCCACCAATCAGGTAGGCAGCTATAGCTATACCAGCACTAAAAGAGCAAAGGGAGCATTGTCATCAGTTACTCACGCTCTGACCCATCCAGTTGGGATCATAACCCGGAATGACCTACATGATTCCGAAGATACCAGCGGGACCAACGCCGCCGTCCGTACTTGCGGCAACGCCTCCGCAGGCAGCTGCGGTTCTGACCTCGAAGAAATAGGAGCACGAATCGGGGCTACCGACGAATGAGAAGGTAGCGGCCGGCGTAACGAGGTCTCGGTCGCAGAGGAAGGACATGAGAGTCGATTTCCTCCTTTCGACCTTGTCTTCAGGGTCTTTCTTTTTGTCATCTCCCTTTTTCTTCTCATCATCATCACCCTTTTTGTCCCCGTCCTTGTCATTGTCCTCATCGTCATCGTCGTCGCCGTCTACGATTTTGCGTCTGAATAGTTTCTTTCCGCGCGGTGAAGAAGGGCACGGTGAACCATCGGTGTAGTTCAATACAAGTTTGCGTCCGCGGAATAAGAGTGAAGATGATTGTTGCCTGTCAGGAAGTTAGCATTGCAACTTTATTGCATTAGGCCTGCCTTTGCATCAAACACCCCAGGCTCAGTCTCAGGTGACTTACCCGATGGAATAAGTCTCCCCGCCCATCTCATAGTATGCACTGATGTTCGGCCATCTCTTCTCATCGACTCCAACGACATCTGTCAAGTTTTCTACCACAGGAGCGCAGATATTTATTGTAAAATTAGCTCCATAATCATGTCCCTTCACATGCCAGCTTTCATCCCTCTGATGATCCGCATGCGACTTTTTTCCATCCTTCTTATCAAGCTGTACCGAAATCGCATTCAGATCGAAATAGAGCCCCGTGTTAGGCGAGTGGATGGTGCATGGCTTCTCTGCCGCCTTCGGTTTCTCCTCCGCTGCGCCCCAGGCAACAGAAGACAGGAAGAGAACTTGAAATAACGAGTTCAGACTATTGATATGCATGACAGGTCGTCGCGACAGAGCTTAATAGCTCAGGATATGTCGACGCCGGGAGAGAACGTGTTTGTGGTGGAAGTCCGCGATCCTAGGCACCTGGATTCAATGGAAACGTGGTCTTTCGAAACTGAAGACCAGGGAGAAAGCGCAACCAAACCCCGGGCATATGAAGATAAAAATGAGTGTGAGTAGTTAGAACCGTTCGACCTTCAATCGTAAAATGATGAAGAAATGGCTGTAACAACTGCTTGCCATCGCCCGTCTCCGCTCCGATCTGGGGACCTTCCATTATCAAGATGGATTATATAAGCAAGATAGTTATTTTCTGGATCGACTTCCCCAAAAACCTCCTTTTCTACCCAGACATGCAACCACCAACATCCAACAACCAACAACTAACAGTTGACCCCTTTTGATGATTACGACTCTCATTAAGGGGTATGGAATATATATTTGAGGATCTCTATTTACGAATCAAGGACGGGATCAACTGAAAGTTTTCCTTTCTGGTGGCTATATTTTATTTTATATTTATTACATTATTTGAATTTTCCTTTCTTATATCCCACCCACAGTGACGGAGGAACTGATTGGCAATGGGGAAGGCGAATGGATCAAACGTTGCTTCAAAGGCGGCTCAAAAGCCTGCTGAAAAACATGGATATGAGTTCTGCGGCCCGTATGCTCCCCAGTCTTATCTTATTTAAAATAAGCTCACTTATTAACTCCTTTCTTTTTGGCTGGCTGCAGACCCGGTGCAACAGTGCTAGTACTCGGCCTACCTGTTCTTATCTATGTCTTCCCGTTCCTTTGCAATGATATCTCAGGATGTCCTGCGCCGTCCCTTCTAAGCCCATCTTCATTATCCCTCGAAAAACTCAAGGCTGAGGTTGGTTGGCCCGAGAATGGAATTAGAGGTTTTTACAGCACGGAAGCTACACTCTACGTTCTGGGATACTATCTCCTCAGTTTGGTTCTACAAGTCTTTCTCCCAGGAAGAGAGCCTGAAGGAGTAGTTCTGGCGTGTGGAAGCCGTCATAAGTATAAGTTCAATTGTATGGTTTTCGAAACAACTCTCTCTGTATGGTGGGCTGGCTAACTTGCGCCCTATTAGCTTTCTCTTCCGCACTCCTGATGCTGCTAGGTTGCGCTGTGGGAACCTGGATATATGGCGCTGAATTCCCACTATGGACCTTCCTCTGGGAGAACCACCTTCAAGTGGTTACAGCCAACCTTATCATCTGTGTGTCACTAGCTGTGTTTGTTTACCTGAGGAGTTTCACGGTTCCTGCTCCGGGGCAACATAATCCTATGAACCGCGAATTGGCTCCTGGAGGACAAAGTGGCAACATCATATACGATTATTTCATTGGGCGCGAGCTCAATCCAAGAATTATTCTCCCCATTCCATTCGTTAGTGAAAACTCCAGGACCCTTGACATAAAGGCATTTTGTGAGATGCGCCCTGGACTCCTTGGGTGGGTTATCATGAACCTTTCAAACATTGCACACCAGTACAGAATAAATTCCGGCAACGTGACTTCATCAATACTTCTCATCACCGCGTTCCAGGCCTGGTATGTGTTTGATGCACTCTATATGGAACCGGCTATTCTTACAACCATCGACATCATTCTGGATGGATTCGGTTTCATGCTGTCTTTCGGCGACTTGGTTTGGGTTCCATTCATCTACTCTCTGCAAACAAGATACCTCGCTATGTACCCTCTTCAGTTGAGCCCTATCAATGTTGCATTGATACTCGGTGCGCAGGGTGTTGGATACTCTATTTTCCGTGGAGCCAATAACCAGAAGAATAGATTCAGGACAAACCCCGATGATCCACGCATCAAACATATCCAATACATCGAGACTCGCAGCGGGTCAAGACTTATGACTTCCGGATGGTGGGGGATGGCTCGCCATATTAACTATCTCGGAGACTGGATCATGGCTTGGACTTACTGCCTCCCGACTGGTATGGCCGGATTTGCTATGATGGAATCTCTGAACCCTATTACAGGTATGATGGAGAAACGTGCTGTTCAGACAGAAGAGTCGCGCGGGTGGGGAATGGCCATCACCTACTTCTACGTTGTTTACTTTGGAATCCTTCTCGTCCATAGAGAGCGACGTGACGAAGACAAATGCAAAAGAAAATACGGTGAAGACTGGGCCAAATATACTTCCAGGGTTAAGAGTAGAATCATTCCAGGTATCTACTAGAAACAGCTATATACCGAGACATAATTTCTTGTCGGAGCATTGGGGGCGTGTTGCACTTCTGAATATTGTCCATCTTGTTTTCAACATCGGCGCTGTGGGAGAAGCCGAATATGTATTCTAGTATAAATTTAGTACTATTTAATTTGAAGAAGTCGTGATCCTGGCGTACGATCTATGGTCTAGCTTCCTCTGGGAGTCTGCAGTTCTGAGGTTTTTCTTTGACCGGGGCATCAAGGACGGTGAGATCCCAAGCGTCATCACCACAGTTCCGTATCCAATTCTTGAGAACAAGCCGTACATCCCTCAACACCTGGGCCCGAACTTCCAAATACTTACCCATGGCTGCCTGTGATTTTAAAAAGTCATACGAGGGACCCGAAAGGACAACTTGAGATAAATATGAGGCTTCCTTGTCATTAACCAGTTGTGGTATCAAACCGTACTCGTTTAGAAGCTTGAAGGTATCACTTAGAAGAGCCCACATTCTAGCTCTAGATAATGCACTGGCTTTTTTAAATCCGGGCGAATTCAGTCGATAGCCCTGTTTGACTCCATTTATCAAAGTCTCGTTGAGATTTGTTGGCGGCGTTTTAAAGTACGCCTTGTACCATTCTGGCTCCGAGAAAGTAGGGGTATCATTCCATTTAGTTGTGAAAGGTGGCCGTGTTGAATTCGATGGAGGCGCAGTCCAAACCGCAGATACATTGGCAGTTTTCACTTTTTGTTCCGGTGACTTGGAGGTAGGTTTTCCGTACTTCCACATGCCTTTAAAATCTTCCATTAGTAGTGGAGTTATCTTAAAAGGGTGAAATTTGAATTCTCCATGGGCATTATGCGCAGCTTCCCATATCCGTCCGTTTAAGGACCGCATTCGACCTGATTCCCCGCTACCAAATGACCTTTCACATCCTGTACGGCTCAGTTCTTCTTCCGGCAAAATGATATTAGATATATATGCATTTGGAGTTGGTGCAAGTAGCAGACTTGTTGGAAAGGAGAGAATAGATGCCACCTGTTTCAGGGCCAGCTTATCCGAACATGACTTGCTAAGGGTTGACTCTGCGTCTGCGCGGGAAGGCTTTCGGCGAACCGCGCCTAGTATGGAAAAATGAGCTCTGCCATTTAGCAACACTTGCTGCTGACCATCTGGGTTTCCTGTATTTCTTAATTCAGGAACTGGAAGCTCCCAAGGTGTAGCATCCTCCTGTGCAGCCATGCATAATTCCATACTAGCATCTCCGCAAGGTGCACAGGAACAATACATCCATATCTTGATATTTTCCTTTATTCGAAATGGAGGCCAGGGTATTGATTGTATATCGCTATCCTCCAAATTCCATTCTATGAATCCAGACCCAGAACAATTCAGTAAATTGTTAGCGTTGCAATTTTGTTTGTCAATGGCTGTTAAGATAGCTTTGCATTCTTCGAGAAGCCAGTGGTTGAAGGCACGAAGGGCAAGTATTTCGGCATGGCTGTCATGCAAGACAAGCCCGCTACATTGCGCAATTTGCGATGAAGATAGGCATTTTGCACCCGTTCTATGGGAAGTTGTTAGGCAATTATTTAACGTTTACAGGGAGATATTATCTCCAACATATGAAAGAAAGAGGTAATCATATACTCACGCAACAGCAACGCAAGTTAAAGCTTCCTCGGGTGTGTTTTCGCCTAGACGATCGATTAGTACAAAATTAAACTATTAGTGACATAACGAAGAAGCAAAGAACCATCAACCTGTCACGTACTAGTTACCAAGACAATTCCACTCAGTGGAATCCATTCTCTCATGCCATTGCCATGGATATTTGGTTTGCTGCGCTGTGGAAGTGCTTCAAAATGCGCATGAACCAGTGATGCAACACGGCGTTCAAGTGATGGATTATGGCTCATGAATTGATAATTCTCTCGACATAAAAGCTCAACCGCTTATATGCAGATATATTATTTATAATGCTATACTTGATATATTTTTCTTTATATTAAATATTTCCTCGCTCTCACAGTTTCCAGATCGAAGTGTTTTTTTGGGTTCTCGTTAGAGTTTTATAACAATCACGTGATCATTCCGTTCCCCACGGCGAAGGTCCCGAGGCCCGAGAAAAACGGGCTGATGGTGCAGACTCCCATTACTGAGGTCAGGTTCCAAGCCACGGCAGCATGATGCTGGTCTGGTGGTAGCATCAGATCTGCAGTTCGATGGAAGATAGGAAGTGAATATTCTTTTGAAAGATCTCTGGACAGCCGCAAGCATGGGAGTTCAGGATCTCATCATCTCGACCAAGCAGCCCAGACGGAAATCGAACAGTTGAGCAGCCAGCAACCCCCAAGAACTAGCAGCGTGTGGCTTTTGACCAAGACGAGTGGATAATGGCAGCTCTTGCAGCGGCGACTACATCCGGGGAACGAGCCATTTTTAGTTGGCTGGCTAACTAGTCACTTACTGAAGGGATCAGCAGGTCATGCTTAAAGCATCACGGGAGTGTTACAAATACTGGCCCAGAGCGGTAAGCTTGACGCCAGGCTGCATGCGTTGCAGCTTCAGTACGAAGTATATATAGCTACTGAGAACTCCTAAATTTATGGCGAAGTGGAAAACTTGCGTTTTGCTATTTTTGACTCTCATAGGGCTGTTTCGTTTCGAAGGTGCCGGATACATGCTTGTTCCCTCCCTGCTAGACACACGACCTACCCGCAAAAGTGATTCTTCGAGTATTCCACTGACCAGCCCCGATCCATCCCCAGATATTAGCCAAGGCCTTGCTGTGTCCTGCAGAATCAGATGTGTCTAGACTTGTGGGCCGTTCTAAAACGGAGGAAGAAACCATTGTATAATCATGAAAGAAAACTAGGTTACAGAGACGACCAGGAAGTTTCCACAAGTAAGGTTAGCCGATACGTCTATCTCGCTCATGGAAACTAAATGTCGCTCTCCGTCTAGAATTTATCTTTGCAGAGCATTGCCTGCAAGGCAACGCTGTATACCTGAAGGTTGGAGTTGATACTGAAATACCCGCAAGAAACCTTCCGCTGAGACTCCCCAACGGCCTATCATTGACGTATGGCGAAATACTTGGGCTGGCTGGCGATCTTTACGGGACAGATCAACCCATTAGTGATGGTGTTACCCAAAATGAGAGACATCATAGATTTCTGAAGGCGTTCGATACACTGGCAAGTGATACCAAATATGCCCCGGAAGAGGCCCCTAAGCTTCTTGAGATACTTCATGATGAAATGGAGGAAATCAAGAAGGCTATACAGGCTGGAAAACCGGCATCGGAAGTCCATAATCGACTGAAAGTCGATCTTGGGAAACGCCTTGGATTCGCAACTCTATTCCGACCCAGTGGGATACCATCATTCTTAGGTCTTGCTCTGATCAACTATGACCACTTTGGTACTGATTCAGAGACAGCGTATAATACTGGTCACAATGCTGCTATCCAATACGCTTTGCGTACGGACAGTGACTTGGCTGTGGCATATGCTATGAATGCCTTTGCAGACCATTTCCTACATGACCATTTTTCTTCCGGTCATCTACGTGTTCCTCGTCGTCAACTTCATGGCAGTACTTTAAATGTTGCAGATGCTTGTTCCAAGGTAAGTCGACCCAGACACTTGTTAGCTCAAGTTGTACCCGTGCTAATTACTTTCAGCTTATGCACGACGAAGATAGCTGTATCGGCTTGAAGGTCAGCAATCAAAATGGGGATTCATGGACAGCATATGGTGACTCACGATTGTTTGATGACGTGAGTAAGCGGCACCGAGAAATATTCATAAAAGCCCAACAAGCATCAGTAGATGAGATATTCCAGGCCTGGAGATATAAAATCGTACCACCAACGTTTAAGGCATGGAAATATGCGCCTACTATCGAATCCGCCTTGTCGCCTCATCAACCCCTTGCTCCGTTGTTTGTTATGTCTACAGGAGAAGACAAGAAACCAGTGCTGCTGAGAAGACGAAATGTCAGTGACAGGAAAACTAAAGACTATATATCAGACTGGACGTATACGGGAACTGTGATAAAGTGTAGATGGAGTGGACGATGGAACTACCCAATGAGCCTCGACGAATAGGTTCATGTATCGCTTGTTACTTACACCCCCTTTATTACTACATACTCTTGCAGCCTAAATTTAAACCCAGTTGCCAGTATGCTTCATACACAATATATAGTCTATAGATAAGCAGCAGCCCGGATCATGATCTTCACGTGACCCCTTTGCCTCTGCGCTAGGGCCCTGGCGTAGTAAGCTAAACCGATCTTCAACCTCAGTGACATATCTCTTCCATTCTGCACATCAACACAATTCTCTCAACCATACTACGTCAACCATTTCTGTCTTCTCTTTTCACCATGGCCGATAAGCTGCGCACTCTTCAAAATCTCGAGGCACTTCAGGCCCGCTACATCGGCACAGGACACGCTGATACAACCAAGTACGAATGGACATCCAACATTATCCGTGACAGCTACGCATCCTACATTGGACACCCACCGCTTCTCCAATACATGTCCATCGGCATGGGTGAATCAAAGGAAAAAGTTCGAGCTTCGATGGTTGAAAAGATAGTCCGAGGAGCAGGGAATCCGCCCGATGTGAGTTGCCATCCTATCTCTACTTGATGTTACCCGTTGAAAAGTCAAGAAGCTAATATGGTTATGATGGTGGTAGACAAGTGAATGATCAACTATAACTACCTTTTGAACTTTTCATTACGCGAGGATATGATATGGATCAAAGGAGGGGGTTGGTGTTGGCGATAAATCGTTGCCCCGTGGGCTCGAGGAGTCAAAATGCTGATACATGTCGCAACGGATCCCGTTGAACCTACGTGAGGAAATGCATGTGAAGCGGTGAAACGAGACATTTGCCCACGAAGCATACACTTATATTGACTTTCACCGGCTGTGAACATGACCAGGGATACGAGATAAGATACCAAATCTTTGCCACGGTATCTGGCGCTTCGCTCACTTTGAGCACATTTTAGGATTAAAACTCCCTGAAAAAGCCAAGTTTAGAGCTGACATGCTCGGTCAGAATTATTCCTATTTTCAGTACTTACGGTGCCCCAGGAGGCATAATACTTGAATATGCCGCTCTCGTATTTAGTGCTGGATATATAACGCATGTTGTCTACGAGTTCGAAACCAAATTTCTTAGACGAGTCAATACGAAATACAAGTGCAAACACCAGTTTGGACGATTCAAAAAAAAAAAAAAATTTTGAATTTGACTTTTTTTTGGGTTTTATTTTTTACGTATTTCTGAAAGTATAGTAGCGAACTTGACGACAAGCGAATGGAAGACAAACGCAAGTAGCACACGAAGCACAGCTCCGATGAAAACTGAAAGAGCAGAGAGCACAAAATGTTAAAACCAGCATCCGATTCCTGGCCCATACTGCAGCTCCAGTCAATGGAGAGCATATAAGAAACACAGGCCGCTCCAGGGACAAAAGTAACATGACCGAAATGAACAAGAATTGAACAACCAGCCTGGAGCAAAGGGGATGAGCCTAGTGAGATGGCCCCGGCGTTTTAGGCAAGCCGGAGATGTAGAAGCTGATGAAGAGAGAGCATGGCGGAGTCAACAAACATACTGCTAGTGAAGGGAGCAAAGGGTCGACGGTGGGAAGCAATCACAGATCGTTCGCAGCGGACACTCAGAGCTCCCGACGCGCACTCGTTAGCCACGAGGATGAGGCAGACGAGGGCCCAGCAGTGGAGGACATATACCAATCTTCCCTCCAAGAGCAAGCAGCATCCCGACTTGTCCTGGAAAGGGGCCGGAGCCGGAAAAAAAACGACGGGGCAATGAATTTCCCATACCAGATGAGAAAGACTCCCACGTCAGTGGGCGCCGTGTGTCCTCATCCTCACCAATCCAACTGAATGGATCGCCTGTTCGGCAACCTGTACCGAAATGAGTTCCAGACAACGACACAGAAAGACGGATGGTTGGCTCCACTGGAAGGTTGATATCCGGGCGCAGGCTTCGTGGTCGGTCTAGCCGCCAATACTGCCTATAGTGAGCGCTTGGGGTATATATACCAGTCCAGGAAAAACCACCGCTTTTTCCGCATGCCACGGCACAAAAGGGGTAATAAATGAAAACATTTCCAGCCGCGAGGCATATCAGTCTTGATGATATCGTATGCGAGACATGAACAAAAGAAAAACGATCCTCTTGGGATGTCATGAACAAAAATGAGGTAGCCGACCCGCCGGTTCTTCATGCAAAAAACAACGGAAAACATGAACGCGAAAATAAATCAAACACAAAAATCAAACGCTTGCTAAAGAACGCATCATATAATAAAACCAGACATGAGGGAATATGGAGAATGAAATAATGCCAGATGAATGCCACTGCCGCTTAATGAGGATTGGAGAACGCCGTCAGTCATGCGGTTGATGCTTATGGTGCTGGGTTCCTGTTTGAGACGTAGGAATAGGTATGTCTGTAGTTTGAACTGTCACCGTGGGTACCGTGCTGTTCTTACTTGTTGGGATATGGCAGCCCTTCTTTACATGGCTGTTCCGTACTGAAGAGCAAATTCAGGGTATCTATCAGCCCATACAAAACCGTCCATGCCAGCAGCAGTACCACACTGATGTTGCACCAGCATGTCGGGCAGGAGGTAAGGGACAGCGGAGGCTAGGGTGGTCGGGCACTCGTAGAACTCTGACGTGGTGAAGGCGGCTGTCGAGAAGGGCTGGCAGTGCGAGGAGGGAGGCGAGGACAGAGACATGTCATTGTAGCCGATGTTGGGCCACATATTCGGATGCGAGTCACTTGTCGTCGTGCTTGGGCTGGAAGGCAGAACATCCCAGGAGTCAACTGGGGAAGGCGATTGCTGGGTCGGGCTATGATGCCACCAATCATCAGGGCCAGTGGAAGAAGGAACTAATGGCGTAGAACGCACCACATCGACAATTCGTGGCGGAGGAGGGAGTAGAGGCACGAAGAGTCCCATGATAGCGGCTTTGGCTTCGTCTGCCAGGCCACAGAGCAGCTCTCCAGCGCCTTCTTCCTCCATACCTTCCAGTGCAGAGGCGCTTGTCCGGTATACAAACCGGTTAACGGCCTGGACGAATTCCTCTTGAAGCTTCTTAAGCTGGATCTCCTTCTCGGGCCAGTCCCATGTCTTGCTTGCAGTATCGACAGAGTAGATTTCCTTATGATGGTCGATGAGGGTCTCGATAGTCTCTGGAGTCAGCTTAAATGCGATTTCGTTCTGTGAGACCATATCGACATGCACGACGTAGGCCTCCATATGAGCGAGCTGGTAGTTAAAGAGAGCATCCACGAGCGGGTTATCATCCTTGGGTAGCTTGGACTCGGGAGCCTTGGGCAGCATGATTGAACATAAATTCCAGATGGCATTCTGGTGGGAGAGGATCTCTGTAAGGCATCGGGTATGCTGCCCGACGTTATTTAGCGGCCTCTTCACTTTGTTCACTCGCTTTAAAGTGACGGTCATCCACTGTTCCACTCTTGATAACACCACGGTAGGCGACGCCCTGGGGGCAAAGGCGGCAGCAGAGGCTGGTAGAAGGCTGGTCGGCGGCATCTTTGGATTATCTAGATCGCATTAAAGCCGTTTCCCTTTCCTTTGCACATATACTCCGTTGCTGGATCTAGGTTTTTATATATGATGGATGGTCTGTTGTATAGTAGTAGCAAGTCGAGGGCAAAAAAAAAAAAAAAAAAAAAAAAAAAAAAAAAAAAAAAAAAAAAAAAAAGGGCGAAAAAAGAAAGAATAAAAAATATAGTAAAAATATAAAAGATAAAGACGTTAAATATATTTGGAAGAAGAAGAAAAAGTCAGAAGGAGGTCGACGTGGGAGGGAGAGCAAAGGACGTTGGCACCTCTTCTTCTGTACGGGCGGGAGTAGATATAGAGAAGCGGAAGGGGAAGGGGGAAGAAGGCTGAGGGGACGGCGGGCAGCAAGAGTGTATATGTATAAGAAAGACGAACGTCCACCCACAACCCGCCGCGAACGAACAAGGCCAGGCCTGGTCGGGAAGAGTAAGAAAGGAAAAACCTTGGATGCTCTGTGTATGGATGCTTGTAACTCGTAGATACGAGCTGAGTTGCAAAAGCTTCCTCCTGCATATGTACGTTTAGGTTCTACCAGCGCCCGTCATTTTTGCCTGTTGAGCATCTCAACTCTGCACCCTTTTTTTTTTTTTTTTTTTTTTTCAACTCCTCTGCGTCTGACCACTCTGCTCTCTCTCACTACTCCGTCCTCTCTCTCCGTCTCTTCCTCTCTTCTTGCCGTCATGCAAAAAAAAAAAAAAAAAAAAAAAAGGACCGGAAATATGCAGGAAAAGAGCGTCGACTTTTGCAAGTTTTCGCTGTGGCGCTGGCTGTATGGAAACACAGATGGGAAAAAAACATGCTGTAAGGTACTGTCATCTATGCGTACGGTACTGGCATTACAGGTCACAGGGACCCCATACCCAAGTTACGTGCCCTCTCCGAACGCACCTTACAGCGTGAAGAAGGCCCTGGCATCGGCGTATCCATGGTACGGTGCCGTACCGGGATGTCCGTCACGGTTCCGCCGTTACTGTACCTTACCTTCCTTACTAAGAATAACACCAACTAAAAAACGATATGCATGGCTTTTTCTTTTGCTCCTCGTCGTTGCATCATCGCGATGGGCTCTTCGGAGGAAGAAGCCTGATACTGACGGACGATGGCAAGCAGGACCCCATCGAGTGCCCATTTCTACGCAGATGGCAAGATGACAAGGTGAGCCACAGGTCAGCTCGGGTGCGAGATGTGCACAGGTGCCCCTTAGCCGGTTAAGGGCAGCTTTCTTTCTTTTTTTTTGCATTCATTCTTCGCTGTGGTGCAGCTGGACACAGCTCTGTCTTTCTCCTGCGTCTCCTGCGTATACGGGGACCGTCAGCAGTGGCAAATTGTCCGATGCATCATCCTCCTTTTTACCCGCATTCTTTACGGAGGACTCGGGAGAAGGAACCTCCTTTTCTCTGCTTGACTACTTTGCTAAGGAGCATCATTCTCCATACATCCAGCTTGACCGTTGGTGGAAACGGACAGCATAGGCGGCACAGTCCGTGATCACGCTCTGGCCCATTCTACGCCTACCCATTCACATTGACGCCAGGTCGAGTGGCCAACTAGATTCCCCAGACCTCTTTCCCCTGAGACTTCTGATACCCCAGGAGGAACGCCATGGTTCTCTGGCATTACAGCCATATTTGAAATGAATTTCGAGGAGTATATGCTAGCCGCTGCACTATCCATCGGCCTCTCGAACTCTCGATTTTTTTTTTTTTTTTTTTTTTTTTTTTTTTTTTTTTTTTTTTTTTAATTCTCTACGCGCTCAGAGCTTTGAAACAAGCCCACCGGCTCCTCTTGACGGGGCTGACAAGCCAACCCCATCGAAGTCTCCAAGCATTGCGGGAAAAAGGTCAAAGGGTCTGGAAGCGATTATCCATCCATCACCGTGGATCATTCACACCTCTGCGTGTGTGGAATGCGGACTGGAAGTGAGCCCAGACAGGGAAATGGGGGATAATCATCCCACACACACTCGCCTTCTACTACTAATCAATATATATACTTGAGATAACTAAATAAGCAGTATAACCTCTGCAATTCCAACTCTCCTTCTCAGCATGGGAGGAATCAGCAGCAGCAAGAAGAACGATAACCGACCCACCGGATTCTCTCGCCATTCCCACGAGCCGATATGGAGACATTTTACTCCATCAACCACAAAAGAAGAAAGCGAATTCGTTTTTTACTCTTGTCCATACCCAGCTGATGGAGGGTATCTGTCTCTGTCTTGGGCTGCTTCGGTGGTGGGATTCGCTAGAATAACGAGACACCAAAGTGTCTGACAACGTCGACATCCCTGTTCTGGTAGCTGATTGGGTAGACACTTTGATTGATCGGTCATTCGAGACTTTCTGGAAAACCAAAATTATAAAAAGGAATCCTTTCTCTCTCTGCATAAGTAGTGTCAGCGATTAGAGAAACGTGTGGGAATGCGTACTGGAGGTAGTTTGATGGCTGTCGTTCTCGGACAATATCTTTAATCTCGACATCTTGAAGTTCTTACTGGTCACATCTACCAACTTCTAAAACGGTCTTATGTTTATCTAAATATTAGTCACTTACCTTTACTCCCTGACGACAATTTCCATGTGACCAGGCGTATCAATCTATATTTACCACCCATATATACACATAATCTGGTCTCATTTCATAAAATGGCCACTTAGATGTTATGCATTAACTGTTGCACAATTGATTTTCTAGCGGCCTGCATCAACTGCGGGCTTTGGGAGATGGAGATGGGAAAAAACGCCTTGTGACGGGCCACCACCCATCCACTTCCATCCCCATATTGTCCATGAAAAAAAAGCCTTTGACAAATTGCATTACATCATTCCTTGCCTCGACTGCTTGGGAATGAAGGTGTTGCTCTGAAGATCTGTAGTGCCAGTGCTTTTAAACTATTTAATATAATGTTTGCGTATACGTAGGGACCCCGTTAGCCGAAAAAGCCTTTTGATCTTTGCAAGGTACAGTATATGCATTCAGTAAGGGCCCAAACCGTGTGTGGCAAGCAAAGGGAACCCGCTCCCGTCAAAGCCAGAAAGGAATAACCATTACGCGATGCACTGAGCTCGGCTGTTTGCGCATGCGCGATAACACCCGCCTTTGCCCCGATACCCTCTATCTGGCTTTACCGGATACCCGCCTGCTTGACTTCTGCACTATTGTATGTATGTCCCAGGTTAGCGACTCAAGCGCCTCCCACGCTCAGCTGAGATGGGTGTGCTCGTCTCTGAAATTTCTTCCCTTCCTGACGTCATGAGGGCATGTGATATCGACCGCCCCAGTCGTAGCGTAGTATCTCCCTTGCTAACGACCGCCTTAAGGACGACGGTATATATGGGCTGCTGCTGATCGATGCGACGGACTTGTCCGGCTGTGCCGTCCGCGGTTGCAGTGCATCTTTGACGCTGCCAATGATACCCTCGACCGCGCCACGAAAGGTGCAGGTACTTTCGTCTGTATTTTAAAATGCGCTGTGTGTCAGCATGTGGCTGTGCTGTGATGCCAAGATATGGTAATTTTGGTAATATTGGTCACGTTCGTAAGGTATGTATTTTTTGATTGATGCCAAACGTCAGCGGAGCAAAGACCAAAGAAAAGACGCTGCGTTTCTCCATCTTCACCGACTGTTTTTTTGGTGCCACGATCACCGACTTGAAGGGTTTCAGGCAGAGAGACCGTGCTAGTGACTCCTTCAGACTTTGCTTTGGGCGGCTTGGGCCGTGAAGAATTCGTCAGAAAACGTCATCGATCGTTGGCGGGGCAGTGAGTCGAACTCGCCGTTGAAGGGTTGGCCAGCGCAGACAGCCCAACGCCTAGCCGCTGCATTAGGACCCTTATCCCTCTAGGCCGTTTCGTCAAGTGCTTGCATGATGTGGAATACTGGCTGTGGGCTGCTGGCCAGCCATGGTCATGTGGCAGAAATTACGTAGGTTGGCTCTTATCGCCATTGACCAAAGTAGATCAAGCGAGTGTTGCGAATTGTACTATTATTTTGCAGCACGGGAAAAATATCAAGCCTAACCAGTAGTTACGGCAGACGCCCTTTCTGAACAACCTTTGTCTGTTGATAGAAGTCCGATATATCCTTCGGAGAGACTGAAGTAAAAGCGATAGACGTCTTTCAACCACAAAGTAGCCTGTTGACGTGGAACTCTGAAACTCGGAACAGAAGTAGACTTTCCAAGCACTCGGAATCGTTTCATGCTTAAGCCCTGTCCCGCCCTTTGGGACCCTTTTTCCGATATCTGATTCGTCGGCTATTGAACAATCCCCAGAGGCCGTGCTCGGTTTCAAGACAGACATTACGAGCTCTGAAACAAAAAGTCGATACCCCCCGCCAGCCAAGGAAAAACTTACGATCTACACAAAATGAATGCTCCCAATATCTCGACGGATTTCTTGCTTCAACGAGGATGTCTGTGGCTCGAGTCCTGCTTTCGCTGGCATCTAGAACGACGATGACTCACTGACAGGGGACATCAACTTGAATCATAGGAGTGCATATGCACTGTTGTTCGGCGCCAGCCATGGATAGCGCGAAGTAGGCGCGAGACACGCGGGTGAAGGGATCACCTTTATCGTATTGGTTTATTCTGGCTTGCATCCTTGTTGTTTGTCCTTTGTTTTCTTCATCAAGATGTCGTTGTTGTTTTTGGCGCACGGTCTCTTTGATGATCGGAGCTTCTGTCAAGTGACCTGAAACATGCACGTCCATCTTCGCACTTTTCTTTTTCGATTATATCACGCTCAGCCTGCTTGATTACTACAACAACGCCTTGTTACCTGGTTTCTCCCATAAGTTAGTTATCATTTGCACCACAAGCCAAGATTTATGACGTTCTAAATGTCTCTTAGAACGGGGAAGTATAAGTACATAGAGGTTTATCAAGACAGGTCGCCCGTAGTACAACATATATATCAACGCTTTGTTCTTTTTGCATAGTGTCAAGTACATGTTTTAGATGTGATGACTGGGAGTTTAGGTCATCTAGCAGCTTGCGGCAACTGATACTGCTCAGAAAGATGAAATTTCTTTTCGCTTCTTCGATTGGTATCTCACAAAGGAGCAGCATTGAGTGCAGTCATCTCGGCCTTCCAAGGGACAGACAATATATAGCAGGCTTCATGCAGGAATCGAAAAGCCTCAGGATATGTTAATCTCCCTGGTTGTCGATTTAAGGACAACTTCCTCAACCGACCAATGAGCAAATAACAGAGTGAATGGAATGGGGAAGGTAGTCCGGCGGCAAAAGCAGCATGACAGTTGAGTCTGATGAGTTGACTTATTGCCGCATAAACCAGGTCGATCTTGGGCCCTCTGCTGTGAGGCAGGTCGACACTCGCCTCAATATTCGGAAATTCAAAGTAATGTAAGCCTATACGAGGGGCTCTTCGGTGATACCACGTTCTTCGGCTGAACTTCTTTATGATAGCCGGTACAGAGTATCAAATGAGCTTTCACTGGGGAAAGCTACGGGGTCGATCAAAGCACACCATCATCTCCAATGAATCATGCACCCTGCATCTTCTCCTCTTTTTCCTTCTTTATCTTCAAGAATACTTTCCTCTCCATCTCACGCTCCTCAGTTTTTCTCTGCATGGTCTTTTGGATTTGCTCTGTTTTCTCCTTCGATTCTTCGATCCGTTTCTTCACCTCCTTGGCCGCCTCTTCCTGCGCCTTACGCGCCGCAATGGAGGTCGTATATTGCTTTCTTAGCTGTTGTAACTCAGCCTGGAATTCAACTACATCAAGTGGTGCACATGTAACGGGGTGGTATCGGTGACTTGGTAAGGGATCAGAAGGGACCCGGACATCAGGTAGTAGCTTATGGATGGGGGTGGTTCGAAGAGGCGAGTCCAGGCTAACGGTTTGATTCGTGTCTGAGTTCGATGATTTGGGCTCTGGTGGAGGGGAGAGAGGGAGGTTATCTGTCTCCATTATGCCGCTTTGCTGCGTTCGAAGCGAAATGGCGGAGATTGCAAGATCCAAGTCAGCGCTCAAAGCGGGAGAGCCAAAATGAAACTAGAAGGCTTATTAAGCAGAAGGTTATTACTGAGTAACTTTAGTCGGGTCCTGACAATATCACGTTTTTGATTTGAGACGCGGGATTATTGGTTGCATTATTGGACTTCATTCACTCCTAATTTTTGCATGTGAATGCCTTATTATACTATTAATGATAATTATTTGTTATCCTGCTCCATGAAATTATTGCACTTCTGTACTACAAGGGGGCCATTTTATAGGGCTTGTTGCTATACTAGCCTGGACTATCTATTACTGTTTACCAACCGGCTTACCAATAAACACATGGCTTCTCTTACCCAATTAAGGGTTACTGACCTTATTTGTCCCTAGTTTGGGAGGTTAAAGAGCACTTCTAATCAAGGATAGTGACTCTGTACTTCTACCATGTGAACTAAGTGTGGAAATACCAAGGTATGGCCATCTATTTTTAGCATTATGTATAAACAATTCCTGAGAACTGAAGGGATTTGGGTATATCCAAAGTATATTAACTGCCGTTCCTGCAAACAAACAAATGGCCTCTTATCCTTTAACCTAGAGAGAAATAACTTCTTTGGCAAGTGTTTCAAATCAGCCAGCCATGCTCTCTATATCTCCACGATCAAAAGTAATAACACTATTGTGTTGATTGGTGAAGATCAGAACACAGTTAACTACTTTTGGGGGACGCTGGCCGGGGAAACCTTCACCCGCAGTGGCTTTGCCTCCCAGATTGCATATTCGGGAAGGTTGTGGGGATCAATGTTGTCCGGTTGTGCCTCAAGATTGAAATTCCAGAGCAACCGGGCTATGACAAGACGCAGAATAGCATTTGAGAACCTTTTTTGATGAACATGATTAGTATTTATACTTGGAAGAAAGAGCTAGGTTTCATACGTCATTCCAATACAGCTGCGAAGTCCGATGGAGAACGGAGTATAGGCCTGGCGGTTATCGCTGGCAAATTTCGAGCCTTCCCCGAGCCAGCGTTCTGGAATGAATTTTTCGGGGTCACGCCAATACTTGGGGGAACGGCTGGCGGCCAGGTTGGCTACCGATACCCAAGTCTATAAAGCCCCAATGTCAGGTACGAAATAACAAACAGGGGGAATTAACTGTACGTACCCCACCAGGCACAGGCCGCCCATCGATCACTGAGCCCTTTTTAGGAGTTACACGGTGAAGTCCCACAGGAACCGGTGGGTGTATACGCATGGTTTCTTTGATGGCAGCTCCGAGGTAATGTAAGCGCCTCGTAGCTGCAAGGGTGATATCATCTTCAGCCTGAAAGGTGTTCTTGATTTCGCTCTTTAACCGCTCATAACACTCTGGGTTATGAATGAGATAATATGTCAGCGATGAAAGTGTGGTGATGGTGCTGTCAGCTCCCGCAGCAATAAGAACATTAACGTTATCCTCCAGTTCCTCATTCGACAATCCTTCTTGGAAGAATGATGCGAATTCTGGATGAGTGATGACCAGCTTAATATTTCCCTGCTTGTCCCGACTTTCTTTCAGTTTTCGGGGATAATATTCTGCTGACTGCGGGTTATGAGCTTTAGTAAGACCTGAAGGGATACATCGTTCCAATATGATATGGTACGGTCTTAGCCGATGGGCGGCTTGCACAAAGTGTGACATCAGAAGCCCTTCATACAGTGCTTGAAGCCAGGGATCATAATCCCCACGTATTAGGCAACCTTGCTCCTCCCCAAAACAGAGACGTGTCAGGATATCGAAAACGGCAAAATTATACCACGCAGCTATATTCACAATGCCCTCAGAATCCGGGAATTGAGCTTTGCCCGAGCGGTTACTGAGGCCTTTAATTAGTCCATCAACAAGATTTTGGAGAACTGGCTCTTGCTCGCGAATTGCGTTTTCAGAGAACGCAGGCGTTATAAGCTTGCGGTACCGGATATTTTCGTGCAAGCGTGCAAAAAAAAGGTTGGTTACCGGCTCGGTGGATCCTAGAAGCCATATGACTGGATTCTTTTCATAGACCGTATCCTCGTTTGATTTTCCAGCAAATATGGTTCGGTTTGCTGAAGGGCTAATATACGACAACTCTCTAGGCCCAACCCGCACGACATCGCCGTAACGTTCGTGAAGCGACGCTATGTATTTACAACCGTCGCCTTTGACCATATGATACGTGTATATGAGCTGGCTTGCCGAGTCGAGAATTGGACCTGGGTATTTGCGTAAGGGGTGAAGGAAGATGTTGTAAAGAGCCAGCGAGACATGATAACCTATCCACTACAGCGTTTCCCGTGATATTAGCCATTATCTTGTGTTACGTTGACCGAACAACATTTCAATAGACAGGGGGTCGCCGTACGGTCAGAATCGCAAATCCTAACCATTCCAGCGGGCCCATTATAGAAAATATTATCATAGTGAGCGAGTATGTCAAGAATTGAATAAAGATAGTTGAGATGGTGAGAATTGTTATGGTGTAAAATGTATGGTCTGTGGAAACCGTTCTCTACGCTCCTCTAAATATCATTTTGCTTCATAAGTGAGTGTTTTAAAAAGCCAACTTTTTACCTTCAGCCACATCAATTACTTCCATCTAATGAAAACGAGCAACCTATACAGAGAACGCTGTAAATCTGCAGATCTTAGTTTGTATCTTGCATCTTAGCTGCATACACTTCGCCAGCGGTAAAGGGAATATTCAAACTCTTCCTTTCATCTCCATTGTCACTATCCCCGCAGAGGATCTTAAGATTGCCCAATTAACCCCTAGGCTAATTTCTCTGACTAGCCTAGGCTTCTGATCCAAAAATTAAGTCTTGTAGGGGTACGGAGTAGCAGGAGTCGAGATTGATTTAGATAAGGCCATCAAAGAGATGAACTTATGGAGTAACCTTCTTTTCCTCCTTATCAATTGTTAAGTGTTAGACTCGTCGGCTATTCTTGCTTCTCTGGAAGAATGAGAGCTGTATGAAACTATCGTCAGTACGGAGTAGTTATTATGAAGTTGGGGGTATAGCTTCGTGGCACCATCCTTCCTCCAACTCTTACATACGGAGGACTCACCGATGGTTTGACTGAATAATTCTTCCAGTCAAATTCAAAAGATTAACTATAATTAATTCTCAAGGCGCCACTAGTTAATCATGATCTTCCGCCATGGGCAGTTGAATTGGGGACGTTGAAAAGGGTACTTAGATCTTTCAGCAACAGCCGCCTAATTTTTGGGCTCATACGGAGTATACTCCGAATTTTCGAGTGGTTTTCGTGAATGTCCTCGCAAGGGGGCACGAAGGAGTGTTACTCAGCAGCATCAACAATATTTCAAAGCGGACGGGTGGCTGGCCAAATTTTTGGAGTACACTGTGGAGAGAAGAGGGACGATATAAAGTCTCGATGGCATTTCATGATTAACGACTGACTCAATTACAATCCCCTATCTGAAGTACTTAGAAACTATTCGAATTTCTAATTCTTTTGCGGGTGCCCCTCAACCGCTATGTCCTCACAATCATCATTCAGGGTGCCTCTGAGCGACCTATTGAAACCAGATATCCATAACTTCAACCTTTTTGGATTTCTTCAACTGTTTCTTCTCTGTTGTTTTATTTTAGTTTTGATTGTTCTCCTCATTGACCACGCAGATTACCTTCTACAAACTTGGCCTGTCAGAAATCTTCATCGTGTAACAAGCCAAAGCCTCCTATGGGCAAGGTTCCGCCGCCAACTAAGCGGGCGTGAGCTAGAGGATGCCATTCAACATGCGTACTTTAAGGTGAGTTAGTCTACCGAGTGAGTTAACTAACTAGTCAACTAGTTGATTTGTTAATCGTTGGATAATTTAACTAATCAAGTATACCAAAATGATATCAGTATACCAAACAAGGAAAGCCGTTCGCGATAAAGGCAGATCTTGACAATTGGATGCTTATGCTCCCGTTGGAGTCCATGAAAGAATGGTGCAATTTGCCAGCTGATCACCTGAGTTTCATGAACTACGTTGAGAATGTAACGAGTCGCGTCCATGGCCTTGCCGTACTTCTTCTAACATTGTAGTAGGCGTCGGCTATAGGGTACCATACCAATGCTGATTGTCAAACGCACATCAACGCCATCCTTGCATACAACCAAAAGAAACACACTGGTAAGAACTTGGTTTGCAATTGATTGCTGGCCCGGTCTACGAATATGTGCTTAGTAGCTGGCTTCAATTCATAGATCATGTCCACTCCCTCGTCCTAACGGATGCCGAAGAATTCCTGCCTTCATTTTTCGGTAACCCAAGCAGCAAAGGTATCTTCTTCTAAGCCCTTCTTTTCAGTCCACCATCTAACACCTGTATAGAATGGACCAAGTTCAATCCAATTGAGGTAGTCAGTAATGTACTTATGCATTATGCAACTTCGTTGGTTCTTGGACCAAAATTCTCGCGGGACCCCATTCTCATGCAACACATAACTGCCCATGTCTTGGGGATTGAGGAGGTTATCAACGAATTTGCTCGCTGGCCAAGAATCTTATTTCCATTACTCTGGAGACTGTCCCCTGTTCACCGTAAATTTCGCTCCAATATCTCAGTTGTCAGAAAGAAAGTCGTACCCGAGATCAAGCGCCGTGTGCAGCTTCTCCGACTTGGGGAGTCAACTGGCGAAGATATGAGTATGCTGACCATCTTTCTAAAGCAAGCTCTCAAGGAGGGCCTCCTTTCGATGAGTGGAAATACAAAGACAGAGAAGAACGACATTGAAAGTCTCTTCATGAAGACATTGTTCCATATTTATGAAGTCTGGGGGCCTATCACTCCGCTTTTGAGTGCCATGTTTGTTCGTTGTATGGCAAACCCTGAGTACGTCGACGCATTGAGAGAGGAGGTCTCAGGCTCCCTTGAATCTCATGGAGGCTGGAGCTCCAATTTTTTGGCGCATACGCCAAAGTTGGAAAGCTTCATGCGCGAAAGCTTACGTTTGTATGCGCCGATTTCAGGTAATCAAATCCATAGCATCGCGAGACAGGCCTTCACTAACCACCTCACTAGTGAGCGTATCGCGTCGGTTGAATAAGCCACTTAGAATCGAGTCTCTAGATATGAATCTTCCAAAGGGAACTTGTATTGGAATACCGACGAAATGCGTTCATGGGGACCCTAGGAACTACCCAGACCCAACGACGTTTGACGGTTACCGGTTTTATGATGCGGATTCTAATACATGTACCGCGCGCGCATCAACAGCTTCTGAGAAATTCCTGGCGTTCAGCTATGGAACTGGACTCTGCCCTGGGCGGTTTATTGGCGTGAAAGTTTCGGAGATTCTCCTGGCTAAAGTTCTCTTGGATTTTGATATGCGGTTTACATCGAAAGATCAAGAGTTTCCCTCATATGTCCTGATGGAAAACACTTGGTCGTGGTTGGACACAAATCTCACAGCTTATGTACGGAGCCGTAGGTAAGGTCTACTTGACAGCATAGTTAGTTATCCACTAGAAGTTAGCCGGCTTTACTTTATGAGTGGGTAGGGCGAATAAATCCAATCGGGTTGGGAGTATTCTGTGGTCAAAGCGGTCGTAGGAATAAATTGAGAATGAACAATAAAGAATCTTAGTCCAAGTTGCGTAATCAAATGCCCCCCTTTAGATTAGTAGACATTGCTATTATATTGGTGGGCGAGCAGAGTGGAAGGCGGAGGGTGGTGGGTGGAAAGCCAGACGGGCTCCTTTGAATATCGTTACTCTGGAAGCAGATGTCAAGGAGGCGCGGCCTGGGCAGTTCGATCCATTTGGAATAAGGTTTCATAGTTACATGTCACATGACATAACTATGTAAAAATTGTGTAAGCAGCAGGTTTAGTCATCCAGCGAAAGTTTGGTCCATATGGTCAGTGCCTCAACCACCCAAAGAGAAACTGATGATGTCAAGCTTGGTCAAGACAGAGGCAAAGAGTACTTAATACAAATCTGTTTTCCTTTCTTTCTTCCTCTCTTCTTCAAGAAATGTTAGATTTCTGGCTACACTTGTACTCTAAAAGCTGTGATATGCTGGTAGACTGAACGCGTCAGAAATACTGGTTATCAGGATGCAGGCTTTCGGTGAGCTCTCTGTTTTTAACATCCCATAGTGTAATTTCAACCAAAATTTGAAAATGACTATTCGAGCTACGCTATTTATACGTTGAATCGCTGACTATTGAATCTCACCTTACAGTTCCTAAGAGCCGGAGGGTATAAAATAACCAAATACCCTACACTTCTCTGTTCCTGCTCTGACTTACTGCTTACTCTGATCATCTCTTAGCCTAGATTTACACTGAGCCTACGTGTATGTAGGACTAGTTTCCCCAAGTGTGGTGGCATCCACTAACACGCACGACAGATCATTGATATGATCAATGTCCCTTTGGTAGTTGGTACTGCATACGTCAAATGGCAACTACCATCATCGGCGTCTGCCGACCACAATGGTCATACGGAAAAAGCCTTGCTTCATGATCACAGGGCGTCCTGGGATTATGAGAAGCTGACAGTTGTTAGACTAACGGTTGATCGGAACCAGATGTTGCAGGACTGTGATCTTCAGCTTGATATCTTCCAAGAGTTTACTGAAGGAAATCGGGCTGACAGAGTACCACTGGGAAATATCAAATTGAATCTTTCGGAATACGTGGATAAAACGGAGAGCGATGAAGGAATCACGAGACGATATCTGATGCAGAACAGCAAAATCAATGCCACAGTCAAAGTTGGCATCGCAATAACCCAGATTGAAGGCGACAGCAACTTTACTGCGTACGTCAACTCTTTTTATAGCAGGTATTGATGGAACTAAAGCAACAGATATAGGCCGCCACTTAAACCTGCAACCGTATTCTCTGGAATTGCCGGGGTTATGTCCACTGAGCACGGCGAACTAAACAATGATGGTCACATTCCCTCAGTCAATAACAGAGGTCGCGAATACAGTGATCTTCAAGACATGTATCGCTCTACTTTAGCCGCAGCCTGGGCGACACTCCCTGATGAACTACCTCCGGATCAACTTATAGAAAATATATTTGCTGGCGGGGACGGGTTTCCACAAAACCACTCACGACCTAAGGCTAATGATGAGGATGAGGTGCATGATAATAATTCGCTGAGTGATGCAGGATCACACCGAACCATTCGCGATAGCAAGAATTCTCCCGACCATATTCCGAGAATCAAAGATCTCTTTACTACCCATTCACGAAGCGATAGCCGGCACTCTGATTTTTCCTTTGGAGCAGTAGGCAAGGAAAGGAACGAAACAGGCGCGTTCGAGAGATCTGGCGGGAAAAGACGGAAGAGAAAGACTCTTACAGAGTTTGATTATAGGGAAGATCTACGCAGCTGGGAGATTACATGGGCTAAAGAGGATCCACAGCGATAGCACTGAGAAGCGACGGTCCGCTGGTTGTATCATATCGGTTAAATGTTTGCGAACATGGTCATTTCGCTGTACGGCGTTTCCCATGCCTGCAAGCACGAGTTTTAGCGGGGAGGCATTTTTCTTAATATACAATGAAGTGAATCAGTATAACTATCTATATACGTAAATGTATTATATAAAATATGCGTTTCCTCCTATATTCCAGTTGCAGTCAAATGTCTCATTGTTCGCATTGGTTTACTCTACTTGCTGACCCGTTAATGATGAAATTATGATGTAATATAGACTTTCTATTCCCGAAACCTTAATCGTACCAACAAGGTGGCCCGGGCCTCTCGAGGGCCCGGGCTTCATTCACGGAAGAATAAAATTCCTGGCCTCCTGCGACGCTGCCCGAAGAATGGAACTTTATTTTATTTTTCACTTTGAAGCTCTCTTTCTTCCCAAGGTCAGTATTGCAAGTAACATGTAGCCTCCTGCTGGATTGACTTGCACGCCATACATATGTTTTGGAAAAGAGGCGCACATGCCGCAGGCTTTGCAAGGTGCCGAAACTTCTCGAATCTTCGGAAACCACCCCCGAGTTCGCCCATACCCAGACCTCATTCTGCTGATCACACCCATGAACCATTACACGATGACCCAACGCCGGCGTCAACGGAGAATCGAGCTAAATTCGACAGCTCCCCCCATTATATTCAACAATTAGAGAATGTTAAGGTACTAGGCAAACCGGCCCATGTCGTCATAGTGGATAATAAGCCCCGTCGCCCGCGAGATGTCGCGCAGGCGGCTAACGGCAAGAGTTCATGGAAGAGTCCGACGGAGTTACTAAAGGACTTGCATAATGAAAGGGTTGAATTCGAGCTTGAGGATATAGAGAAGAACCTCGACCATCTTCGCGCTCTATATAACCCTGGTGATGCCCTACTGCCGAAAGATTGGAGGCATCTTCACAACACGCTCAGTGATGGGTTCACATTCGAGCAATTAAGAAAGTACTACCAAAATTCTGAGCGAAATACAGAATTTGAAAAACCAGGTGAATGGAGGGCTGGAAAATCTTCCTACTTGGACCAGCCTCCAGCTCCCCAAGGTCGGGTTACGAGCCGAATCCCAGCTTTCAAGGAGATGGGACCCAAGAAAAAGTTGGTCGAAAGAATACTAAGAGAGTCTTGGGAATTGTCTATTGATGGGGAGGAGGGACAGCTTGACATTCATTTGGACACGCGGCCAATGTCAGTACTACTGCTCCCAACCATACCGCTCCTGAACATGTTCGCCGAATCCCACAAAGTCAACATCGACGTGTCGCGACATCTCGGGTTAATACGAATAACGGGAAGCAGGGAAGCGTGCATAGGGACAAGTCAGCAGCTTAAAGAATGGGCTTCTGATGTCCGGTCGATAGATACTGGTCTCTCCGTTGCGCAACTAAAAGCTACCGCAGACTTGAACTATTGGGAAAATACTCTTCTCCCATGGTTACAAAGCGAATACAACGTATCATTCGATATAGGTCGGGAACACAGCGCTGTGAGTATCCACTACTTCCATGACAATGAGTTTAATGCGCACCGAGCACGAAGGACACTGTATCTGGCTGCATCTTCTCTCCATCAAAAGGGCGGGTTATTTACAAATCTTACGAACTCTGAGAATGCCCACTTATACCCTGTGTTCTATTCCGATTCCATGGAACTTCCGAACAGACAGAAGGAATGGTTTAGATGGATAAAATCAGGAGATAGTGATGGGAGGGTTCCTGGAAGGCCTCCAGCTTCTATCTATGGAAAAGGGTCCGTGAAACCTTTCCATAAACTTCTAGAGCTTCTGTTCGATGAAGATGATTTGAGAAATCAAAGGTTGCTTGACCAACATCGCACACGCGAAGTTATTAAAGCGTCTGTCGGACAGTGCTTGTTCGAAGGTCAACCTACACATGATCCTGGACAGGCATCATTTCCTAATATCGAGGGTTTACAAACACCAAGGATTTTTATCAACGAAGTACCGAATACCCTTGCATTTCTGGACTCTTTGGAAGCTGCTGCAAGCGATGATAGGCAAACTATCTTCCGTATCCGGCTTCTGCCCTCCCGTAAGGAGCAGTCGTTCTTACCAGAACTTGAGCTTGAGCTAGAGGCTGCCTCGACAGAAGACAGTGAGGAAATATCAACAACTCCGACAATCCAGAACATAAGCGCCATTGTCAGCAGCCGGGATGTGGATATGCTTCTACCTGAGAGCCCCGTGGATATCCGGTTCAACAAGACGGTTTATTACAACCTCTTCAACCGGGATTCTGTCGAATGTATTTCTACAGAGGCGGATAATGTGTTTCATTCAAGCCTCCGCCGATGTGCTGAAGCCTTCAAACTCAACTTCCCTCTCACTCGAAACCAGTCTTCGATGCCTTTATTTTGTAACCTTGCGATTCCCAAAACTTTTGCTGAGCTTCTGGATCCAGCAAAAGAACCATCCCAAACGGCACCAGCACAAAGCACACAAGAGCTTGAGTATGTCACTGGAGAGTATTACGTCTACCCTCCGGTGCAATCACTTGCGGAAACTAGGGTCTCGAAATATATATACAAGGAGCTCGATCTTACCTTTGGTACCCGGGACATTGGACCTTATCTCCCTACAAAGACCACAGAGATAAGCCTAACTCTTGGGCTTTACGATAATGAGCGGCGACCACAGAATGCTTTGCCTAATCGGAAACTAAGCTCCTTGCCACAAACTGACTCGTCCATTGGCTCCCTTCAGTCCGCACTGTTACCATTTTACCTTCGTTCCTGCCACTTAGCATTCGGTTTTGCAGCGCTTCAGCAACAGTCCGACCGAGACATGCCTGACCAACAACCATTTGAAGAAAATATACTCGAGAAGAACCTTGATTGCCGTGATACCTAGACCCGTATATTTTTTTTATGTATTACTACCCTCTACCAGCTGCTTGTTCTTCAGCTACCTCTATTTCTCTGCATATATCATGTCTCGTTCAGTATAACTATAGGGTTTATTATATACACGGAGCAATATAAAAAGACAAATATAATTTAACAACAATAGCTACTGTTCTTCTAATATATGGATTGATTTAGAGAAGTATAAAAGGGATTTATAATTTTATCAGACTACAACAGAGCTGAAAAACTTCATATCGAAGTCTGCCACTACACCAAAAGGAGTGAGCCCACACTAATGGTAGGCAGAGCTGAAGTTTAACACTTTATAAGGTAGTGAATGATAACGTAAGCCGCTACGCAGTTAATAATTAGGTTAGCCACTCGTTGTCACTTGATAGTTCATCCTAACTTGATAACAATGTTCTATTATCAGAATGAGCTTTAAGTCCTGAGAAAAACAAGTGATATTTAGTATATTTTCACCTCAGGATCTGGCGTTTATTTGCTATCTAAGGCTTGTATTATTGCCTTTATTTCTTCCAGCTCTCTCAACTTTGATGTCCTCCAGGATTATATTCCTTCCTTTATTGCCGACCACGTCATTCTGTGCCATACCAGCATGATTATGAGCCGATAGAGAGATTATCTAGTTATGAGAAGATGGATAAAACAAGGATAGCTAAGGTTTTTACTACATACCCCTCTATCACATCTTTAATATACATAACTAATTATGGGGGCTTACGTATTACAGGTAGATGAGGTCACTCTATTCCGCCGGGGAGAGAAGGCAATAGGAAGTCTTCACCTTACTCCCCACCATATTGTCTTCTCGTATATTCCACCCCAGAAAGAATCATCTAGAGAGCATTCCAAGGATAAGCCGACTGTGGGCCATAAGGAGATATGGATCACATATCCTATTATCTGTTTCTGTACTTACAGACCTGCATCTCTGGCATCACGCCAGCCAGCATCAATACGCCTCCGCTGTCGCGACTTCAGTTTTATGTGTTTTACTTTTCCAAATGAGGCGAGGAGTAGAGATGTGTATGAGACTATAAGGACATGGACATGCAAGCTTGGAAGCATAGAAAAGCTTTATGCGTTCACCTTTCAGCCTCCTGCAGCCGAGCTTGCATTGAATGGATGGGACCTATATAACCCTCGCAAGGAATGGGCTCGTCTTGGAGTAGGCAGGGCAGATCAGGATTCTAATTGGCGAATATCCTGTATCAACACAGATTATAAGGTCCGTTCTGTATTTCCTTTCCTGCCTGTTTATATTAAAGCTAGCTAACATTTCCTGGCAAGTTCTCGCCCACGTACCCTGCCCTCCTCCCGGTTCCAAGCAATATATCCGATAATACGATTAATTATGCCGGGAGATATCGCTCGAGAGCGCGGATTCCAGTTCTGACCTATCTTCACCCTGTCAACAACTGTTCCATTACTCGCTCATCTCAGCCGCTTGTTGGCGTCCGAAACAACCGCAGCATCCAAGATGAGAAGCTCCTTGCTGCTATCTTCTCAACATCCCGGCAGGATCGACCACTAGCAAACGCATCGCCCCCTTACTTAGAAACAGAATCCTCCAACTCAAGTGCAGAAGAACAGTTTGGAATTAACTCCGACTTTGAATTCTCGAATGCAGAAGAACTGGAGGACGAAGTTGTAGCCTCCGCCAGGACTGATATCAAGGACTACAAAACACAAATATATGGAGCTCAACAAAACAACCTAATTGTCGATGCTCGCCCTACTGTGAATGCTCTTGCAATGCAGGCTGTTGGTTTGGGATCCGAAAACATGGATAATTACAAATTTGCTGCTAAGGCCTACCTGGGCATTGACAACATCCATGTTATGAGGGACTCGCTTAATAAAGTCATCGAAGCGCTCAGGGATTCTGATATCAGCCCGTTGCCGCCAAATAGAGATCAGTTGCTGAAGAGTGGATGGCTGAAGTACATCGCTGTCATTCTCGACGGGGCAGCATTGATCGCCCGTCAGGTTGGCCTACAGCATTCACATGTGCTGATTCATTGCTCTGATGGATGGGACAGAACTGGCCAACTCAGCGCCCTGAGCCAGCTTTGTCTAGACCCGTATTATAGAACTTTGGAAGGATTCATGGTTCTTGTTGAAAAGGACTGGCTTGCGTTCGGTCACATGTTCCGTCATAGGTCAGGACATCTCAACAGTGATAAGTGGTTTCAAGTGGAAAACGATCGGGGCAGCGACTCTGCAAGAGGTGCTTTTGATGGGGGAGTAGCAGGGAAAGCCCTTGAAAATGCCCTGCTCAGCGCAAAAGGCTTCTTCAACCGGGACAACGTCAGCCGGGAGTCGTTGGTAGAGGGTGACGGTGACGGGGCCGACCCTGACTCCTCGAACTCGAAGAGGGTGACCTCCAATTCAAAATCACCAGTTAGTGACAGTGATATGACAAAGCCCAAGGAAACTAGCCCTGTATTTCATCAATTCCTGGATGCTACCTATCAGCTTCTCTACCAACACCCTACCCGCTTTGAGTTCAACGAACGTTTTCTGCGACGGCTGCTCTACCATGTCTACTCTGGCCAGTACGGCACATTCCTTTACAACAGTGAAAAGGAACGTGTTGATCGCGGAGCCAAAGAAAAGACTCGCAGCGTCTGGGACTATTTCCTGGCCAGGCGAAGCCAGTTCATCAATCCGGAGTATGATCCTCTTATCGACGACAACAAACGCGGCAGTGAGCGTCTCCTCTTCCCTCGCACATACGAAGTTAGATGGTGGGCGGAATCTTTTGGACGCAACGATTCCGAGATGAATAACCCTCGCATAGCAAACAGTGGTGTCCTGGTTGAAAGAGATTGCCCGAGTGGATCTATGACTCCTATGGTTGCGGTCGAAACAGCTGATCGCTCGGTTACCCCTGTTGCTGTATCTCAGCAGCTGGCTACGTCTCATCCTTCTACAAGCGGCCATACAACTAGTATTACTTCTCTCGCGGCCAACATTTCTGAGTTAAGCTTGCCTGTAGGGAAAGGAGATGGTTCTGGGACAATCAAAGCACGAGAAATGGAGGCTGTAGAGATGACGTAGACAGCAATTTCTTACGGGCATTTCGGACACATTCCATAGGAAGATCTAGGCGTCTGTTAAGGGAATCAAGCTCGGCTATCTGGGGCTAGGTGTTGCATTTTGGAGTTATAGGGATTTGTTGGACATTTCGATTTCACGACGTTTACGATTGGGCTGCACCTTGTGTTCAGGGAACGGGGCTGAGTGTCTTACTACTACTACTACTACTACTACTACTACTACTACTACTACTACTAACGAGCCATGTCACAATACCCGCAGCTGTTCGGCATTTCTCTCGTTTTATTTTATTTTCGCTTACGTCAGGTCCGCAGCAACAAGGGTTCTTAGAAATGACAATGGATTGAATCTACTCTGTATGATCCATGGATCTATGATGGCTCGCTTCAACGTCTCGAATCCCATCTTTTTTGATATGTCAAGGTTCGAGCATGTGATCATAAATGCTTACTAAGACGACTCGAGCCAAGTAGTTATTAGCCCTAAGCCCTAACCTAGAAATTATGCACCCCACCACCAAATCGACAAATTAGGAAAGCTAACCGCAAGACTTTAACATCTCGAACCACCGCAACAGCAGCTGCAGTTCAACGACCTCAACTCCGGCGGATAACTCTCAGCCCTACCGAACGAAATCACACGTTTCGACAGACCGCAATCATGTCTGCAGCTGTACAGGGAGCCATCTCCAAACGCCGCAAGTTCGTGGCCGATGGTGTGTTCTACGCCGAACTGAACGAGTTCTTCCAGCGCGAATTGGCTGAGGAGGGCTACTCCGGTGTCGAAGTCCGTGTCACTCCTACCGTTACCGATATCAGTACGTTTATTCCTCACAGAAACGTTTTCCTACCCCTTGACTTTGCGAAAGAATGGCAGAGGAAAGCCAGAGACCCAGACGAGGCGAGCCAGGAATTGAAATATCAAATATAATATAGACGCTGAATGGGCGAAGAGGAATGAGAACTACGAGTGCTAACAGCTGCATCTTACTGAATAGTCATCCGCGCCACTCACACCCAGGAAGTTTTGGGTGAACAGGGCCGTCGCATCCGTGAACTCACCTCCCTCATCCAGAAGCGATTCAAGTTCCCAGAGAACTCCGTCTCCCTCTATGCCGCTAAAGTCCAGAACCGTGGTCTCTCTGCCGTTGCTCAGTGCGAGAGCTTGAGATACAAGCTTCTCAACGGTTTGGCCGTCCGAAGAGCTTGCTATGGTGTTCTCCGATTCATCATGGAGAGTGGTGCTAAGGGTTGTGAGGTCGTTGTTTCTGGAAAGCTACGAGCTGCCCGTGCCAAGAGCATGAAATTCACCGTACGTTTCTTGAGAGTTCATATTGCAGAAATGGGATTGAGATAGAGTAGACAACTAATTGGCCAATTCTGTGTATAGGATGGTTTCATGATCCACTCCGGTCAGCCAGCTCGCGACTTCATTGACCACGCCACCCGTCACGTCCTCCTCCGCCAGGGTGTTCTCGGTATCAAGGTCAAGATCATGCGTGGTAGCGATCCAGAGGGCAAGTCTGGTCCTCAGAAGACTCTCCCCGATTCCGTCACTATCATTGAGCCAAAGGAGGAACAGCCCGTCCTCCAGCCAATGAGCCAGGACTACGGAGCTAAGGCAGCTGCTGCTCAACAGCTTGCCGAACAACAGCGGCTAGCTGAGCAAGAGCAGGAGGGTCAGGTTGTAGAGGGTGAAGCCGCAGAGCCTCAAGAGTAAAAACAAAAATAAATGAAGAAAATATGAGCGACTCGGTTTTATGATTTTGTTGCTACGGGATTTCTCAGTTATTCTAATTTATTTTTTGAACTCTTTCATCTTCCGTTTCCAAAATTCCAACTCCTTGTCTTAATTATTGAAATAGAATTGAGATGGATGTGATGAATGAAATGTTCAGATTGGGCTTCTCTATCAAGGTTTATTTGTTAGTAGGGGACCTATACGGTAGCACGTGATACGATAAAGACTGATTTGGAAGCTCCGTAACTCATGCTATGTATTGATATAATTGCACTCATTCATGCTCACGACGAAGGGTATTTAGTGAGGGTTTTACAGAAGAGTTTCAATGTTAATTTCCAAGGCGCTCACGGGATGCCTCAAGTCGAAATTATCAAGAACTGTTGGGTGTAATATACCGAAAGTCCCAATGATGCTTTCCTTTCCGTCCATACGTAAGTGTATGGTGGCAGCGTGGCCAGGGAAATAAGTGGGATCTACCGGGGGTCAATGTTAGCATAATTGATAGACAACATATATAGATATTATGAGTCAGTGTTCTTACCATCTAGTTCCTCGATCCAGTATTGAGAACCCTTAACAGCAGCGTTATCCAATCCTTCTTCTCCAACAATGAAACCACTCTTCATCATCATCATGACCTTGTCTAGTAGGCCATGAACAACCTCGAAACCGCTTGTTTTCCCGTACCAGGCTGCAGCGAAGTGTCGTTCGTTGCGACTCTTTCTCTCAAGCGAGAGGTCTTTGAGTCCTACATCACTGACCTCAAAAATTTTTATGGGCAAGCTGTGATTCTTGTTTTCACGAATAGTTTTCAACAAGCCGGGCAAAAGGCTTGTGCGGACAACTTGAAATTCAACTGTTTTGGGATTGGCGAGCTTGACAGCTGTCGTCCCATCGTCTTTGCGGTTAACCCAGGAAAAGTTCTCGTCGTGTGAGCATAGAGCAAAAGTGAGCACTTCCGTCCACCCTGCCATGGCAGCCTCTCCCCTAATTATGTCTCCTAATTTGTTGATTGGAAGAGGTTGGGCAATTGTGCCAGATTTGCTAGGGAAAGATCTTGGAAGTTCGTTGAAACCGTGTGCAATCGCAACATCCTCCATGATATCAGCTTGGTGGAGAATGTCTGCTCGGGTAACTGGGATTGTAACGTCAAGAGTATCGTCAGATGTCTCAGAGACCTTAGCCGAAAGAGCCATTTTCTTAAACAATTTGCAGGTTTCAGGGCCAGAGAGGGATAGGCCAGTGCATTGATTGATATAAGCTATGCTAGCCTGTGTTGTCCTTGGCTTAAGTGTTGGAACCTGTCGTGATTCCCCATTATGCTCAGAAACAATTTTGATAGGCTCAATTCTGGTGAGAAGCAGGTTAGCTTCACGTGGTGTTGTAAGGGGGGTAGTCTAGATTATAAAACGTACGTGAATGGCTCATCTGTGCATTGAGAAAACATGGTGACCATGATGTTGTTCACGACTTCCAGCTTTGTCCTATCTGTAGCCGTGATTTCCATGAAAACGTTTCGAGTATTCAGCGTTATCTTTGAATGGTCCCCATTAATGATTGGTGGTAGGGAGCAGACGGTTCTCTTGGAATCGTAGATAACTGGGTATACGGGTGAATCACGAATTATATGCAAATATTTGCCCAAGTTTTTGTCCTTTTCATAGAATTCCATCAACTCCTCGCCATCCATGCACTTGGTCTGGTTTAGAGGGATAAATTTTATATCCTTTGGTGGCAAGGCCTCATATGTGAAGGGTCCCTGAATGGTGTCAAGGTCGTGTGTTCCAATAGAGACCAATGTCCTCTGCCTGGCAATATTCTGGTGAAGTTTATCCTGCAGGGCAATGAAGGAATTGTATCGAGCTTGGTCAAAACGAATGTTGCGGAAGACAGCGCCGGCCACATATGGTCGCACACTCTCGGTCTGGATAATTGGCCTGTTTCAGCTTCTGATATTTGATCCTCTTCCGTGCTGGTGTTCAGTCTCACCTCTGGCTTGACGAGAAGGGTTTGTAGCTCTCCGCTTGGAGGGGTGACTACTCTATAATTCGGCGACTCGGCTCTCCCGAGGAAAATATTCAACATAAGGGATAAACCCTCAAAACATAGTAGGTCATAACTATAAAATAAGTCAAAACCCGTATCCTTCAGGTATACTGGCAAGGGGGAGTAGGACGAACCGATTGGCAGGGATTTCAACTTTGAGTTGCGGGGGTTCCTGGACGCCGTTCACATATGGCCGGTCGCAGTCGGTGGTCTATGCAATTGTTACGGCCTGACCGAGATGGTATAAGCAGTACTAAGGGAGGAGGCTCACATCTTCTTCGAGCTCGAGGCCTGTTAGGATGCATGTTTAGTGGTGTTGCATATAGAGGTATCCTGTGAATAGTGGGGGTGACTCACCAAAATCGAAGCATAGCTGGTCGAATTCCTCGGTGGTGTATCTAGCAGTGGGATATAAGTTAATGTTAGGCCCCTATAGTCAATACACCGCAGAGATAGCAGCTGTGAAAAAGGGTAGGGGGCGGTCTTCACTCTTTGCCTAGCGCCTTGCACAGGGCTGCCTTATCAACAGTGACCATAGGCATCTTGGGCGCTGTTTCTCGGTCAATTCCACCAGCTGGACAGACAATTGAGGAATAAAACTCCAAGCAAGGGCGTCTGGGCTTCTTCGACCGCCGGCGACCTCTGTTTCTCCGTTACAAGCAGCTATCAAAGATATCATCCATAACCCTAAAAAAGGGACACCAGGTAGACGCAGCCGGAGAGGAGGGAGAGCAACTACTACTCGCGAGGACTTGTGGATGACTCTTTTTGGGTTCAGATTAGTCAGCACAAGCTAAGGGTTCGCTGGGAGAGCCGCACCGCCACAGCCCTTTTTTGACTCCCTCACCAGCCACACTTTCGCTCCATCCGCCCAAGTTCTGCTTTTGCTGCGAACTGCGGCCAGCGAAACATTCACCACCATCAACAGTTGACCACGACCGTCGCCGTCGAACGCTGCAGGAAAACACCCAGCAACTCGCTCTCTCGCATCGCCCTCCGCCAGATGGCCGTGTCCCTGACCAGCATCCACAGTCCAGAGTACGTCTTCACGCTGCCCGCCGCCGCTGTCTCGTTTTATGGGCGTCTTGTCCTTCACCCCACGAGACAGCAACAAAACATCCATCAAACGCCCCTTTCTCCCGCCTCTCCTCACAACGCCTTGCACTCGCCAGCTCCTGTGGCCGGGTCCAAAAATGATAGATTAACCAGTCCAGCTCTATAGTAGCTCTCACCGATACACGCCGCCTGTCATCTGCCTACACGAACGACTATCATTACCCCCCGTTTTGTCGTTTGCTTGATACCACATCGCATAGCCCTTCCGTTGAAGCAGCAACCAAGTTCCGCCCACAAATAAACCATCACCGTTCTCGCTCGCGTAATAGTTGGTTTCCGCCATGGAAGGCCAAGGCGAAAATGACGAGCTCTATCCCATTGCCGTCTTGATTGATGAACTGAAGGTATACACAACGAATCTCTCCAAATAGCGGCGCCCCCCTGGCCAACAGACCTATCGGCTTACTGATGACCCCCGGTGTATGGATATAGCATGATGATGTGATCCTTCGTCTAAACGCAATTCATCGACTTTCAACAATCGCTCTCGCACTCGGACCCGAGAGAACGCGAGACGAGCTGGTGCCCTTCCTTGATGGTTTGTGAAGACCTCCCACTCCCCCTTTCACCTCTTCCCGGGACATTGTGTTGTTGATGGATGAGCATTGTTATTGATGATCTCTCTACTGTTCTAGACTCAGTCGAGGATGAAGATGAGGTTTTGACCGCTCTAAGTGAAGAGCTTGGAAACTTTGTGGAATACGTCGGTGGGCCAGAATATGCACACGTCCTGCTTTCCCCCTTGGAGCATTTGGCGGCCATAGAGGAGCCATTGGTGCGAGAAAAGGTAAGATTACACTGGCTTTCATGTCTGTTAATCTTCATATGGAACACCGCGTTTGACATGACAATGCTTTATTTCTTGCTAGGCCGTAGAGTCCCTCAACAAGATCTGCGAGCAACTCTCCCCCCGGCAGATCGAAGACAATTTTATACCCTTGACAATCCGTCTCTCAAAGGCAGACTGGTTTACCTCTAAGATATCTGCGGCCGGCCTCTACTGTACTCCCTACAGAACTGCCTCTCCAGCCTTACAGCAGGGGCTACGACAACAATTTGGGCAATTAGTTCACGACGATACCCCTATGGTTAGACGGCAGGCTGCCAACAACCTAGCAAAATTCGTGAAGGAGATGGATTCGCAGGTTATTATAGTGGAGATGGTTCCTTTATTCCAGAACTTGGCAAACGACGACCAGGACAGTGTCCGACTCTTAACCGTTGAAATTTTGATTTCCATAGCAGAGGAAATCCCCAAGGAACAGCAATCTAGCCATGGCGTTCTTCTTACAGCACTCCGAAATCTGTTTGAAGATAAAAGCTGGAGAGTAAGATACATGGTTGCAGACAAATTCGAAAAGGTAGCTTCCTCATATACAATCCTTTTACCGAACATCGTGTCCCGGATATTGCTGACGCCTTATAGATCGCAAAAGCTGTCGATGAGGAAGTTGTCAACCGTGACCTGGTCCCAGCTTTCGTCAAGCTCCTCAAGGATACCGAAGCAGAGGTCCGCACTGCTATTGCCGGGCAGATTCCAGGTTAGCCTTGCGCCACCAAATATTAATTCCTCATCCAAAGACTGACATGACTCCAGGTTTCTGTCGGCTCCTTGACCGTGAGACACTATTAAATGAGATTATGACAAGCATTGAAGATCTCGTATCAGACCCATCCCAACATGTAAGAGCCGCTTTGGGTATGCAGATCAGCGGTCTAGCCCCTATTCTAGGGAAGGAAGAGTAAATCTACCCATTTTACTTTGATTCTATTGAGTTCCAATCTAATAAATACCCACCAGGACAATTTCGCATCTTCTTCCCATGTTCTTGCAGATGTTGAAAGACGAATTTCCTGATGTTAGACTGCACATTATCTCCAAACTGGAGCTGGTGAATAAGGGTATGTACTCCGTCCAGCATAAAGTTTAGCATACTGTGTTACCTGACCCACGACTGTAGTCATTGGAATTGATCTCCTGTCTCAGTCTCTACTCCCTGCGATTGTACAGCTTGCCGAAGACAAGCAATGGCGTGTCCGTCTCGCAATTATTGAGTATATTCCTCTTCTTGCTAGCCAGCTGGGAGTTAAGTTCTTCGACGAACAGCTCAACAGCCTATGTCTTGGCTGGCTAGGAGATGCTGTATTCTCAATCCGAGAAGCAGCTACCCAAAATCTCAAGAAATTGACAGAAGTATTCGGCGTTGACTGGGCCAATGGCTCTATAATTCCAAAGGTCACTGCTATGGGTCAACACCCTAACTACCTCTACAGAATGACAACCTGCTTCGCCATCACCGTAAGTGTCCACTCACCTTACATCCTTCCCCGTCATTATATCTAATCTCAATAACAATTTAGACTCTTGCCCCTGTCATCAATCTGAAAATGATTGAGACTTCCATCCTCCCAATTTTGGATAGGCTCGTGACGGACGACATTCCCAACATCAGATTCAATGTTGCAAAGTCATACTCCGTCATAATAGACACCCTTAGAAAACTTCCAGAGGAAGGGACTCTCAGCGAAGCTGATAAGTCCGAACAGGCTGCCACTCCATCTCCCCGTGGTCAAACTATCATCCAGCAACAGATCCTTCCAAATCTTGAGAAGTTACAGCAAGACGATGACGTTGACGTGCGATATTTTGCAACCACTGCTGCTGGAAGTTATGGTGAAGTAATGCAAACATCCCCTTAAGCCCGATCCTGACATAGAAAAAAGCAAAGAAAAGAAAAACGAGAATCATGCCACACCCTCCCACACACCACCCCTGAAACCCCTATTTGAACTTTTCCTTCTTGTTGCTCTGTGTTATTCATGTCAATTCTTCTTGACTTCGCCCCTGGTAATTGAGATATATTTCATCATTAAGTTGAGATCGTGTCTCTGGTTTGGGTTGAATCTGGGAATTGATGGCACTCATGGGCATATTAGAGCATGAAGTACCATACGCATCCACTGCTCGTTAACATGAAAAGAAAATAAATATAACACTAGTTTATCCTGTTTCCCGCCCTTGTCTTAATGTGAGATATCATCGCCTTAACAACTTCAAAGTTAGAGATATCCGTTCATACTGTACAGATGCAAGTTAGAATACTCGTAATATTATATGTCGATCGATAGTGGGTTGTTATTTTGGGTAGTTGAGCAAACTCCTTCAAGTATTATGCCTAACTCAGACTGATAAAATTCCCCGTATGTATCGATCTTCAGTTTTTCCTAGCAGTGGGATTAAATAACTGTGTTAAAAATAAGATACATCACTATCTACATACAAGCAGCTGGCTTATCCTATACCAAGGAAACTCAACAGTAATATAGGTAGGCCACTCAGTATCCAAAGGATGAACACATCAGGAGCCGAGTCCTGGAGGTATATCCTTCCACGCTGTGGTGCTGGTACGGATCAGAGCAACCGTCTCAAAATGGTAATCTCATTTCGTATTCCGCTGGCATCTGACGGCACCATCGCCATCAGCCTCCTGTGGTTTAAGGTCAAGGTGTCTTTCAAGGAATTGCGACTGACGTCGCTGAAGTTCCTTCAGTCGTTGTATGGGGTTCTGTGAATTTCCAGTATAAGTAGCTAGCCTGAAGGAGGGATATAAATGCATTAACCGTGAGACCCACCCATTCCGCCTGGTTAGGGACACCTTCAGCAGCAGGAAGTTCTTCATTTTCCCAGTGATCGTCCGCTGTTGAAGAGGTACTTGGCCTTCTCATGATTAGAGCTGGTGTGACGGCCGGGCTGGGCACGTCATGTTCTGGTGGATAATGTGTTTGACGCAGATTAGATTTCCTGGCTGGAGATTTCAATCCAGTCGATGGTTTTCTGGCATGTGTAGACCCTGTAATGACCGATACGCCCGCACGACGTGGCTTTTGAAGTGAGCGCATGTACTTTTCGATTTCTGGCATGTCGTCCCAGGCGTTGTTTCGGGAATACGATTCAAACCCGCCAGAGGTACTCTCCTTGGTTGAGGAAACGCCTTGCCGAGCGGAAGAGATTGAAACCTCAGGAGCTTGGCTGGGTTCGGAATCCTCCCCTATAAAAACCCGCGTTGGGGCCGGAGCGCTCCGTTCCCATGGGAAGGCAGATGTTTGCCTTCGAACAGCAGGAGCTGTTGTTGGAACTTGATAGTACATGTCTTTTGGAGCCTCAGGGTATGATTTGGGAGGCTGGAAAAGCTCCGTGTCCTTTGACATTGTGTAGATCTGTACAGGAAATGAGGCTGCTTCTGGCTTTGAATCCACCGGTGGCGGCGCACTACATATATTAGAACCTGCCTACAGGTTTCAAGGGGCGAATTCTTACCGTGGTGCATCCCAGAATGCTAAGGGTGGAGAGAAAGTGCGTTCAGGGGGTTGTATTTTCGCAGTATGCAGGGCCACAGGCTCATCTTTCGTTGCGCTTTCATCGGCAGATTCATCTTCTCCTGCTCCCTTTGTTAGTAATGGGATATCGGATTCTTGTGGCTCGATTGTTCCTTGGTCTACCCGCAAATGAGGTGGGTGAGGTTGCTGGGTGTTGACATCTACATGGGGCATATAAGTTGGTATATTTTGTGGCTCTCCATGATAAATGGGGACCGAGATATGTTCTTCTCCACGAACATAGTGAGGCACAGCACTAATCATCGGCTTAGGTGGTGGATGATAGCTTGGCTGAGAGCCTTCTTCTAGGTTGGGGATGTCAGTGGGCACGGGTTCAATGCTAATAACATCAGGTCTAGTAGATAGTTTCTCTGGAGGCATGATATGTGTATCCGGGCCCTCCTTGCTAGGTACCACCGCTTCATAAGTCCCTCCGACAGGCTCATGTTGACTTATTGCCATTACCTGTGTGCGCACCTCGGTTTCTACATGTTTCTCTTTACTCAACGCAGAAGTATCCGTTTCAGGGGCAACCGAACCCTTGTGATCTGAGTATGACTTCTCTTCAAGCTCTGCAGGTGGATATATTGTCGTTTCCCAACCCTTTTTTTTAGGTACTGAAGTTTGCACAGATCCTATGCTATGGCTAGTTTCCTTTGAGACGGTTTGAGTCTGGTGATGACGATTTGGAGTGATGTAGATAGGACCTCTCCTGTAATGACGGTCATACACAGCCCACCACTTCGCCAATAGCTGGCTATATGGTGAATGGTGCGACGATGTGCTTCTCCCAGTTCCCCACGGTTTTATAGGGCCAATAAAATGGACTAGTGAGATAGTGCTTTCAAAATACCGATATGCGGGTACGTATTGATAGTGTCCGCTAGGTGTGCAGTTGTACGTGAAGCTGAGTCTATCCCAACTCTTGAAATGCATGTTCAAGAGACCCTGATCCGCACCATCGAAACTTATACCGCGTTGGGCAAAGGCAAGGAGGGAATAGTAGTCCTGGAGATTCGGCCGTAATACCATAACACCAGTGTTGAAGCAATCAGGCCATCCAATATCCGGTACAGCAGCTATTGTCTTGACATCAAGTGTAAGAAGCTCATCAGGCGCTCGGAGGGCTATAACATCCGCGTCAATGTAGACGACCTGGTCGTACTGGGTCTGCTTCCATAGAGCTATTTTCGAGAATGTTGAAATAAGGTCAGGGCGATCCATGAGGTAAAGGTTCCCTGGGTATGCATTTTCTATCCGAGGAATTGGTATCACATCGTCGTACACGGTCTATATGGTGCTTGTCAGCAATACAATCATGTTTCTATTTTTCTTGTTCAAGTAAACGACCGACCTTCAACTCGTCAATTATTCCCGGCTGCAGAGTATCCGGCGTTACTAGCACGGCCAGCCTTCCCCTCGTCCCGTTATCCCGCAGGGAATGGGCTAGGACCATAGCACCTAGTAGAAACCATCAACAAACAAACTATCATAAAGTAGGGTCAACCCTGCTATCTTATCACTGACCAGGAACATAGTTATCGCTGAGAAGGATCTATAAATCACCGTCAGCAAGTCAGCACTCGAAGCTAGGAGTTTATCTCAATCTTCAAGCGGGGTCAAACCGTGCAGTAAACAGCTCCATGGCCAGACATTGTTGCGCAACCCACGGCGAGCTGCTTCCAAAGGCAGGCTCCTCCTTTCGTCTGATATTTAATTGAGAGGGACGGCAACCATTAAGGAACGTGATAACAGAGAGCCGAAGGGAATGAGACCGGCGAGGTAGACCGAGAGAGAGAGAGAGAGCGGGTGTACGTATGTGGGTGTGAGAGAGAGGACGTTTGGTGAAGTAGTTGGAGGTTTGAAGCTGGTCGTTCAAGTGATCACTTGGGTTATTCTGCCGCGCATCACCGGCTTAGGAGAGCTTCTTCCAACGTCACCCGACTTGCACCCTTTGATAACTTAGGTAGCAGAAGGGAATCAGGCCGCCTCCATAAGCTCACTCAGGACGCTGCTGGCTAGTGGTCAAAAGGGAAGACGAAGAGAGGAATAAGAAGAGTCCGTGAGTTGGAGGACGGCTGGAGCTCCAAGAAACCAAGTACCAGTGCTCTCGCAACCTTTCCCGGCTTTGCGGCCTTTTAATCTCGTTCAACCGCATCCTTGCCAGCCAACAAGCGATCCCTCCAGGCCTGCGCGATATTGCATATGATAACAAGCGAGGGGGTAAGCAGAAGGGCTGTACCGCTCACTGCTCGAGAACTGTTGCTTGCTGGCTGCTGGCTGGTAACTAGCTGGCTAGCTTGGTAACTTCTCGTGGAGCTTGCTGTGTAGCACCAGCCGGCGGAAACGAGCCTATGTCTGTGTTACGGGGTGCCAGCAGTTGGCCCGTTTATTGCCTTGCCACAGCTTGATACAATTAAAGATATATGCATCGGTGTGGATAGCTTTGATGGAGATTCTAACCATCTCTTGCGGGCGCTAGCTAATTAACTAGCCAACTACAACCTGACTATCCACTTCGAAGCCGAGCTTGGCCTTGGGGGTTTAACCCGGGGAGCTGCTCTGTGTGCCTGGGAAGCAGTCACAATCATGTAGGTATAGTTACATGCATTCCGATGAGAACTATATACTATCAAAATGGAGTACAGGTATTATGCTAACGCCTGGAGAAAAAGCAAGGAAGTACAGGAATCGGAATCAGAACGCTCAGATCGCAATCTCCAACGACAACACCGGCCATCCTTTCCTTCTGCCTCGCTCATATATTTTTGAACATTTAACTGCATATTGCAGGCTAACTAAAAGAACAGATGCTCATAACCCATGGTAGGAGGAAGAAGATGCAACAATTCGTGTAGTTTCGCAGCAGTTGTTCTTCCTAGCTATGGAGTAGCTGTTTAACCAATTATTGAGTTACTGACGGGCGACCAATCTCGCTTCAGGGTACACAGACAAGACAGCTTGGCCAACATCGCCTGTCTCACCCTCGACGGCCCATAGCACTGTTTCTTCAAGGGCTCCTCGGCCCTCCACTTCCATGGGCGTGAAATGGCCGGATCGAGGCAGCACGATTACCTGACTTCCCTGGATAAGTCGATCGGCTATTCCATCCAGGGCCAAATGACTATCGATCGCAGGGTCTAGCATGCCCCATAGCAGTGTGGCGTTTGCCTTTAGAGCCCCAGGGGCAGGGTCGAACACGCCTGTTCCGCAGCTTGTTCTCCGGCGTTCATCAGGGCAGATGCTATGTAAGGCAGAGATGGTTTCCAGAGACTTATGCCAAGGGCCTGATACTGCTCCATGGCGGTAGTATGACGTTGTGTCCTTGAAGTTCCCTTGTTCAGCGCGAATGCGGACAGATTCAGAGTATGCCTCTCCCTCCGCCGTCTTGGTCTTGAGCTCTTCAATGCTAGGCCCCAGAGTGCTTGCCATGGCTTCTTGTGCATCTCGCACTGTAAATTCGCCGGTTTTCCCTGCAGCTAGCTCGTGGATCGACCTTAAAAACGAATAATTGCCTCCATGGCCAACATAGCGAACTAACGGTACGGGTAGATGGAAGACGAATATATATTGGGACTTCTTCAGTTGGCGGAGTACTGGGGCTAGAGCCTTGATAGACTTGCACAACACATGCCGCGAGCGCCATGGTTCCCTGAGGAAAGTCTTAAACATCTTGTGCGCTGACTCGATCGATAGGGAGATATTGTCTTGCATCAAGCCAGGCTTTTGCCAGGGACAATGCATCGTATTAGCAGGCAGAAAAAAAAAAAAAAAAAAAAAAAAAGGAAATAGGAATAGTTGAGCATACCAGGACTCCATTGGAGATGATGAACCTATCTGCCAGCTGGGGGGCTTCTGCAGCTAGGCGGAAAGCGAGTATAGCTCCCCAGTCATGAGCTACTATAATAACTCTCCTCTTGGTTCGGCCATCGCCATCGCAGACGTTGTATTGGTCTCTCACGGTGGCTATGAACTCTGTCAACGTCTCCAGGATTTCTGTAGGACCATATACGTCCAACGAATCCGTGCCCCCGTATCCAGGTAAGTCCGGTGCAAGCATCACGCTCTTCTCTCCAATTGAGCTCGACGAGAGGAGGTGCCGCCATATGGCCCAGCTATCCGGAAATCCATGCAGGAATATGACCAGCGGCTGGTTCCCAGTGTTTGAGGCGACGGTTTCATCAGGCGAGGCGTTTGCAAGATAGTGGACTTTGAACCCATTCCGCAAAGTCATAAACCAATGTGAGAAATTCTTCCAATTCTTTGAGAGATTCCAGAATCTATCTGATGCTGTGTCCAGAGAAAATCAGTGTTAGCTATCGACGAAAATAGCCACATCCGAAGGATCAATCATCCCCCTATTTTTTTTTTCTCCCTCTGTTTATTGTGCGGTAACAAGGAGGGTTCCGGGAAAAAGGGACGTTCACTCATACGAACCGAGTTGAAACTCCAACCGCTCCTTTTCAGTGGTTTGTCGAAACGGCACACCACTGAGGACTGCAGTGACTCCGTATCTCACCGACGTGAATATTCCATATACGAAAGAAAAGATGGCCACCGCCATCTTCAAGACTGGATGCTCCATGCTGATAGCATTTGCCTCTGGTATCTACCAAAACATCAAAAGTAATCTGTCTTGTTACTCCGAACCAGGACGGGGAATAAAAAAATATAACCAAAAAAATAAACAGCTACGTGGTTGTAGCGGGCGGGAAATGCTGTTATGTAAATGGTTATGTCAGGAGCTTCGGTTATGGGGAAGTTCCGCATGGCCTTATCAGGTCCATTTGTTTCTAAGCAGCTTTTGTTAAGGCCTGCGGAGATGTGGCAAGGGGTAGGCTAGTAGACCAATAGCACGGCAGCGAGCAGGTTGTCGTGACTGTGATATTCATCCCTGTAGCAGGGCTCTTTGATAGAGATCAGCGAGGCTGGATTACGTTGTTGCTGCAGGCAGGACAAGGATGGGAGAGAAGAAGATGGAGAGCAGACGAGCAGTTTGAGAGGGCCAGAGAGCGAGAGATGATGTCATAGAAGTTGAGTTTCGGAGTTTTCATTTTCCACCAAAGGAAGTTGTAGGTACCTGGTATGGACGGGGTACGGACGTTGAAATGCCAACGAAGTTGAGAAGTAGACAGACCTACTTGGAATGCATGATGAAAGCTATTCATCTATGTAATGTAGAATGTGGTTGGTTACGCGGATGGCTTCATCGCATACGTGTAGGCTGGAACGGCTGGCAGCAGAGAAGCAAGCAAAACGTCATCAAGCCTAGTCAAATAGTAAACCGGGTATATAGTCACCAAAAGCTAATGATACAAGGCTGTTGTTTGGTCCAAAGGAGAAGATAAAATAAATAATGTAGAAAAGGAAAGTAAGCAAGAACGAAAAGGGGAAATACATATATAAAGTTGCCTTCTAGTGGTCACGGAAAGAAAACGGGGAAGGGAAACCAGACAACGAGACAAAAACGACCATTATAAATAATAAGATAACAAATCCATCCCATAGCGTATATTATATTTTTCTTTTTCTCTACCCTGTTGAAAAGCCCAATCGTTCACGATTATCATCGATGACTCTGCCGTACCTATGACTCGCGTTAGCCGTGGTAACTTTATGGTGATAACGGGGAGGTAGCAAGGGGGAGCTCACTCTAATAAAAGCCTGAAAAACCACACCTCAAGATCCTCATTGCGTAAAACTTTTCGTGCCCATTTCTGACTGTCCTGTGCAATAGCTAATGCTTCGTCTTTGCCTGGCTCTTCCTTTGCAAAGTAGCGTACAGATTCGTAGTGTTCGGTTCCCCTGAAGCTGAGGGGGATGAAATGAACCCATGGCCGAAGCCACTCGTCATGCCATTCTCGGAAGAGAGCAAGCTTGTATACTAAGCTCTTGCTTAGAAGGAAGGCGTAGTACCGCCCACTGAAGGCATTTCCGTCAATATCGACAAGGTACTTGAACTTCCATGCATCTTGCTGTTTCGCTGGCTTGACGATGGTGAAGTATTCCTTCTGCGCCTCGCAGTCCTCTGGATCACATTGGCCAACGTGGCTAAAGCTCACATTGAATAGAGACCTCAGGGCGTTCCGTTGAATCTGCTTCACGGCCCAGCGACCAGTCTCCAGGCTCTTCTCGAGGATATTCGTGGGGCTCAGGCTGTTGATGTTGCGTACAAATAGCTGACGGTGCTGTCTGCGCCATCCACCTGCTCGTGAGAAGCCGCCTGTGGTCGAGCCACGCCAGTACATCTGGTCTTCCTTGACAGACCAGTCCATATCTTGATTTGCGTCATAGGCGACGTTCCCGTTCCAGTACCAGGGGCTTGGGTAGAGGATGTCCTGAAACGAGGAAACTTTGCTTTGTGAAAAGATAGGAAAGAGGTCATGAACTATATCAAGGGCATTTGGTCGTTCGAAGAAGCCAAAAGTCTGCCGTAGAGAAGGGGTCAGGCAAATGTCTGAGAAGGCAGTGGTATTGGAGATGAACCCGAGGGGAGATGTCGAGTACTGTGACATGTTATCCACGGGCTCATCTTCCAGCTGTCTAGCAGGGCTGTCTGGAGGGCAGGACATCCGTGAATTCGTCCACGTCGGCTGATGAGCAAACCTGTTGAATCTCGTGCGTCTGACTTCGTCGATTCTATCACCCTTATTCAACCCCTCCGGCCGTGCAGACCACCGATTCTGGAGCCCCTGCTGCTGTCCGTTCGAAGCCGTCATTCGCTTCCCGTCAGCGACTAGTCGTGATAGGTCAGAATGTGCCATGACGACCCTCGGTTCGTCGTGTATGTTGAAGGCCAGGTCCATGTCAGGTAGATACTTGACGAAAGTCGCCATCATCCCCTTGATCGCATCCCTCTTCCACTGCTCGCCTTCTCCACCGCCGTCAACCAGCGTAACATTCCCATCTCTTATCATCAGTCCGATGAGAGCATTCTCAAAGCCTATAGCTTCCCTTGCTCGTTCCCGGATGGTCTTTGGCTTGACTCCCCAAAAGGGAAGTAGGGTGTGGTATATCGTATCATATTCATCAATCATCTGAACGCCTCTGCTCTGGGCGAATTTGAGCCAGACGTCAAAGTGCGGCGGCGGATGAAGGCCATATCGACGCCGGTACTCGGTAGCAGCCTGCTGCAGGGTCTTTGACTGTCGTGAATGGGTGGTCCTGAACTGCTCTCTGGAGGTCTGGATCAGCCTCTCGATCGGATGCTGGGCCAGATCATCGCCCGTGGAGCCGGCGGGGTTATTGTAATTAATATTCTCGTCGCCAAAGGACTCGACCGGCGGCGGCTGTTGCGGTGCTGTTGCTGGAGAAATGCCGGGGTTTGGAGCTGGTATGATAGGCCTCTCGTCCGAATTTGGCGCATAGAAGATGAAGAGCAGAACAATCAGGGACGCCAGGCCCGCGAGAAGGGTAAACCGTCGTCCTTTCATGCCTCGTGGAACACGGACGCGCGACCAGAAGAGCTCATTGCTGGGATTTCTTTGTCGGGGGCGGGCGAGTATTTTTTTTTCTGTTTGGATATTTATCTATCAGAATCGCAAAAGGAGAAGTTTTGGCTTGGGCGGAGAGAAAAAGAAACGCGGCGAGCCAAGCGGACGGAGGCCCAGGGGGATGACGACGTCGAGTCCAGGCAAGAAAAAGCATAAACGGCGGAATAACAGTTATTTTGATATTAGACATTATACGATCTCAACTTCGGTCTCTTCGATATATGATGATGATGATGATGATGATGATGATGATGCTAGAACGGGTGTTTACTAGCAGCCATTCTGGTGCAGGCTGCTTCGTTTCATGCGCTTAGTTATCTACCCTGATGCTTAATGGCCATTTGATATCCAGCAACTTACAGGGACATCTCGTCCATCTACTCTTCTCAAGTGTTCCATAGCTATGCTCTAGTTAAAAATAAACAGGATACAAGTTGTAGATCTTACATGCAGTAAAGGCCTCATCCTATAGTAGTTAAAAGCTGACACTCCTTGCATTTCCTTAGCGAAGGGCGTAGATGCTAGAGTGCCTGATATTGGTGCCTTTTAAAGTAGTAGATAGCATGCCTGAGTATCAATCTAGACGCGATACTAAGTACACCAACTCCAAACATCTTCTAGGAAACGATATAAAAACGTATATAAGTGTGTCGCTGAAGTTTGGAACCAGATAACGTTGCTTAACATTTGTATCAACCAGCTATTTCACAGGCCTAACAAGTCTAGATTCCGACCCAAACAGTAAGCTTGAGTCGGTTGGAGACCTGTACGCATGCGATCTAGCGTGAATTATCTGATCGACTAGACACGGACAACTGATCCGGTCCTCTGGACAACTGGACAACAAACCCTTGCCTGTGAAGGACCAGCACCAGATGGGTCCTCAGAGAGCAATCCCTGGTAAATACCGATACCCGGTCGATAAAGCGGCAGCGATGGACCGGCAATCTAACGGTGGAGTTCTTCTGCAGTACGGAGTACTCATGTCCAGTACAAGGGAGACCAGGTGCCCTGTCAAGCCCGAGCTCTTCAAGCTAGAGAAGCTCCATGATCGCTGGTTGATGAGGAAAGGGTAGTCGTATGGACTGTATCTGTGAATGGCGACGAGAAAGGATCCGGATCTGCTGGAAACTCCAGAAGACCTGCTTTAGAGACGGTGAAAGAGAGAACGGTAACGCATAACCAGCTGGACCCGGGCTTATCACCGAGCTATGGAGAACTTAGACATGTATCCCACGCCCTTGAATTGGGGGGGGGGGGTATAAGCAGCAGGAGAAGTGCGTGTCTCTGGGGTATAATGTTATGCATCTTAAAGTAGCGGGAACGACAAACACTTGTCTCCATGGCTGCGAGGACGCTGTTTCATCGGGGTATATCTGCACCGGGCTATCAGCGAGGCCTGCTCTTGCGGTCTTGCGGTCTTGCTGCCTTCGAGGTACTAAGTAAGTAGTCAAGAGCGTCCATGTTACTTTCTTTGTTTATCGGCCGGGAGGTTAGACGCCGAATCCTTCAGCCAAAAGTCATGCTTACAGAGTCGTAGCTGACAAAACAGGTCGACTTCAAGTATACACTACACACAGAAGGTAAAGACAGAGAAGCCGAAGAAGCGAGAGAAGTTGAGAGAAGTTGAGAGGAGATATATATATGCATATAACTAGCTAGACAGCAATAGCAATAGCAATAACAATAGGAATATTAGACATGCAGAGGGTGAAGAGAGAGAGAGAAAAGAGAACGAGGTATATACATGATGAGTCAGCAAAGGAAAAAGCGGCAAGGGAAACAAGGGGAGGCCCGTCGCTAAAAACGGCACTGGATTGCCTAAGCAGGTCTAGTGTCGTTGAAACAGGCCTATCAGGAGCAGCTGGGATGGCGTGCTTGCGCGGGTCCGCCACTCGCACTCACTAAAGGGGGCTTGTGGAGGAGCAAGAGGGCAGGCAGAGGCTTGGGGGTGGTCACATATAAGAAAAGACGGACGGCCAGAGACATGGCTTGCACAGAAAAAAAAGAGACTTCCTCCATCTCTATCTTCACCTTCTCTTCTTCTTCTTCTTCTTTCTTTCTTTCTATCACCAGTCTTGCTCTGTGGAAAAGGGACAGCAAGCTGAAAAACACAGGGGGAATATCACCCAAGATGGGAACAGGCACAGGAAAAAAAGCACAATAAAAGCACAATCATCACGCTGGGGGAAGAGAGTTGGGTCATGATATGAAATGCAGGTAACAGAGCAGCAGCAGCACACTCGAAAGGGGGTTGGATGGCTGCCCTGGGATGATGGATGGGATGGGCTGCCGGGCGAGGTTGAGGGTATAGCTTTGGCTCTTCAACCACGCTGATACTCAGGCAGAGATGGAAGCTCATCCTCATCTTCATCTACTAATCGTGCTTCAAAGACTTCTCTACAGCTTCAAGCCCCTGTTGGAGAAGAAGGTACACTGCTTGATGTGATGGGACTTGCCTGTCTTCTCATCAAACAGAGAACAGCCAAAGTGAGCTGCGTTTGGAGGAGTATACACTGGGTGCCAGATGTCAGCAAGACAGAGGTACTAGCCAAAAAAAAAAAAAAAAAAAAAAAAAGGTAGGTCTCGTTTGGACCATAGTCCTCATACTACTTACAGTGCAGAGAGATGGCAAAGTCATTTGGATCCGGGTTTGAGATCTTGTGCAGGCCAAGCTGGATGTTTGATGTCAGCCTAGCCAACCAAGCCAGCATCCGCTGTCGGATATACAGAGAAAGAGAGGTAGAACTTACCTTGTCGGACATGTATGCCACTTCGTTCTCCCGAAGGATGGTCTCCTTGGTGACTGTCAGGGGGCAGGCTTCGCCGTTGTTGATTTTGTCCTGCTCTGGCCAGTCATATCTGTGCTCCTTTAACGAACCATGCAAGATCTACACCAGGGACAGAGATAACGATCAGCTACGGTGGGCTCTTTTGCTTTCACTCCCTCTCTCCGTTGGTCTCTCTCGGCCTTTGCTCTTTCGGCTTTGCTCTCCCAAAGGGAAAGGAAAGAAAAAGAAAGGGTCAATACTCTACCTTCATTACACAATGAGCGTTAGCATGATCGTGGATTGGACTGGACTTTCCAGGGTTCCAGACGAAGATGAGCTGCATTCCATTTTGCCACGTTAGCTAGATGGTCTCCTTCATGTTCTTTTCGCACCACAGACTCCTAGGACTCTTTGGGTTTCAACGATGCTGGCTGGCTACTCCTTGACTTACCAAGTTACTCTTGCCGTTGCCCTCATCTACGAGGTTTCTGGTATAGGCTCTGGACTCATCTGCCAACGCATATCGCTGCCACTCCTCGTGGTTCGATACGTATCCCTCCATCAACTTCTGGATGTCCATGGGGTCTACGTCGTCAGAGTCGAGGCCCGACGACGGTCCAAGGACGGCACTGAGGTCGTCTACTAGCTTGTGGAAGGCATCTTTCCCCTTGACGTCCACTGGGACGATGGGATCTGCCGTTGCGGTCTGGTTTTCGATGAATGGCATGATGACTCGATGGATCTCAACAGTTTTCTTCACCCTCGGTGATGCAGACTTGGGGTGTGGTGTGACTGTGTGTGTTGGCTTTCGGCAAAAGGGTAGGCAGCTGCCGACTGGAAGAATAGAGGAGTAATGATGGCAAGATATATACAGCTGTCTCTTTAGGGTGTTTGGATGGTCTTAGGGGGGATGGGAAACCTGTCCTGATTTCACGGGGGTTTCTTCTCTTATCCCTTTCGCACCTTGGGTGAACAGACTTGTTAGTGGCCGCAGTCGTAGTTTCATCCTTTTTTCCCTTTTGACTCCACGCCACTTTGGTGGTTTCGGGTCCCTCCGACCAATCCCGTTGCTGCGCGCCCTCTACGGATATTCCCGGGCGCCGAAAGGGCTCAGACCGGGTCACATGAACAAATCACGTGATATTAAGCCGTTCACGGATAAATTTAAGCTCCGAGATAAGATCAAGATTTGATTAGATAAGCCGCGGATAAGCCGCCTATTTTTTTTTTTCTCGTGAATTCATAGCAATGGAGAGGTTGTTAAAACTTCCCCCGCTGCCAATTTGGTGAACATATAACTGCGCAAAACTGCATCTCTCGCGCGATCCTATCTTCCGTCCTGCCAGCGCAGCGTCAGCTATTTTGCGCTAATCTATTTTTCTATCTTCTTCTTTTTTTTTTTTTTTTTTTTTTTTTTTGGCAGCGTTTCCCCGTATCCGGCAGACTACCGCAATCATGTCGACCACAGTGGACAAGGTTCGCTATCAATTAATCCTAACACACCCACGAACAAGATATAGCTAACCATGTCGTCTTGTTTCCGCTGTTATAGATTAGAGAGATTGAGGCCGAAGTCGGTACCCTTCCGAAGCTGTTTATTTTTACCTTCCCGCCACGTTTCGCGCATGTTTTATTTAACAATGCCTTATCGTTATATAGATGGCCAAAACCCAAAAGAATAAAGCCACCTCGTTTCATTTGGGTACGATCTGGAACAGTCTTCTACCAGGGTGTGTCATAGATCTGACAGTGGAAAATAGGTCAATTGAAAGCTAAGCTTGCGAAGCTAAAGCGTGAACTGCTCACCCCGAGCGGCGGAGGTGGTGGAGGTGGAGGTATGCTTTGACACCCACACGGGTATAAAATATGGATATGCACTAGGGCAGTAAGGCTGATGTGATTTTTCACAGCTGGTTTCGATGTTGCGCGTACCGGTGTTGCCAGTGTGTATGTTTTTCCCACGCTTCAGGTACTTGAATCAGTTCAATTGGACATGGCCAGCTAACGTATCAGTGGCTTTATTGGATTCCCATCCGTGGGTAAGAGTACGCTCATGAGCAAGCTAACCGGACAACATTCTGAGGGTATGTCGGTCGATTTAAAAATTATACCCCTTTATCAATTGACACATCCCCCTGTGCTGATACGTACATCACACAGCTGCCGCATATGAATTCACAACCCTTACCACCGTCCCCGGTCAGGTCCTATATAACGGCGCGAAGATCCAGATGCTTGACCTTCCTGGAATCATCCAAGGCGCCAAGGACGGCAAAGGTCGAGGAAGACAGGTCATTGCCGTTGCCAAAACATGCCATCTTATCTTCATCGTTCTAGACGTGAACAAGCCCTTGACCGACAAGAAGATCATCGAGAACGAATTAGAAGGGTTCGGCATAAGGATCAACAAGGAGCCTCCGAACATTATCTTCAAGAAGAAAGATAAGGGAGGAATTGCCATCACAAACACCGTACCCCTGACCCATATCGATCACAGCGTATGTGGAATTCTCTTGTCCTTTCTTGCTCGGCATTTCTCCCCGGCATTCCAACAAAGACAGTATCTCATCAGATGTATAGGAAATCAAAGCGGTTATGAACGAATACAAAATCTCTTCGGCAGATATAGCAATCCGCTGCGACGCCACGATTGACGACTTGATTGATGTTCTTGAGGCCCGAAGCCGTTCTTATATACCTGTGATTTACGCCTTGAATAAGATCGATGCTATTTCAATCGAGGAGCTGGATCTACTATACCGTATCCCCAACGCTTGTCCCATCAGCTCGGAGAGAGGATGGAATATCGACGAACTCCTCGAGCTGATGTGGGAGAAACTCAACCTGCGAAGAGTCTATACCAAGCCCAAGGGCAAGAATCCAGATTATAACGAGCCAGTGGTCTTGAGAAGTACTGCTTGTACTGTCGAAGATTTCGTACGTCCCGTCTTCCTCCTCCTTCTCCCTTTTTGTCCCGGTTTTTTTTTCGTTATTAACCTGATGATAGTGCAATTCTATCCACAAATCTATCGTTGAGTCCTTCAAGCATGCCATCGTTTACGGTCGTTCCGTCAAACATCAACCACAACGAGTCGGATTGAGCCACGAACTCGCGGACGAAGACATAAGTAAGTGGGCCATGCCCGTTCCGTTCCGTAGTTCCCATCTTTCATGCATATCATCTTCTTTTTACTAACATGCCTTAATCATTAGTAACAATCGTCAAACGATAAATGCATGTATACTTTAAGGAACTGGGTTCCCTATAACTCTTTTCCTGGGTCATCCATGCCCGTGGAGCTGGGATGTTCCACACAGCTATCCAGTTTACCCTGAACTGCAACTCCAGAGCATGGTCTTGAATCTGATAGCTGACAGGGTATACGGGATGACGTGTTCAGGAGGAGTGGAATTGAATTATATGCCTTGCTTGGTCTTGAGAAAATATGCTTTTTTAAGACAAGGAATGTATGTAAGAGGGGAGGTTAAAGGAGAGAGGTGGAAGAAGAAGGGAGGCGAAAAGGACAGCAGCAGACGCAACTGATGCAATGCACTCTTGTGGAAATGATTGATGAATTGAAATCCTGCTATCAATATTAACTGTTTAGTTAGGCAGAAAGGAAATAGGGGGTGGTGTTGGGGGGAGGCGAGGTTGCGCAGCCCAAAAATTACCAGGCCATGGAAAAGACTGAATTTTAGCAAAAAAACTCATAAAATAGCACGCAAACACAATAGTTATTCATCTGTCTGTTTCTGCTCATGCTGAAATTTGGCAACCATCTCACAAAAGTCAATCGCAATACATTATTCTATTTTTTCTTCATCGTCAACATCACCGCCCGCCTCGTCGAGACCGATTATACATCTGGATAGTTAGTTGCTATTTTTGCAAACGAGAAGTTAATATAGCGGTCTCGAGACAATAGATCCAAAACTCAAGAGCAGTTCCGTCTGTTCCCCTTCATTCCAATCCCCCAACCGTGCTCGAGTCGATAAGCCACCCCCAGATGGAAATGAAATGGTCGTCGTAGTCCAATAATTGCATTTGTAAGCTATGCCAGGGCTATGTAGTGTATGCATGCTTCGCATCTCGCATGGGCAATGATGCAAGACAGAAGTCTTTGGCCCTGTAATCCTTGGCCCCTGCTCGTCTGCTCACTATGCGCATGCAGGATAAGGATTCCTCTCGACGCCCTCCCCCCCCTTTTTTTTTTAAATTTGTCTTGGGTGTCTTGTGTCTTGCGTGCTGCATGTGTGCGTATTTGTATAAATGTATGTGTATCTTCGTCCCTGCCGCGCAACCCGGAAGCCTGCATGAAGAGTACATTTGATAGTCTATGATAGTTCGAAGCTCTGGCCTGGACACGAAATCGTTCCGGCTTGCTGTGCCAGTCAGGTCTGGAGCAGATGGCTCTCTGATACGGAGACTCTCGGGTAAGGCCAGGCAGGGGGTTTCAGCCCGAGGCCGCAGTCGGGTATCCATATCCATATCCATATCCATATCCATGCACAGGGCACTTATCAGACGATCGAACGTGTCTAAGTAAGTAAAATGTATGTATCATCTCTCCCTGTCCCTGCGGCGCTATCTGGTTCCTTATACTTCGGTCCCGATAAGGTGTTCCGGCGTTGAATTGCCGATGACGCTCTAGTTAATGACCTGGGGCAGGGAGGATGAATATTGAAACACTTGTATCCTATCCAATCACCGGGGGAAAGGAGAAAATAATCAGTGCTTCCCAATCATGAACCGTTCCATTGACCTGGTTGGGATGATAATAAATACTACCGTTGCACATACACTGCAGAGAAGAGAGACAGGGAGAGAGTGAGCGAGTGTGTGTGGTGTTGTGTTTACATTGTACGGGGGATAGCTGGTTGGTAGATGGGGGGGGGGGGGGGGGGCGAAGACAGAGATCTCGCTCTGTTTGAAACTCGAGATTTCGAAACCTCAAATGTCAAACATCAAAGGACCAACCAAAAGAAAAGAGGGCTTGGTATCAAACGACTTATGCAGAAAAGAGATAATGGGCAATCTCAATCCATGGCCAGATAGGAAAGTCAAGGCAAGACAGCATCCCGCAGATAGAGGAGCGTGATAGTTCAGTGGTTAGAGCGATAGCCCAAGGTTTAGGAAAAGGGGAGGCAAAAAGAACAGCAAAGCATCCGCCGGCTGAAGAAAGCGGCGTTTAAGCTGGGAATGGAGGTGTGTATGCGTGTGTGCGAGGATATATCATGGCTGTGATAATGATAAGTTATGCTCTCTTTTTGCCCTTTACAACGTCCTCGGATGACATCTGCCGGGGAAAGGCACCAGGCAGCTCCAGGAGGGAAGAATAGACTAAGCTTGACGATTATACAGATACACAGACAGGACACGGTGCAGACATGATCTCGCCGTTGAGATCATCGGTATAACCACCAAAGGCCAATATTGCAGATAGCCGCTACTATCGAGGCATCCGCCAGCCCACCCACCCCCTATGGTGTATTGTGTATGACCTATCCCGATTAGGCCATCATAAAAACCCCCGAGAGAGCCCGGCGAGCAAAATAAATAAAATAAAGATTGCTATTGCAGCCGCTAAAAAGGCAAATAGTGCATTCCAGCCAGCATAAACCATTATCCAGTTCCAGTTTGATCGGGGTTTAAACCGTCTTTTAGATTAACTGGACGCTATATACCCTCCTAGATTGCAACCCGTGTGCGACATGTCAGCCAGACAGCCATCCACCACGCAAGGACAAAGCAGCATAAGAGTCGAAGTAATGATATTAACAATAATAACCAGGGTAATAAGCATGTCTTTGTCTTACAGCAATCGTCGTCGGCCAAGGCAAAATAAACCGTCCAAACATAAAATCTGTGTCAAGGGACACAACCCGTCGAGGAGGACCATGGATCTGCAGCCCATCAATCTGGGGGTTCTTTGTGTGACCCGCCCATGCTGAGCTTGATGGCTGTGGAGTGAGACGGGGGGAGGATGAGGATGGTGATGGCGACTGATTTCCCGGGCGGGTTGGAAGAAGCATCTTCTGGGTGACCAAAACACACACACACAACCAGAGCTAGCTATCTAGACGGCGGATGTGTAGGGCGAAAAAAGAAAGCAACCAGGAAAAAAAAAAGGCATCGAACGTTCCTTTTTTGTTTTCACATCTTTCCTCAAGGAGGCTTTTGCTTCGGTCTCTTCTCTTTTTCCATTCTCTCGCTAGTATACGCAGGGCGCCATGAAAATTAGGGGATGAGAGAGGAAGCTGAAGAAGAAAAGAAGAGATAGACTTGACAACCCGATTTTGGCAACTGTCTATGTATGCTCGTTTTCTTTTTTTTTTCTTTTCAGCGGGATAACATGGGCATGCATGTATATCGTCTTCGACATTCCTCCTGAGCTACCCTTGGCAGCTGTAACGAGCTCGTATGGAATGAAATGGGTAGCGAGAGGAGGCCGTGTTGATAGAGCGGTGAACATCGCCACTGACGTCTATCTCACATGGCCGTTTGATCGCTTGAAAAAGAAGAAAAAGAAGAAGAAGAACAAAGTATGCTCCGTACGGCGTCCAGCGTCAGGAGGATGAGATGCGATGCTGAAGAACCGAGAACCAGCTCCAATCGAGACAGTGCACATTTCACGTCCAGCGTCGATCTCTGGTTTTAAGCCTGCAGAATCGGACTAGAAGTCGATCCCCGACAAAGAACAGACCAGGCGAGGGAAGAAAAAGAAAGGAAAGAAAAGACAGGAAACAGAGATGATTAGGGTCCATCTCGATATATCAGGTTGGTCCTGGTTGTAGAAGAAAGAAGGCCCTGAGAGCAAGCTTGAGATGGGTATCGACGACGCAGGCGCTGGTGGTACCGAGCACAAAGTACTCCCTCCGCTGTCTTTTTGCTTGTAAATCAGCCGGCTAGGTACATGATGCGATGTAATATGCCATTTGTACTCTGTACAAATAAATCGAGACGGCTCTGTCATCCTATCAGATCAACATCATCATCCACAGGATTTACCCGTGTACAGACAGACGCGACGCATGTCACTGTGCATAACATATATCGTAGCTGTCCAAGCTCTCCGTCGGCATGTACATACCAGATCTCAGTGAGAGCAGCCGGAACAAAGGACAGCAAAGAAAAAAGAAGAGAAGAGAAAGGGTAGTAAAAGATGGACATGCATCCGGTCCACTTTGAGCAGGTCGAGACGGGAGACATCCTGGCGGTGTGTGTATATATTAGCTTGAGTAGCTGAATCTATAATCAGAACGAGGAGAGAGAACCGGCCCTTTCTTGACTCGTATAATATAAGAAGTTGGAAGCGATGACAGGGTATCTACCCGCTGCGATTATGTATGTCTATATAATAATAATAGTAATAATAAGGGAGGCTAAGGGGCTTCGGTACCAGGTTTTGGTGCATGGTCAATCGGCGGATATTCCGCCTGCCGCTGGTGGATCAAGGGGAACGGACAGGCAGCGAGCAGGAGAACGCTTTGAGCTACAGAGAGTGTCCCGACTAGTCCAGGCTACTTGAGTAATGTATGCATGCACGCATGTACGCCGAGAGAGCGAACGAAGCAGGCATCGTACCATCAAGATGCAGTCAAGTCGAGTTACGCACTGCGAAGATGCTGGTGAGTTTGCAAGGGTTCTCGAAAGAGATGCGGAATATTGGCTATTATGATGCAGTGTACCTCCTTTATGCACCGTTTCTTCTTTTCTCTTGTGCTGTCTTCCCTTCATCTTCTCTCTGCTCGTCTTCTCTTTGCTGCTTCTTCTTCTCCGTGGGCCAAGCTTGATTACCGTCCAAGCTCCCTTCCCATGCTCTGTGGGAAGCAAATCGGAGACGATATCAAAATGTTGGTTGCAAGTTCAGGGTAAAAAAAAGGGGGGGCGCTGCGGGTTGAACAATGAAAAGGGCCAGCAAGGTGCAGACAAAAAAAGCCAACACCTACTCCATCCGCTATCTTACTTCCTGCATTGTCGGGATTGGCTTGAAAGTCGCCAGGAAGCAGACAAGTCTTGTATACAATGTGGCTCTTTTTTTACTAGCTAGGGGGGAAGGCGAAAAGGAGAAGAAAGAGAGCGGAAAAAAGGGCATGAGAGGCATCAAATCGCACTCTTGGTCCCCTTCCGTTTGCCAAATCGGTCGATGGGAAGCAAGGCTGGGACGGAGGACATACTAAGTATGTAACTTATAGTTAATGTTCGTTAAGGGCCGGGATACGACTTATATGACCCTCCACATTCGAGTTTTGATATGTAAGTTGACGTCTTGTCGATTCAGGAGAAGCACGACGGCCAGGGGTTGAAGTGAGCAGCAAAACGAACGAGAGGCTCGAGGTTGCCGCGGCGGTAGAAACCCCTTTCCGAGGCCTCCACAAGGGGAGGGATGCTTTTTTTCTACTCTCAGGGAAGTATATGTATCTTGTATTCATACTTCGTTGCTGTTGTTTAGAGGCCTTTCCCCCCTTCTTCCTTGCTGTTTTTTCCCCCCTTCTACCACGCGAGATGACTGGGATGGGGCCCTGTACGGGGGAGTACGACCTTCATACGACGCTGGAGCAGAGTTAGCGAAAACGGGACTATGCTGGAGGCAGAGAAGACGATGATAGGAAAGACAAAAGGACGAAAGGCAGAGCTTGCCGTCTCCCTTGCTTGAAGCCATCATCAGCCCCTTACAGACCGGAAAAGGGCCCTAGCTAGTGCTTACAAGAGGATTACTGATCATCTCGAAGGGCTTCTCCCTCCCTCTCTCTGCTCTTCTCACACGAGGGATGGCTTCTTCTGCATCTACCGAGTGGGTTAGCCAACTAGTTAACCTCTTTGAGGTTATTCCATGCGGGCTCTCTCAGGGCAAGCCACCGCAGAGAGAAGTGCGAGTCAAACCTGCGAGTAATGTTTCAATACACGCAGGTATATAGTTAGTTAACTCACTAGCGATGGAGTAAAAAAGGACTTCCCTATGCCTCCTACATCTCTGTATGGCGAGCGTGCTTAGAGCCTTGTTCCCTGGCCATGCAGCCGAGATGTTCATACCAGGTACGGATGTGGGCGGCGATATCCCCCTCCCTCCCCCCCCTGGCCATGGACACAAGAGAGAATACCAGCAGCTAGGAAGAGGAATATTCTGCATTGCAGCCCAATCAGGAGGCGCTGCAACCAGCTCGAGGATATACGACGGAGCGCGGCTTCTCCGCACTAAACTACTGCGTACTGCGGTAGCTTAATTATCATGCACAGTAAGTAAGTTACTGTTACTTGATCTTGGAGAGGAGGGATACGGGTGGGCAGAGTATCGTCACAGCCTGTGGTACGCTTCGGGTGGTTCGTATCAACTCCCCTTCTCCGGCCGCCATGTATCACTCAGGCGAAGTATACTCCATCTCTCTTCCTTGACCCTTCGTCATGCTTCTCCATGCTTCTTCTTCAGTACAGGGCACTAACCTCGTCTCTCAGGGTATTCTGGTGCGTGTGCTGTGTCGTGTAGGGGGTTCCTTGCTGGGGCTGTCAACAACCCCCTTTTTTTTTTTTTTTTGGGCACTGCCTGAGGAGCTGCCCATTATTAGCATGCCATCCACATCGCCGAATCATAATGTATACGGTACATGCGGTGAA